GCTGCTCGGGTAATGAAAACAGAAATTACTCGGCGCATCGCATTCATATCCCTCGCATAATTATCGAGGAAGTGTATCATGAATGACTTAGTCAGAACATCGAAGAGGTTACTACGAATCAACTAATTATAATCTTAGTATCGTGAATTATGCCTATTACCGTACAGTCCACCGTTATGTGCGCAGCTTTATTTACAATATCGCCTTTGCGGCTTTGTGTTACGGTGCGCGTGTGTGTTTTTTGCCTGTACAGTAACACCGCCTACACTCAGAGACAATGAATGAGACCTTCCCGCTTGATCATCTTTGTTCAACATGTTTGTGTATACAATTGTTTTATCTCATAATTTCCGTTAAAATGTAAAAAATTAAGAGTCAATAGGCAATTCAAAGCATGCAAGAAACCACATCACAGCGTGTAAGCTCATTTAAATCTTTATATTTAACTGAGTATTACAAAATTAAGTATACGATAACAATTTTTTTCCAACTAAGTAACCTGCTCATAGGTAGGTTACTTAGAAAATTCGATGGATGAGAATCGTTTAACTTATTCAGATAACAGGAAGCTCTAGGATACAAAACAATAGACCTTATGGCTAGAAATTATTGAGGAATTTGAATATACTGAAGAAGTCAACATATTAGACTATGACATCATCAATTTTGGCCATAGATACATACATTGTTATTTTATTTCAGTAAATATTAGTCAAATAAGTCAATGATCACGGAAAAAACTTAAACTCGGGGTTGTTCCACTTACCTTGGTCCCGAGTGTACTCGCATCGAAGAATGAGCGCGGTGGGCGTGCGGTGAAATATGGAAATAGAGCGTCGGCACGCGCCAACACGTTGTTCAAACAATACCTTAACGGGATGGGACGGTCATTTAATTCTTTTCATACGAGAATGTATTATTGAAAAGGTCGCGTCTAGTGGGGGGTTGTTATTAAGGCGCAGACGCCCCGGAAATTAGGAAATTATTAAACAATAATTTATCGATGTTAGTCCATCAGACCCTATGTACTAATTTTCACTCAAGTTTTAATATCTAACTATGCAAAGTGTAATTACACATTTTACGCTCTATTGGTCAGATATCTTTCTGAATAGATCAAACGAATATGTTTGTTGTTTTAATAATGAAGCCATTTACAGTACAGTAAATGTTCCAGCCACAGTTTACCCGTAAAGGTAAAGAAAAATAATGTAAAAGAAGAACTTAACGAAGCCTTTTTCAGTCATCATTCGACGAAAACCAACTCAGCATTTATTCGAACTATAAATGATGAGCTTTCATACCATGAACAACTCCCACTTAAAAGCTAATTAACACACAGTCCCAATGGCAAAGAAGGCTTGAACAAACATTTGTACAAACAGCTGACCCCGTTTGACCTTTACGTTTACCTACTGTTCGATAACAGTCCTAGCACGAGCGATGTAGAGACAACATATAGGTCACAGCAAGTGTGTTTTTGTGCTACAGTTCCATGGTCAAGCATGTCCTTTCTTATCCTGACCTGATCATGGCTATTTCTGTACTTGTTTGAACAACAACCATAACCTGAACTATATGTAGAGTCATATCGCTAAGAAACTTGCTGTGCTAAGTGTTGCATGAATATTGAAGAGCATGTCCGTTAGTTTGAAAGCTAATGTTTATGTTTATTATAATTTTAGCGTAAATACGAGTAAATCCAGACTTTCTATGATACACATACAGAAATTATACGAGTAGCACACAGTCCTAAGAAACTGAATTAGTTACAACTTCAAATAAATTATTTAGCAATACAACTTGTAGGTACTATGTATTTCCATCACTTTTCCGAACATACCTCCGGATGTTTTACATTACCAATAGTTTAATGTAAACATCGACACGCTTCTATCGAATTACCGAGACACGTAGGTATATACCTACTCAATGAGTCAATCAAGTGCTAGGTTTAATCAAACCTAATAGGTGTTCACTTTCAGTGCTCGTCATTGGCCAGCAGGCGTCGCGGCGCGGTGCGTAATGCTTTTATCTGCAAACCACCAATCAGATTAGTTCTTTTTTTGTATTATATACGTCGCTTTCGTATCAGCCACATTGTACACAGATGCAATTCATGATTGGGCATTTTTCATGAAATCGCCCATCATTAGGTGTAATGACCGGAACGATGAAGTATTGTACTTTGTACAATTTGCTTCACAAATATCAAATATTTAAGAATAGAGCTGGTAGTTGGAATTATGAGTGAAGATGTTGTTGTATTTATTGTCTATTCATTTATAGCAGATTAGGGTAAGAAATTCTTTAAGTGAAGTCTAGACGGCTTTTTATTGTCTCTAAACATTGAAATTGCTAGCGAACGGAGTCTCGATTTATAAGTAAACTCAACAGCATACGAGACTAAAAATTTTGTTTCAAAATCGTACCGTATCACCACTACATAGCGTGCCAGTGCTAAACTTGATGGGCAGTCCATACATAACTAGTTATAAAATAAAATAATTGACTGACCTCGTGCACTCTGATTACACAGCATTGGGCCAGCTGAAATAATAACTACAAGGCAACAGCAAGCAACAATATAGAACAGAGATTATATCTAAGGTAAGTGCGTCTTTCTTCACGGCTCTCAAACCTGTGCCGGAGGTTCGATCATTTCACAATAGCCGTCTGGTGAGCTCAGTAAGCCGACTGATTTACCAGCCTTCGTAAATGAGCTAAACTGAAGCAAATAAAGCACTGAGACTAGTTCGTGCCAAAGAATATTATTCTTAGTACTTGAATAGACATTTAAGGATGTACGAGCTAGTGTCTTTGCCTAGCATGATTCTCAAATTCTAATAAACATTGGAAGTATGTTTGTAGGTATCATAAAATGCAAAAAATCAACTAATACCATGATGAGTCATATCATGACACGCATACTTATCTCCGCTATAACAAAGGGGCTCTCCGTTTCCATGTTTATAATCAAAATATTCAAATCTTCTAAGTAGGTAGTTTTATATCAAAGCACTCGTAAACCTAGAAACACCAATTCTGCTGATTGAAGCTTAGGTTTTCTCTTGTTCAGATGGGTAGATGTGGGTATCGATTGTTCAGTGGCAGAATATTGCGTTGGTTATCTGTAACACGGCATAATCTGTGGGGCGGTTGCTCAAGCTGTCTAGCCGCGTAGAGGAGCCACTGCGCAATCGTTCGATCCGCAAAGGTCATGGAAGGAATTTGCGCGGTCCAGCGCGTTGCGACACCAATACTCTATTCCAAAGAGGTCCCAGCCAGCGTGCGGCGCGGACGGCAACCATAGACAATCTCTTTGAACCCCTTTGCCTGACACGCAAGCGATCAAGCAAGCTGTACGGCGCTAGTGGTGGGACGAGAACTAAATGGCGTAGTAAAACGTTATCATCGACCAGACTGGAGGCAAACTAAATTTAATTTTATTTGAGACATTAATTCAGTACGCAATATTGTAGAGCTTATTCAAATTAAACCACTGAAAGATCCTGAAAATTCATTAGCGTGTATGTTTGTAAGTAATTTTATCGTTGTCTTGTAAGTCTTATGTTACTAAATACCTAAACTCCCAAAAGTAAGTAACATGAGTTGTAAGTGAATACATATAGATAAAGCCCCTCCCCTTTGCATTATGAACAAACAATACTAATACGAATGTAAATAAAGATAAAACAATGAACTCAAGCTTATCGATAAGTGTACTTATTTACATACATTTTCTTATCACGGAAGAGGTACTAACGGTACGGGAAATACCTATATACTTACGTTATATATTTTAAATGTATTAGGTGTAGGGAATAATCATACTCGTAATCAAGAGTAAGATTATGAAAATTACTCAATAATGACTGCACTAGTATAATGTCAAGTAGGTAGTAAAACATGGAGATATAATAACCAAAACACAAAAACATAGAAACCAGATCAAGAGCTAAGCTTAAGCAACTGCAACAGCTCTTGAAGCGAGTGCCTTTCATAATTTCTACTCGTAACACTTACGAAGCAACCTGCGCTTATAATAAATTAATATACTCATGCAAATTCAAATACGCCGGGTGTTGCTTGTATTTCTTACAAATGTCAATCAAGCTACTTTATTGCTGAAACGGGTAAAGTTAGTGAGCGCTAGCAGTTGTTCAACACTTGACATTGTCGACGTCTCCTGCGCGTAGGCATGCATGCGCGTACACAATCGTGAGGTTCCCTGTGGAGTGCACATTATTATTTGACCCTATCTGAACTAGTTTTAGGCTTACAATAATATTAAATGGATTATGTAGCGAGCAAGAAAGCCTCGGCTCGTCACCTGCGCCGGCGCGCGCCGCGTGGGCTGCCCCATTGTATGCAAATCCGAGCTGAGGCAGGCGACGCGGGGAATCATTGGAAGTGACACTGTATCGTCAACTTCATCTCGGCTGCACCATGATTAATGGCATCCCTCGTATTCCGCTCGTGATTGATTGGTTTTAAATACCCTGCTCACCCAGCCTCAGCCCAGATCGACGAACAGATTTTTTGTCTGTAATTTCTGAATGAACAACTTCAGTTCACTCACGCAGTGACATAGACATCTTAAATAGAATACCAGTCACGATAAATGTTACCTTCGATTTAATGCGTAGGTACTTAACCATCATATTACTCACCAGCACCTAGACAAACGAGACGGTGTCCACCTTCCAACTTTTAGGTCATATGGCGATAGAAAATTAGTAAATAGCAAGCAGACTTTATGGCTACTTAAACACAGCACTTATTTATGCCCAGCAATTTTCAACCAATAAACGGTGGCCGGGTAAATTATAATATGATTTATTAAAACTTCTCTCGAACCGTTTACCGCAATAAATACCTGTCCTAGATATGACCGCATGCTTTGCACCATTAATTGTAATGTGCGTGAAATACGCGCGGCTGGAAATCGAATTATGTAGTCTTCTAGAGTGGCCTGACGTAAGTTTTTTTTGCTTCAGACATCTGAGCTAGAGTCGCTGCTCTGCAAGCAGGAGGGCGCCTCGCTCGCGCCGGCGCACATGGACCTGTTCGATGGCGGCCCCTCTTCCCGCGACGATGCGTTCCTGCGGCCGGCGCTGTGGGAGGACATCGCGTCCTCGATCAGGAACATCGACCCGGAGAACGCGAACATGCTGGCGCCGCTGGGCGCGACGCACGTCAAGCTGGAGGCGGACGACGCGCTGCTGGAGGAGTGCGCCACGCCGCTGCTCAGCCCGCTGGAGATCAAGACGGAGCGGCTGTGCGCGCCGGCGTACGCGCACCCGGCGCCGCCGCAGCCGCCGCAGCAGCCGCCCGCCTCCTTCGCCAAGTACCCCCCCTCGCGCCTCGGCTACATGTCCCCGCTGACCCCGCCCGGCTCCGACCAGGGCAGCCCAGGAAACACTATGCAGGTACAGAGTCGTGCAAATACTTTTGTCATTGCGTGACTACGCCTTTCACTTTCCGCCGATTAAACTTATTAAGCATCTGGAATAGTGAATTTCGTAGCCTCGCATGAATATTTGCACTGAATCTTGATTCTAATCCGTGAATTTCAAATGCTGTGCGAAAGCTTGCGACGGATGGTACCATCTTCTGCACTGCGACTTTTTATGTTATTTTGCTTAATGTTTGCAGAGGGACATATAAAGGCAAAACGTGTGATTTATTGTTATTCAAATCGGATGGACGGGTTAATACGTGAGTAGGTCCCGCATAAATATGTTGTAAAATGTTTATTTAGGTAAGTACATACAGACTATTGTAGGCAACTTATAAAACTTTAAGGTTGGTATTTATGCTCATTTCTATCCACAAATACCTTACTTGGAGCACCCTTAAAATAGATTTATTTAATGTATCATTACCGGCCACTATTTGCAACAATTTTACAGCATAATAATATCTAAGGAAATTCTTGAAATATCCAAATTTTGAACAGTTTTCTAAGTACCTACTGAAACTGCAAAGATGACTTGTAAAGTGACTAAGTATACTAACATTATCTTTCTTGGTCCAGAGAGACATACGAGTTTACCTAAACGTTTATAAATAGACATACCTTAACATATGGATTGTGTTTGTTGATTCAATTGAGCATCTATTTTTCAGCGCCTTGAAGTTTTATTACCTACCACAAAATGATAGCTTCTACTAGACTTGTCGTAAGACGTGTACAAATGTAGCTTGTGAAGTGAACTGATCATGCGCATAGATTTGAATAAGCGTGCGAGGTGACACTGGATTTTATTGGCAGTATAAAATCGCAATTTCACCGAACTCTATCCCCACCGTCTGGATCACGAGACATATAAATAGGCTGGAGTTAGTATCGGCGCCATTGCCATGGTCTTCGCCTGACGAGAGGCAGTACAGTAAAAGAACAGTATGTTCTCTTGGTGTACTGTCTATCGTTGGGTGAAGATTGAACGTCGGGGCGTGGTAATGGGTGGATACTGCAGAGCTACTACGAAACGCTGTTTACGTAATTTCGGGTCTTTCTCTCACCTCATGCTGGCGTCTCTTTGCGTGAGAGGGATGGCAACATTAGAAGCTTCGGATAACGTTTTTCGGAGTAGTCCCGCTGGTTCGTGAAAGCAGCATTGGTTGCAGGGCGGGCCGCGCCGGACGCCGCCGCCGCCGTACCACCCGCCGCCGCTGCTGCGGGCACCACACGTCACACAGCACCAGGTTCAACATCATCATCATCAGCAGCATCACACGCAGGTGCGTATCTAAAGACCTAGTAATTTAAGCTCTCTTCCCATACAACCAAGGCATGTTAGTTACCACAAGTCACTGAATTAGTTGCAATCCGAACACAATATTTTATGTTAATGTTGCAATTAATTAAGTGCTCGCACACACGCGTCACTCTCAGTCCTAGTTTTTCTCAGACGTATTACTTATTCATACGAATAATAGCTACTTAAATATTTAGCTAGATTGGTTTTAAAATTGTTTTGTTAGAATGTTTTCCTGCATTCCCTGGTGATTCATTTTGTTTTGTTTGCTTTCTTATACCTACAACCACAAACCCTGCAGGTTAAAAGTGCTAGCAAGGAAACGCCCAATTTCACTTGTCTTTTTTTTTTAAAAAACAAGCGCAATCGAATATAGTTCTTATTGGTCCAGCAGGCGATACCCCCGCCGCTGCAAATGCCGCAGCAGCAGCCGGCGCCGGCGCAGCACGTGCACACGCCGTTACCACACTCACGGCTCGCGTCGCCTCACTCCATGAAGTACAACCGGCGGAACAACCCGGAGTTGGAGAAGCGGAGAGTTCATCATTGTGATTTTATCGGTAAGTAATTGTCATTACGAAGATCTGATGAAAAAAAAGACAGTCATTTATATTCTGCACATAGGCTTTTGAAGAGCGCTTCTACACGTCCCAATGATTACGGGAAGCACCTGGATCTTGGCAGTGGAGAAGGTCTTTGTAGACAGGTGTTCTTTGTCCAGCAGTGGACGTCTTTTGATTATAAACGAATGAGATCTGTATAATAAATTACTGGTAAAACTAAATTAAGTGGTAGAGATTACGACCTATCAAATACAACAGACTTTTTAACTGACACCTTTACAATGCAAACCCTGAAAATAATAGTTCTCGTACCGGACCTCTATGCTCTGCTGAAGTTTCTGGTTTGAATTCGCTAATAGCAACTGTGTTAGTGTCATGTTATGTATTAAGCTTTTATCACTCTCAGTGTAATTTTGGGCTTTTTTCTCAGTTCCAACTGAAAAAATAACGAAACTGATAGTACTATGTATCCAATTTGGTTAGGTATTTAAAAGCAACTAGCCCGATTTTCCAATACGACTGTTGACTGCTTTGTAGGGCTCGTTAAGCCGTCGGTCATAGTTTCACCGCCACTGTTACTAGTCCTTACTTAGGCTGGGTTGCACCACCTAATTTTAATGGTAACTTTGACGATAACCGGTGCTTTTTGTATGGAGTTTGACAGACTTTTGACGTTTGTCGAAGTTAAAGTAAGATGGTGCAACCCAGCCTTAGAGCCATGTCAATGTAAACTGATAAACTTGAAACAGTTATGTGGCTTTTAATTGAAGAATACTTACCCCAAGAATGTAGAGAATTTGTATTGAAGATTCATCTCAAATGGTTTACCCAATATCTCCTTAGCACATTGGGGCAGTCGCCCGGCAAGCGAAAAGTCATGGGTTCAAAACTTAAGCCTGATTTTTTAGGTTTAGAAAAATAGTCCTATTAAATTAGGTAGGTAAGTAACTTTACATTTACGGTTTAGCAGCGACCGTTTTTAAAGTTCTGCTCGCAATAAAAATACATTTCTAAAACTATTTTATTAATTATATTCATAAACTATTCAGTTTGACTCTTGTAGAAATCACGACGAAATAACAAGTCAAACACTAATTTAAAGAATAATCTAAGTAGGTAACGTACAATGTCGTTTATTTTGAAATATATGTAGGTACAGCTTTTAATCTGAAAAATAAACAATCAAAGCAAAACAAAACTGGAAAGCAAAGGTTGAATGATGTTAGAGTATGACATCATTCTTGAAGTACTATCATTTAAGATTTCGCATTCCGTAATAATGGTACGGCGTATAAACGCATAATACCCTGTACTTAGAAACTTAACTGTGCATTTGTTTGAACTTTTGAAATGTTTCCTTACACAGCATGTTTTATAACTTAAAATTATTATTTGTCTACAGGTTGTACGAAAGTCTACACAAAGAGTTCGCATCTGAAAGCTCATCAAAGAATACATACAGGTAAATATCAACCATTATCTTGTTTACATTAGTTTAAACATTATTAAATACATAATATTTTATTTTAAGTGGCTAAAGCGAATTATTTATAAAAACCATTAACCGAACTAACTGCCACTAGCGAAATTTTTATTTTAAGTTTATATTTTGTAAGTTGTGTTAGTTAAGATTTAGTTTAAAAGGATACTAGCTAGCATATATTCTACTAATGCAGAATATCTTTTAGTTACCTGTGTATATTTATAGTTATTTATGAGTCTAATGTATAAATATTGAGAAATGTGTAGGAAAACTTTAACCAAACATAAGATACTAGATTTATTACAGTGCCTACTTGTTGGCGAAGTCAGTGTACCTACAATGATCACAACAAGTAGTACATGATAGTGAGAGGTAGCGCGCGCAAGGCCTAGGACATGCCGGCAAAGTGCAGAGTGCAAGCTCGCGCAATACTCACCTCAGCGTGCAGTTTATACCAGTATGAAATGAATCTTTCACGAATGATTTCCATGAGGAAATCACCGATAGAGTCTTTCATTAAGTCGATAAAATATGGATATGACAACATAATCATCACAATGAATATTCTCTACATTCGCATGATATTTTATTCGGAAGCAATTGGATAGCTACCCCGTTTCCATATTTTAGGTGTATTTGTCGATATCACTCATGCCAGCTTCGTGATATGAGTGAGAGGGCGAAAATGTAAAATACTAAAACGATATTAGGGAGTACCTACCTAACAGCACCACACACGTTGAAGGAAAACTATGAAGGAAATTGACAAAGCATGACAATTTCGAATAATGAATGCATACTGGGTTCAAGCATGCCTTTGCCGAGCATGTCCGGCTGTATCGAAACTGCATTATGCAAAATGATCTCTATTGCTATGTCGTTAACAACACAACGTTTCGATAGGCGAGAAACCGTACACCTGCCAGTGGCCGGAGTGCGAATGGCGGTTCGCGAGGTCCGACGAGCTGACGCGCCATTACCGCAAGCACACGGGAGCCAAACCCTTCAAGTGTGCGGTCTGCGAGCGGTCTTTCGCGCGGTCCGACCACCTTGCGCTGCATATGAAGCGGCACCTGCCCAAGGCGTCCAAATGACACGCGAGGAGGGGCGGTGAGCAGCCGCCCGAGTCTCACTCCGCACAGGTTTGTGACTTTGTATCTCTAGCCTTCATATTTCTGCCGCAAACTCACGGTACAAAGCGCTTCAAGTGTGCGGTCTGCGAGCGGTCTTTCGCGCGGTCCGACCACGTTGCGCTTCATATGAAGCGGTNGGTTTGTGTTTCGTTTTCTTCGTTCTTTCATTCAAGGTACTGTCGACAACACATCGGACAATAATCATGCTTGTAAGATCGTCTCTATTAAGCACAATTACATGATAACGGCCTTTTAACGAGGCACCGCACCACCAACTCTACTAGAGTAATGGAAACAAACACCATCCCCAAATTACAAAAATGGTAGAGCTATGGTTGGTTTCCCATAAATCTGTCCCTATTAAGAAAAAGTTACTTTATACATATAAAATTACTAAGTAGATCGGGAATCGAATCAGGGTCCCATCGAATTCCATACCACTAAGTTTCGTGCCTGCTCTACTTATTTTAGCAATTAGTTTCAACTGATTCTGCGCAAGATATAGCGCTTAAAGGGCAACAAACTTAGGGCTGAATGTTGTGTAAAAGCCAACAGCTTTAAGCATCCAATATGCATCAGGCTTAATCCTAAGTGGTGATCACCAATACCATTCAAATCACACTCAAAAACTGTAGCTTAAATTATGATTAAGACTCCAGCCGAACTGAAAACATCATTAATGCACTTTACTTCTTGTCACTCAACCGGTTTATATTGTCTGCATTATCCTCAATTAGTTTTTGGCATTTTCCATAAAATAAAACATTAAACTACATCTTTTTACGTCTGTGTGTAACGAACTCATACAATCCCAAGCAAGTCACGAGCGTAGGCTTCTTTTGGATAAGCTCGCTCTATCGTAGAATCAGTATTCTTTTAATGAGGCGGTGATCAAGGTTCTCCTTTCCATTTTCAGTAAAATGTATATTAATTAGCACAGTAATTAAGCAAATTACAATGACCTGTTTCAGGAGGAATGCAGTGAGAGCATCTTCCTGGAGTGCGACCTGGACGCGAGCCTCATGGACTCCCTGTACGGAGCGCTGTAGGCCTGCCGTCCCCTCCCGCCATCAAGAACGCTTCCTTGTCTTGTATATTTCGCAACAACTTATTTAGAGGCGTCGCAATTGTATAAACAATCCTGCACTGCGCTCTCCGCGCAGTAGAAGATGTTAATGATATCCCTTCAATGAAAACAATTTCAGTATTTGTAAGGACTTATGCATTATTATAGTCTCAAAAATTTTTGGCACACAGCTTTGAAAGCTGCGGGTAATTGAACACCTTCAGTTTCGAGCTATCGCTATAAATCTGGGCTCCTCATAATGTAAATCTTGCGTTTCGAAAGAGCCTATCGCCGTCAGTTAACCATAATGTGCATTTTCTTATTGTTGTTTACGGATAATGTCACGTGTCACAATAGAAGATTGCTTTCACAATGTGTACGTGTACCTACCTACTATTCGTGGCCATTATGCATTGTGTATTTTGTCGTCAAGGTTTAGGTCAGGCACAAGAATATCGCGAAAATAACCCAATAGAGTTACTAAAGAGCTGCTTTTAACATCATTCTTAAAACATTGGACTACTTAGTACGTACCTAATAATAACGTAGATCTAGGGTCTGTCGCTCATCTCGAAACAAGTGAAAGAGTTAAATCAATCCAAAAATACAGATTAGGTTGCTGTGCAGAATAGCCTCAATGTATCTGTCGTGGTATCGCATGCAGTTGCATGTTCTTTAGAGATAAGTTAAATCTCGCATGACCTACTTAATGATCGATCTTACTTAGACAGCCTTATACAATATTGTCACACAATCTCGTACACAGCTCTCTCTAATCGATCGATGTATCACTCCATATTATGGAATACATATTACCTACTCACATGAAATGGAAGTACTGCATAAAAATGCGAGAGTCAGTGCCCTAAATACCTTGGCTACACAACTCCCAGTCGTATTTTAAATTCACAAGCTGTCTGCAGTCGTCAGCCCTTGTTTCACATTCGAATAATTCTGCGCTGATTTGCCTTGACCTCAGAAAACAAATTCATTATACATTATGAGCATACTTTACAAACATCCATCTTTTTACCATTATTTTCTTACAAAGAAATTGCTCACCGATTGGTGTCACTGAGGGAACCGTTACATAAGCTCTAAGTATTCATTAGATATGATTAGTTAATTTATTAAGTTAATTTATAAGAGAGCAAGGAATATCCAAGATATTATAGTTATCTTAATATTATTATTGAGTAATAATGCAGTTAGTCTATAGGTGTTAGTTGATAAACGTAGACACAGGCGCGTCTTCGGGTCTAACGACCAGCAGAGAGCTTGAAACAAAACTTGTCTTATTACCAATCTACATAAGTACTAGATTAGAAAATATTGTCAAATTCAGTAGCAACTGCTGGTCGTTATATACGAGGACGCTTTGAATACACTTTCTAGTCTCGATTCAATACAGATTTTTTCTATTCCATTTACTTACACTAACAAGCTTTTGCCTGATATATCCTCCACGTTTCGTCATGTACTAAGTAATCTTACTTACCTATACGTACAAACATAGAAGTAAATTAGTAAGTACATATTGTTAATTCTTATGAAATACTTTACTTATTAACAATGTAAAAATATTTGAAGGATCCTTATTGCCTCCGTCCAGTGAAATCATGTAATACAGTGCCTTGGAACAAGTCTGTCTACATGCTTTTTGTAACATAGATACTCGTATCATCGTATCACTTGTAGAGGACATGGGTGACACTGCGCTAAGAAGCGCAATTGCGCTAACTCAGTGTTGACTAACTTCTTTAAAATGTTAGCGCAATTTGCAGAAGCGATCATTCAGAAAGATGTCAAAATGTAGAGTTCCCGCAAAACGCAGTGAATTCTTTAAACATCTCTTACTCAGTAGAGTAAAAAATGAAGTGATTTTATAAGTGAATACAGATTTTTTTTTGTTGAGTTTGCCGCAATCACTCACTGAGACTTTGCGAGTGACCCATGTCTAATTGTAGGAGAGTCATATCCCCTTATCGTGTAAGTGCATGCCATGTTGATAGTCACTAGTTGCCTTTAAGTTAGTCTGCCTCGTGCTGGTCGACCCACATGTGCCTTGCAAATGCCTGAGTAATTATACTTAGTGTCCTTATATTGACGTAGAATTCTGTAGGAGCAACGTGAAATCGTGTGATGCCCCAAAAATGTATATCTTGAGGTGATATAATATAATAGTCTGTAATATGGCAAATGGAATGTATAGGTTACATATACAATGTGTGTGATGTTACCTCCACGATAATAGTGTACTTTATTGAGATCGATAAGTCATGTCTAAATTCGAATTTTACCAAATTTCAAGAAGGATTAAAATATGAACAAAGATTTCATTTACCACGCATACTATACGAGTATTTTTGAAATAATAAAATTTTAAAATGCTGTGGATTTAACACATTTCAATAAAATTATGCATATTATAAAAATATTAGAAATTCTATCAACACTACATGTTATTTGCTCATAAACTTTAATGGTTGGATCTTATTCAAAACCTCCATCACAGAACAAGTATTATCAACAAGTCGAAATACTAACCCGGGGTATTTTCCTTCACCTTAACGTGAAAGTTATTGTCATTGAATTCTGTAATTTTTTATTTTCTGTAAGAAATTTCTTTTTTTTTTTAATTTAATTCTTCCTGGCCTGGAAATTTGTACCATTGGCCGAATACGTAAGAAATTTCTACTTCGAAAGTGCTGCCACCACACTGTTAAAATAAATAACTGAAACAACAACTGGAAAAATAGTTCTGTATCCTGAAAAGGACGTAGCCTGTGGACGTACCTGAAAAGTATACTAATAAATAAAATCAATTTAAAACCAAAGTCTATTATGTAATTCTAATAATATAATAACTAAGTTTTTTACTAAAAAAGAAGAGTATTTTAATACATTCTTATAAAGTTTAACACAAAGAAATAAACAAAATATTAGTACCGTGGCAGCACTACCGTTTAAAAATATGCCCAATACTGCCTTAGAGCACCCTCAAATCATATCTTGTTCAATATGTATGATTTCATCCTTTGCGATTACATATTTATTGATAATTTTGCTGTGCTAATCATAATGGATTGGAAAAGTATATTTTAAAATTAACTACATCCAATAAATACAACTATGACAGTAGTTATATTTATGATAAATGATTGTTGTAGTTAAAATCTTGCCACTCTATCTTGCATTTAGTTAATAGTGAAACTTTACCTACTAAAAATGTAGTTCTGTAATTTTATATTATCTGTGAGAATGTGAATTTAAGCCAAAAGGTATATGAGTGCTAGATTATTCTCAGAATGACAATTAACTTAGAATATGAATTAGTTTCACAGTGTCATAGGATTCGTCATCTAGTCTAAACCATTTCAAGAGCTGAATGGCACCTGAACAAATACAACTCTGGTAGTATTTTATCAGTTTAAGAAAGTTATAAATATTATATTGTTCTTTGAAGTAATCGCCGAAGCGAGTGTATAATCAAATGTAAAAGCAAATAATCTCAAAATGAGTTTGCTTGAGCTCGCGTGTTTTGTTATTTCTATTTTCGTGCTAAAACTACACGTCCACAGGTTGGCTTTGCACAGTATTAGGGTTGCCATGTCTTCAAATCGGAAAGCCGGATAAATCTACGCTAATCAATATGGAGGATTAAAAGTGGTTCTTCAATCTCTAGATAATTTTTCATATTTACTTGTAGTAAGCAACACGTCACTAACACAGGCGGAACAGCCAATAGAAACTATAATATCTGGCTTTTTTCGACCGAATAGCAACCCTAAAGATTATTTATTAAGACTAATAATTATTACAGTCCCATAAAATGTTAACGTAACTAGAATGCCTGTTGTGTGCGTTTATTTTTAGGACGAAAAAGTTATGAGTGAGCACATAAAATATTTTAAGTCTAACAGTCTCATTAGACAAAATTATCGCAGACTTAGTAATAAGTGAATGTTTAATAATGGAGTTAAAGCTGATTATTTGCCATAAACGTGTCTGTAGATGCCATATTTCGTAGTTAAAAAGAGTTGAATCAATTTAATTTTAGGTGTACGAGAAGACAGTAGTCATAAGTGGTCTTTATGTATGAAACCAAGTATAGTACCTCACTATCTCCTATTCTTGCTTATTCCTTGAACTTATTTTTTCATTAATAATATTATAATTAATTAAGTACGTTTTTATTTCACTAGTAATGTTAATTATAAGTCTAGTTAAGAATGTTGACTAAGTCACAAGATAATTTATTACCAATGACATGTTTTTAAATTCTTTTTATATTACCTATTTTTTGTATAGTTGAGTGTAAAAAGTTGAAATATATATTTTGATGAAACACATGAACTTATGTTAATTGTATATAACAGAAGGAGTAGCCAGATGTGTGATTTACTAACCACTTGATTTTACTACTTCGACATCTCTCACTACTTTCAGATGAAAATTAGCCAAATACTTATTTGACCATTACCTTACCAATATTACAGTTTGTAAACTACTGTCCAGTGCTACAAAAACTACTTGTAATTAATAATGCACCTATCCATACCTATCTAAAATGTGTCAAGGTTTATAGAGAGGTTCATATTTGACTGTATAGAGTTCGACTTCATGTAGCAGTATTTCGAAAATTTACAAAGAGTCGTAATGTAATAAAGCTGGGAAGGCAGTCAACTGCAGCGAGTGATTGCTTCAAAACCTGGAAGTTTTCACTACATAGAGTTTAACATAAAACGATGTTAAAATACTGAAAACCACAACTGAACATATTTTTACCTTACTATGTAGTGATCGGTCATGTAAATATTATTATGTAAATCAATGTCTTAAAAAACACAAATCAAATGAAAATAGAGTAAGTATGCATAGGTGTATTTAACATAAGTATTATAATTGGATGCAGTAATAAGGTTGCCGATATCAGCATGAATTCATTTTGCAGTAATTTCAAAATAAACTTAAGAAATTAATTAAAAACCGCAAGCTATTAACCAGTAAACTGTAACTGACAAGAAATTAAAATCGAATAGGGATGGTGACTGGGTAATGAAATCGAAATTCTATTTAGTCCGTCAGACAGATAATAAAAAAATTTTGGACACATACTCGTATTTTAGATTTTTTTTCTTAATGGAATAGTTACAGTATTATTTTGAGTTGAAATGTCGCGTGATGTCACTTTTGAGTAAAAATTCTACTCAAGCGTGACGTAACGCGCCATTTCAACTCGATGTAGGTAGCATTGTTATTATTTAATTATGAAAGAAAATAAAAAATATGAGTCTAATATTTTCTAATTATCTGTCTGACGGACAAATAATTGAAATTTTGACATCTAACCTTAGTATGAGCAGGCCTCCGTCACTCGCCTATGCCGGCCGAGATAATTACCTACAGCGCGCGACAACTTCAAGTTGCAAATCAGTCAGGACCGCCACGCGCCTGTGAGCACACGCGTATTTCTATACACGCTCGGTCGATCATCGTCACAATCAAGGTTTATTGTTCCAACAGTACTGTTATCCTTCTTTAATGTAAAATCGTAGTATTTAGGAATAATAATTAACTGTACTAATTTAAATAATTAAAAAACTACACTTTTTAAATAATTTTGAAATACTTATGACAAAAAACTGTAGCCAAAAAATTATTTTAGCTAATATAAACATTAACTTACTTCACCGTGTCTATTTTCCGACTCTACACCTTTTAAAACTATTTGTCCAATTTCGAATTATTGCAACACTAAAGTTTATTAATAGGTACTTTAGAGATGGTACGATTATACAAACACCACTAGATTAAACATTACCAATCGTAAATACAATAAATGCTTCTTAAAATTAAGTTATTATTTATTTTACTTTGCTTATACAACCCTGACGCTTGAGCTGCGTAGATCAATTGTGGATCAATTCTGAACACAAAAAATTTGCGCTCTTGTGAGCGTAGTAGTAAGGTGCGATTTCGAATGCACCATGTGCGTTGGATATTTTGCATTATTATTATTACCGTTAAAATGTCGGCATCTGATCCTACACAAAGGAGTGCAATTTCTGTTGCTACTATTATGTATTCTGTGGTATGAGTTTATGCTGATATCAATTGAAGCTCATCAATACTTGTAATCGTACAATAAGAATTCCCGCTGTTTAGTGCCATTGATTTTCCCTTTATTTCTGCCTACGCACTGTGCCATAAAAGCAAATTTTTAAATAATTAAGGTTTAGGTACCTCTTTAAAAACAGCTAGCTCCGTGTCTGAATCTAAAATTGTCACATCGTCAAAAATTTTGAATACCTAAATGTGCATTATCAAATTGAACAATGCTTGAAAAAAGTTTTGTTTAATAAGTGTTTGAAAGAAAATGTTGTACAGTCAGCGCTAAGAGTCAGCGTCAAATAGGTAAGTATAGTTCCAAAATACTGGACTGTCCTGTCGATGACATTGACAGTGGGGCGCCACCGTCAATACCGGATCGCTGGTTCAGATTTTTGCCATGTTGGAAACCATATAGTTGAACGATGGTAGCGCCCCCCTGTCATTGAGTTTGGTGGGACAGTTCAGCGTGGGTCATCTATAGTTAGTGATACTGGTGTCAAAAAGTTGACAACGCAATATTATTTCAATTGTAACAAAGACGTGTTGCGAACTTTTTGGCTACTTTGGGTGTCACGAATTACCTAACTGTACCTGTACGCTGACTGTAGGTACCTACGTAGTATTCTATTGATTTCCACATGTGTGCAAGCTGATCTTAAAGATTTACCTCTCAGTCGTAAAGTAAACGATATTATTTGTATTGTAAATTCTGTTTTACTACAACTTTCACGTTTCAGAACAAATTAAATATAGTCACATTTATTTATGTGTGTTTTTATGTGTGTCCTATCTACCTTTAAACATCGTGATGTTAGTCCAGTCATTTAAGCTTAAATTAGGTAAGAATCTCGGAATTCGAGATACCCAGCTGTAAGTCTGTAAATACTTGTATATTGACACCCTAAAAGTTGTCTCAAAACCTACATATGGTAGGGTGTAAGCAACTATTAAATTTTAAGGTCAAAGGTCACAAAAATCGGTTTTTTGCGCTTTATTTGGAAATATCTCATTTCCTTTGGGTTTTTTGCTATTTGTATTTATTATCAATATTGTAGAATACTAAATTCTCTACAAATTTTGTTTAAAAACTTTTTTTATACGGTGAACCGTTTTCGAGATAGAGGGCGGAGAGCGCGCGGTCACTGCATCACTTCAGGTCTACTTAAGCGGTTTAGATTTTTCATACAAAAGGATTTTCCCGCTAATTCCTGTGGGAATTTCGGGAATTCCTTGTTGTAACTAAGCTTTGAGTTTACTAAGGTACCTACATGCCAAATTTCAAGCGTCTAACTTCCGTTAAGCGTTTAGATTTTTCATACAAAAGGATTTTCCCGCTAATTCCTGTTCCCGTGGGAATTCCTAAGTATACTATAACCTGCCCAGGTGTATGAAGAATAATTGTACCAAGTTTCGTTAAAATCCGTCGAGTAGTTTTTGTTTCTATAAGGAACATACAGACGGACAGACAGACAGACAAAAATTTTACTGATTGCATTTTTGGCATCAGTATCGATCACTAATCACCCCCTGATAGTTATTTTGAAAATATATTTCATGTATAGAATTCTGTCCGTCTGTATGTTCCTTATAGAAACAAAAACTACTCGACGGATTTTAACGAAACTTGGTACAATTATTCTTCATACACCTGGGCAGGTTATAGTATACTTAGGAATTCCCACGGGAACAGGAATTAGCGGGAAAATCCTTTTGTATGAAAAATCTAAACGCTTAACGGAAGTTAGACGCTTGAAATTTGGCATGTAGGTACCTTAGTAAACTCAAAGCTTAGTTACAACAAGGAATTCCCGAAATTCCCACAGGAATTAGCGGGAAAATCCTTTTGTATGAAAAATCTAAACCGCTTAAGTAGACCTGAAGTGATGCAGTGACCGCGCGCTCTCCGCCCTCTATCTCGAAAACGGTTCACCGTATAAAAAAAGTTTTTAAACAAAATTTGTAGAGAATTTTGTATTCTACAATATTGATAATAAATACAAATAGCAAAAAACCCATAGGAAATGAGATATTTCTAAAAAAAGCGCAAAAAACCGATTTTTGTGACCGTTGACCTTGAAATTTAATAGTTGCTTATACCCTACCATATGTAGGTTTTGAGACAACTTTTAGGGTGTCAATATACACGTATTTACAGACTTACAGCTGGGTATCTCCAATTCCGAGGTGAACTTACTATAATGACTGGACTATGTAGCAATTTGAGACTTTGTCTTGGGTTAGATTTCCAGGTAAAGCAGGCGAAGTGGGAAATAGCTATAAAAACTGCCATTTTGGCTATATCAAGCAATTGTCTGATGAATTACCGTCCTGTCGGTTCGATTGAGCCATTTCAGACTTCTGTAGCGTCTCATAAAGTCTGACCTCAGGGCCGCAGCCCACACTGTGGATCTAAAAACACGACAAAGCGGACTATTGCGAGGTTTATTCACATTGAGAAGCCAAACTTAAAGGAATCAATTTTACTTTATTACACAGGTGAGGGTACCTACTCTACCTTTTATCAACTGTTTAAGCGGAACGGAAGTTGGAATGATAAAAGTTAATGTGGTTAAGAATTTTTCAAATCGGTCCAGTAGTTTCGGAGCCTATTCAATTCAATACAAATAACCAAATCTTTCCTTTTTACAATATGTTAGGTAAACAGATAGATAGTAGAGCAAACTGAGCAAGTATTTATCCATGCCCTATCTAGGTGCATGAATGAGTGGGTGTATATTACCCACCTCCCGTTCCCACTGCTACTCTTGTGTAGCCAGGATCTACAGCTTTACCGTCATAAAAACCCAACCAATGAAGTGAAGTTTGTCCCGGGGGAAAGTTAAACTGTCATCAACCCGCAACGAAATTAATCAGAAGAACATAGGAGGAGTTCGAAGTTAAGGTTCGACTTCCCTCCATTGCAAAGCGGATGACAGGTGACAAACAAAGGTTTAAAACGAAAAGATTATGCACCACGATCAATGAATATCAATTAAGGGGGCCTATCTTATGAACAAAAAATTAGCAACTACCTGCCAAGAATATGTAGGATGTATATTTTATTAAGTCATCATGCTATCTTCTTTAATAATACTCACTTGGAGTGAGTGTTACAAGTCACTGCTGAAGTCCTACCAAGTAAATGGTAGGACTTCAGCCTTCCTTAATCCGCTGTTGACATAAGTAGGCCTCCTAACGCCTCTCTTTTATTGTTTGTATTTTCCTATATGCATGCATATTTCACGAATTATATACCAACTCCTGACCTATCGTTTACGCGATTATTAAAGGTCAAAGACACGCACTAAACCCTATCGATCGTGTTTATTTTATGATCCATTGCATACCATACACTGAAATGACCTACTAAAGAATTTAGCGAGTCTCGTCAACTAGTGCTAAACGAAAAACGGTCGCAACCCTCTAACTATAAGTACAAACAGGGCCCGTTATTCCCTACTTTATATATATGTGATAGGTTTGTTCACTCTCATTTTAGGACTCAGCGTCCTATACTGTGCTTGCGATGATTTCTTTTTGAGTCTAAAACTTACCTAAGCCAAAAGTTGACAGCAGTTCCAAAATGGCGTACAAGTTGGTTTGGATGATAGCCGCGGTTCTGGCGGCTGTAGCCGCGATATCCATACATGGAGACTATGAAACGAAATTCGATGAAGAAGACGATTTGGAGGAGTACAATGAACGAGAAGGAAAATTATGTGAGTACCTATTATTATGTGACTGAGTTTGTTGCGGCGCTTCTTCTCAGCACTTGCCAAATGTTGGTCTCGAAGCGCTGGTAGGGTAAAAAGATTATAAGACATTAGAGGCTCCTTAAGAGCAAAATGACGATTTGTAAGAACTATTTATTAGTCTAAACAAATAAGGAAATTTTGACTTTGACTTTGACTATGATAAATTTGCCTGTAGTAGGCAATCTAAGGCAATGTTGGTTCATTGTAATAGTAAATAATATACAATTATTTTATATTCAAATCAACTGTAGCGGCGATCATTTAGATACCTAAGTACCTACGTGTTAAGCTTATGTTGTCGTTTCATGTAGAAATGGTAATTGCATTATACGACAGTTTCAGTAAACAGATAATTTAATCATAACCACGAGACCGTCCTATTTTAGCTACACACACACCTAGTTTTATTATACCTATCTCTAAAAAATAAGCATAAAATAAAATCTAGCTGTGCGAACTAAAAACTTACAAAGAAACTGCGTCTGAAAATCTTTTTACAACAATTTAAAAAACACGCTTGAATATTATTGACCCCATTCCTTTTTTCCAGTTGAGCTTAAATATGTGTGCCTTGTTAAATAGCAATGCATAGGTTTTATATAGGTACCTACTGTACTTTTCTATCCATAACCATACCATTATTATCTATGTACAGAACTAAGTAGATACTTCTTAAAATTGATGCTACGAAAATGTTGTTGGTCTGAAGTAGAGTGCGTGAAAACTGTATTAAGCATTATTGGTATAAAGACTTCATTAAAACTTTTCACGTATTCAGTTAAGAAGCAATGTCTAATCATCCTAATATCGACCTTGCCCGTATTTTTCATAATTCCGCTTTAACTTTATCCAGATTTTAATTTGAAAAATAACCTTTGGAATTAATTATTAACTTTAAATACTTATTATTTTTAATGACAAAATAGGTAAGTTTGTCAACATTGGGTATTAATATAAAAGTGGTGTTAGTACCTAATGTTGACAAAACGGGTTTACTCCGTAAAAGTTGGTATCGCTAACTAATCTCCCAACTTTCATTATAAGTAGGCTACGTGAACGATTTCAATATGTGGGGCCATGGGAAACATTAATGCTTGCTTCACCACGGAATAAATTGTGTAGAATTGCGGCCGTTTGGTGTAGTGGTTTGAAACGGACTACTATTCCGGAGGTAGCGGGTTCGATTCCTGCACAGTACAAACAGTGCATGCACATATTTGTTTGTATTGGACTGGGTGTTTTCTATGTATAATAAGTATGCTATCTATCTACAAAAAAAAAGTATTTAAGTATGTTTATATCCGTGGTCCAGTACCCATAGGTAAGTACAAGCTTTGCTTAGTTTGGGAGTCCCAACACTACACTGCGCTTCTAGTCCCAAATTGGGACTAGAAGCGCAGTGTAAAATATCCAAGGATATTTAAAAAAAATTAAAAGAAAAGGTATTATTAGTAGTATGTACACACGGCCACACTGTCAACTATCCATGTCCGTTTTTGCTCTCGCTCTAATCAAATGGTGATTCTTTGCGATAGAACGAGATGACATGACTGGCAATGGGCAGTTAACACTGTTGCCGATAGTACCTAATATCTTGTTGGTTATTCTACCATTTTCCTGCCAACGTAAAGAGAGAAAATTGATGTTAATAAATACAAACTGCTAGACAGAGTTTCATTACACCGACCTTATAAACTTCCTACATATTATGCTAAAACAAATAATCTTTAAACAAATTGAGTTAGGAATAACAATGTGACATACAAAATTTTATGGAAATAAGTAGAACAAGAACTTCAAAGATCACATAAGGCGACCCAAGTGACGGAAAAAATACAGTACCTAATGATTTTCGCACGTTATTTATAAATCTTCATGTGATGATAACTTTATCATGACACAGGTTGTAAACCAATAAAATAACTTCATTCTATTTGCACCTTTAACCTGTTCCTACATTGCCCTTATACTTTCAGTGTTCCCATTCGTCAGCATCGTCCGTTTCGCCAACACGGACTGTTCCAGCACGAATACCATGAACGGCACGTGTCTAGCGCGCCGGGAGTGCAACAACCTCAACGGCACCATCACCGGCTCCTGCGCTAGTAGGAGGGGCCGATGTTGCATCGGTAAGTTGAAACAGCCCTACGTTTAATTCCAACTACTCCTCCAAGCCTCCAATGTACTGAAAGTCTCTTATGAGAAGAAGAAGACCTCATGATAAGCTTCAAGGTTACCCACGTAGACAAACATGAGAGGATGTCCTTAGGTTAGAACGACTCTAGTACTAAACCATGAACGGCACGTGCCTGGCGCGCCGGGAGTGCAACAACCTTAACGGCACCATCACCGGCTCCTGCGCTAGTAGGAGGGGCCGATGCTGCATAGGTGAGTTGGAGAACTAGTTTAGTTCCTACTACTCCAGCACAAATACCATGAACGGCACGTGCCTGGCGCGCCGGAAGTGCAACAACGTCAACGGCACCATCACCGGCTCCTGCGCTAGTAGGAGGGGCCGATGCTGCATTGGTAAGTTAAAACAACCCTACTAATTTCAACTACTCCTTCAAGCCTCCAATGTACTGAAAGTCTCTTATGAGAAGATTGGCCTCATTGGCACCACCACCGTCTCCTGCGCCAGTAGGAGGGGTCGATGCTACATATTCAACTCCTCCAATGCACTGAGACGTGGATCTTTACTAAAAGACGATGGAGTGTGCTATGCTCGGAGTTTCCCTACGTGATCGAATCAGAAAAAAGAATCAAAGTATCCGCCGCAGAATTATAGACCGGAATACGTGTAGACAGGACCCTCTTGGAAATACGACTAGCTGGTGAAATCGCTCAAAAACTTATGTCAATTAGGGCTATCATTTTTACATAGCAGTAGGCACCGCTGGCGAGTGACATTACCTTATTCTAGTACTCTACAAATACGATAGCCCTCAAATGGGTTGCGAGTCACTCAATTAATAATTTTAAGTATTAATGTCCAGTTTAATCTCTAGTGTCTCGGACGTGCGGCTCCACGTCGAACGTGAACAACACGTACTTCACGAGCCCGGGGTACCCAGCGGCGTACGCGGGCGGCGCCGCCTGCACCATCACAGTCAACCGCTGCAATAACAACATATGCCAGGTAAGCCCCGATTTTTCCGTTAACCTCTAGGTATGCTTCTTATTGACTCCATGACTATTCCCACCTCTCGTTCCCACCACTGCAACTCCTGTGTAGCCAGGATCTACAGCTTGACCGCCATAAAAACTCAACCAATGAAGGTCAAGTTTGTCCCGGGGGAAATTTAAACTGTCATTGGACCCGCAACGAAATTAATCAGAAAAACATAGGAGTTCGAAATTGAGAGGATGTCCTTAGGTTACGCTTAGAGACCCTATCCTAGTGTTGAATATCAAATAATATAATGTACCTAGTTCCTATTTACATTGATATTCCTCTAGGTATGCTTGTGTTAAGAGTGGGTTCACTACAATTGTACGACTTTTGAGCCTTCATAGGAAGTCAGAATTCTAGTTATTTGAATCGTTTCGTTGACTAGCGTCGCCTACAATTACAAGTTTTATAGAATCAGCCTACAGGCAGTGGCGGATTTACCAATAGGCCAAGTAGGCCAGTGCCTAGGGCGGCAGATTTAGAGGGGCGGCAAATTTAGAAAAATTTTTTTACAGGAAAAAAATATATAATTATACGTATACCTACACAATCCATATACAGGGTGTTTCTTGTAAGGTGTCAAGCCGAAGGCAGGTGATAAGNTTGTGCATAGAGTCAGAACTAATGAAAAAGATTTCATACGTCGATATAATTAATGATTTTGCAAATTTAAAATCTCGCAAGAAAATAATGTAAAACTTATTTGATCTCATTGTCTGTCACCATTAACTGAATTGTTAACATGTTATATTTTAATAGAAATTCTTTGTATTGTTTTTAAACTGTTAAGTCCAATAAAAATATTTACCAAAAACAATGTTTACTGACCACACATTATTTTGTCTGTGTTCATATAGTGTAGGTATTTTTAAGTCATGCCTTTGCCCACCTTAGGATTAGTACATACCTACTGCTATTTTTAGGTCAACATTAAACTCTTCATTACATAGCGGGTTGCAATAATAATTTAGTAACTGACAGAATAATATCATTAAGTTCACAATCATACAAATAACGGGATTAAACTAACGTATTGAATTTCAAAAGTCAGTAGGTAGGGGCGGCAAAAATTGAATGGCCTACTAGCGGCAAATTTGTAAATCCGCCACTGCCTACAGGTAATGCCATAGAGCTCGGTCTTTCTACCCAAACATTTCTGGCCGCCTGGCACATAAGCGCACAAAACAAATCAGAGACAACTCAAACTAATTCTATCTCCTCAACAGCTCCGTATCGATTTCTTGGACATGGTGTTAGCCCAGCCAGACGGAGACGGAAACTGTGCCACCGACTCCATCACCGTGACTGGTGGGAACACGGTGGTACCAACACTATGCGGGGACAACACCGGCCAGACCATATACGTGGACTTCAACGGAAACAACGCCCTGACCATAACTGTCACCGCAACATCATCCACAACCTTCTCTAGGAGGTGGAACATACGCCTCACGCAACTGGGGTGCGACTGCCCAGGAATTGGTGAGTAAATCTTTGGAACAGCGAGATCAATGAGAGCTCTGTGACATTTCTATTCATGGCCGTCTACATCACGGTACATGGCAGAATGGGAAAATACTACCCTGCGCTCGTGTGACCCTACAGATTGTTCGGATTGCGTTAAGATTTTCACATTAATCTTTAACCTAAAAAACCTATTAACTAACCATTTTCCCTCAGGTTTTCGCACTTCAAATCACAAAGAATATTACAAAGTGTTGCAAGACGTGGTACAGCTGCATAATTCACCAGAGGCACAGCGTCCTTGACAGATGCGGAATAATGCATCGATTGATATTGGCATAATACATTGTATCACCTGACTAAGACTGATGAATGTGCTCGACGTTTTTCCACGTCTACTTAGGGAAATTCATCGATCCTATGCAAATTTTACTGCGTCAAATATCGCAATTTGAAAGTCCGATCGACCAATGCATGGAAGTTTTTGGTATAAAATTATTAGGTATGATTACTTACATGGCGATTCTTGTCAAGTCGAAGGCAAAATGATAAGTTTAAATTCTTCCTACAAACTAGAATCGGGGCCAACTATCGGCCGACGAAATGTCTGTAGTCTGCGCCTAGGCTAAAAACTTCAAATGTTTAGCGACCGATGATCACAAAAATGTTCTTAAAATTTAACAACCTATGCTTTATCTCAATCGAGACTTGACACGACATTTTTAAGCCTAGGCGCAGACCGCCGAATTTTAGTTGGCCGATAGTTGGGTCGGGCTGTTTATCAGTATGGGCATGTATGAAAGTGCGCACACTACACCGATTTGGTATCAGCCGATTCTTCGTACAAATTAAAATCGGGACCAACTATCGGCCAACTAAAAGTCGGTGGTCTGCGCCTTGGCTTACAAAACATTTTATCCGTCAGAACTCGACATTGCGAATGCAACCTTCATTTGACCGGTAGCCAGATACTTATTATGTAAAAATAAAACAAAATGTATGTAAATGAGTTCTATTTTCGCTTTGTTATGTATTTTTCAGCTCCAAACGGCTGTCTGCAGTACTACACTGGTACTACTGGTACAATAAACAGTTTTAACTTCGGAGACGCGGCCAATTCTGCGCTTAGCGCGTCTCTGGTCACGGGCACCAGGCAAATGGTCAATCTCAACTATGGGATTTGTATTAGAATGGAGGCCGGCTTCTGTGCTATACAGTATGCACAGGTAAGACTTTCCGTCAAACCATAAGATACATTATTCGTCACTTAAAACTTTTAAGTGCCGTCCCCATAATGTTCGCAACCATAAGGCTAAGCACTCATGGCGCGATTTTCAACGCGCCCCCGGCGGTTGCGGGCCCGCAGCTTCTGTAGAATGCAGATACTTATGTAAAAACTAATTGCCAAACTTACGAAGCGGTTTTCGCCCGCAGCGGGCGCGGTTGTAATCGGGTCCCGCACGGCGGTTTACGCCCGCGCGAAAACCAGTGATTTAAAATCGTGCCGTGAGTTCTTAGCCTAATTCTTGTAACTTTAATCTTTTGTCCAGACCAACGACGTGTTTTCGTTCACGGTGTCCGGTGACGTGGAGGGAGCTGACCTGACGGTTCTGGGGACGGCCCTAGGCGCGTCCAACGACGGAGCGTGCACCACAGACTTCGTGGTGATCCCCAATCCCACGGTGGTGGCCACCGGAGTCGCGGTCGGTACCGACCGGTTCTGCGGTATCGGTTTCGTCACCGTAAGCAGTAAGTATTTTCAGCCGAGCTACGATACGAACTACGGTAAAATCTATGCGCAATCTTATCGATGATTTTAGATGACAAATGTATGGGCTTATCACGTATCGATAAAAATGGCGCGATAAAAGCTTATGACGACGCGCATCTTAAGCCTACTGATGCATAAACATTAATACTGTAAAGATAGATCAAAATCTGTAATTGTGTTAAAGAGTAACAAACATTCATTCATTATCACAATCTTTCACATTTGTGAAAAATGTGCCAAGATGCGAATAAAACGGAGCCAAAACAAATATATCTTAGGCCGACTATTTAGGTCAATCCACTCGTAACACTTCTTCTTCTTCTTCTTCTTCTTATTAATGGCGATGAACTTGTGTTTTTCGCCACAGGGCACACTGTTCCGCCAATATCAAGTATATTTTATCGTACCACGACAGATCATTTTTGCTTCCAAAAGACCGATAACTCGGTTCGGGGGTCTTGTCATACATAACTAATTTATATTTACTAACTCTCGCTACCTAAACACTCCCCTGAAATAATAAGTAGGAGTATTTTATATGCGATTGAATCAAACAATTCTTTTCCCCAGGTGCTAGCAAGCCGTTCGTCCTTTACGTGGTGACAGACGCCAGCGAAGGAGCCACTGCCACCTCACCTCCAGACGTAGCTAACAGAGGCTTCTCTCTCACTTACACACAAATAGCTTGTTAAAAAGTCTAAAGGTCATAGCACACTTATCAACCCGGAAAGGGATCAACACCGTATCGCCTTTGCAGTACGGAGTTTCATACAAAGAACTGCTGACCGCCTCGAGTTGATACGGTTACGATCAGTGTTCGGATTGATTGCTTCGTCCTTTATCCTAATAACGGAATAACTACTTTAAATGTGTGTAATATAAGATTTAAATTATCATTAAGACTGCAATATTGTAATAACTTTGCATTAAGTATTTGGTTAAATGGTATGTTTGAAAAGAAGACTTTGACCATGAAAGTGCCAGTAATTGTTTTTGTCTGCTTTTTGAACGGGATTATTTCAGCATTATTATTGTAAATAAAGTTTTATTTAACATGTTATGTTTTTTTATAATTATTTCGCAATGCTTTATTTTATGATATATGGGAAGGCAAAAGTACAGAAAAAAACAACAATTAAAACGTTAACGTGTATTAACAACTAATCAATAAAATCACAATTGCATTTAATACTCTAATATGACTCCTTCCAATAAAATTAAGAGCCAATGCACACGACGCGTTACGGCGGTGCGACGCCGGAGCGGTGTCGCTGCGTCATCTTACATAATAATATCTGTGGCGGGCACACGAGCGGTGCAGCGCCGCGTTGTCGATACGGCAAAATCTTTCGAGGTTCAGCGCCGTAACGCACCGTGTGCTTTGGCTCTAAGATAAAATGAGAATAATAGATTTACGTAACAGAACTAATCTCAGATTTAGAGCTAGAAGTGTAACTTAGTGTGTACTTTAATGATAACAATTATTATGTCGCATCTGTATAATTAATTAGCTATTAAATAAACTCAACTCTAAAATATGAATAAGCTATAATGTAACATTAGAAAATATTATTTATGAATTTCAACTACAACACATGTTCACACTTGGACGCAAGTTGCACGTGACGTGTCATTAAGGTGGAATCAGACCATTCAATCAGATAATTTCTCACTCGATTTAATTTCGAATGCCGGAAGGTGCCGATTTCATTAATAAACAACAGAACAAGAATTGAATGTTCCACTCTCACCTCAAATCATACTTACTTAAATAAATCATTAAAACCATATTACTTCGCCACCTGCATAGCTCTATAGGACAGGGCCTCCCAAACTGCGCGTCGTGACACCCTAGGGGCGTCACAGCATTATCCCAGTTTGTTGTGGGGCAAACTTACTGTATCGATGTGACTTGAACTTGTTACGAGGCTTTAATAACTACAAAATGATAAGTACTTTTAGACGAGAGGGGAAGGGGTCATCGCAACAAGTGTCAAATTCAAAAGGACGTCAGCATAAAAATAAGTTTGGGAAGCCCTGCAATAGGACATACCTTCACACACAAGTCAAGCGACAATGAACTCTACGCATGAACAGCTAAGACCTTTCCCATTTTCCTGTCGATGCTGTTCTTGATATCGTCATACCACTTGCCGATATCGGTGTGGTTCCGTAGGTCCTTGAAGGCCTGGCAGCCCTCGATGCTGCTTAGGACTCCATACACTGTGATGTCGGCTAGGTTCGGTTGGTCGCCACCCAAGAATCGGCCCCTTTTCTTCACGGCTGCTGTCCATTCGTTCGCCGCGTTGTAAAGCGACTGCCGAGCGTCACTGATGTTGTGCCTGAAAATAATTATTATGATTTTTGACAAATGGAACAGCTGATTTCAAAAATTCATAGACAAAAGGAAGAAATGGAATAGACAAGTAGTTAAATATCACCATCACATGAATAGGCGTATGTAGGACGCCAAAAATTCAGCTTAATAAGCATGAAGTATTTTTCCGTAACCTATAATATTTCAGCTTAAATTACGTGTCATTTGGCGTAAAGGTGAACCTTTCAAGTAGTATTTTGTATGCGACATCATTCAGGTCGATTAGCCTTCCCTACTCAGGTATCTGGCCAGTGCAGTGTAGAGAATAGGCCGAATCTTTCATTTGCCTCTGATACATTGAATACGGTTGTGGTTGCGCAGTGAAGACAAAATTACCTAATAAAGATAACATCTCTCGACGTTAACTTGTCCCTTAACGACCATATTTTTTTTTATATAGTATATTATTTTAATAAATATCCTTGGAAATTTTACACTGCGCTTCTAGTCCCAAACTAAGCAAAGCTTGTACTATGGGTACAAGACAACGGATATAAACATACTTAAGAGCCATTTTACATTTTCGTGCAAATTTCTAAGATTTTGGAAGCATGAATTACTATCTTAAGCAACACCCAGAGATTATTTAATTACTGCGAATCCTTTTTGTTGACTAATAATGTCAGTGCCCCATCTCCCACAACCATTTTACGGAAAAATTGCCGCAGACTCAATTTCAAAGTCCTGTATCTATTATTTATGCTCGTATAATAAGCTTAAAAATATATAGAAATCATCGGACATATATTCTTGTAGTCCAATAGTCAAACGGATTCTTGAATTTCATTACCATTATTAAGTAAAATCTAAAAATATTTTGGCAAATTTTTAAGATTTACGTCACATTTTGATCGTGATTTTTGGTTTTAATACACAGCAATAACAGCAATAAAAGTATCCCAAAATAAAGAATATTCATTGGAGAATTGATTTCCACAGTTATTGTTTAAATATTAGTAACTACTTTGTCAAAATATTGATGTGAATATCAGTATAAATTACAATGCGGAAGCCGACATTGATTAGTACGGCGCGNATGGCTGGTTCACTCGTCATGTCTGTGAACAGGCGCTGCTTTCGGGGACTGGTCAATCCAAGTTATTCAAATTTATGTATGCGAGTCATTTCTACTAGTATCTTAATATGTAAGTCTAGATATTAGCACGTCACTACCTTGTTTAATATACCACGCAATCTTGTATACCTACCCATTCTTATAAGATACACCATACAAGAATGCATGGTAAATTCAGTGAACTGCTCCTGAATTGAATGTACCTACTACTACTATTTCTATTTATTTATATTAACCGGCAGACAGTGGTGACTGAGTTTGTTGCGGCGCTTCTTCTCAGCACTTGCCAAATGTTGGTCTCGAAGCGCTGGTAGGGTAAAAAGATTATGAGACATGTAGAGGCTCCTTAAGACCAAAATGACGATTTGTAAGAACTATTTATTAGTCTAAACAAATAAAGAAATTTTGACTTTGACTTTGACTTTGACTTTGACATGAGTACATAATGTAACTCATTAATAAACGTCGCGTTAAGACCCGTGTCTTACTATTTTAATTTGTTTACACATAAACAACTAAGTTTATAGAATAACCTTGTTTGCAACTGTGCAAGTTATTTTTGACAGTTTTTGACAGTAAAATATTTAACTTTATGCTCTATCTAAATGATTGAATCTGATGTCGAATCAGCGGTGCACGGTAAAACCAAAACTGGTTTTTGTGATATCGTCAATAGTCATTATTAATATTTTGAAATACTATATAACTTGTTTTAAATAAATAATAAATAAACCATTTTTGGCTGTAAGGTGACACTGTGAAACGTGTTAAAACGAGTGGAAGTCTTTAGGTGCACTGCTGGACAAAGGGCTGTTAAAAATAGTTATTTACTTTATGATTTGACTTACCGGAGCGGTATCCCCGCCCCCTTTCCCACTCAAAAAGTCCCCAAATTCATCTACTTTCTTCTCCATCATCCCAAAGAAGTCGAACGAGTCCTGACTAGGTAGTTTCTTCTCCGTCTTCTCTGGCTGAGGTTGCTGCGTGTTCAGGTTTAGGAAGTCTGCGGTGTCAGCGGGGGCTGGGGTAGGGACGGGGGGCGGCGGCCTATGAGGTGGTTGGGAGGGGGGCGCCGGTCGGGCTGGAGGCTGCTTGTCGGCTTCTTTGGGCGGCGTGCTTTCCGCTGTCACTGTATGACACAAGTGTTATACAGGGTGTCAGGTAAATGGGTAGATATATGAGCCGACACTAGCCCGTGTTAACGTGGTCATATAAATGGTATGGTGAAGTCAGAAATTGATATCTTCATTTTATAGCCCGACCAGGAACATAAAAACCCTCGCCATGTTGCGGAAAACTAATGGTACTAATTTCTTTTAATGGCAACAGTAACTGAAAACTTCATTGACATGTCACCTTGCATGTTAGTCTATTGCTGTCAAAGTGTAAACAAACTTTATTTTAAATGTGCGCAATTGATTTTGTGAATTAAATTGCTAAAATCTTTTTATAGTCGTGAAAGAAAAGTGGTTCACAATGTGTTAAAGAATTTGTCGAAAAGAAATACTAAGGGTTCGGACAATATTTTCATTGAATAATGTTTCCGACAAAGGTTGTCAAATTGACTGACATGTTTATCGCATAGTACAGTCCACTATGAAAATTAGCTGTGGTTTGTTTCAACTACCCATTTTAAACAAAATTTTGTCACTTTCTAAGTGTTGACTTTTATGGAATTGGGAAAGAAGTACCGAGTTTGAAGCGTTCATGAGCAAACATTGCAGTTGAATATTCAAGTTCTGAATTTGATTATTGATGAATATTATAATAAATCCTACTAGCTCGATTGATGGTTTCTTTTAATTTATGTAAACCAGGTTACGTATAATAATATTTTTTTCGTTAATTTATGAAAATATCAAATTAGCCCCTAATCCTGATACATAAAGTTAGCCTATTAATTTAACACAGGTACGACTGTACTCAGTGTTGCACTATCAAATGCAATTGACGCGCCTCTATGCCAGGGTTTTTATGTTCCTGGTCAGGCTATAATTATTTTATTTTTCATACAAATCGGATTTTATAAAATTTATTTTGTATAAAAATTTAAAAAATTAAAATGATGATATCAAATTTCTGACTTCACCATACCATGTATATGCCCATGTTAACATGGGCTAGTCTCGGCTCATATACCCATTTACCTAACACCCTGTATACTAATAAATAAATAAATTACAGTTATGGATGTACACACGGCCACAGTGTTAACTATCCATTTCCGTTTTTGCTCTCGCTCTCATCAAATGGTGATTCTTTGCGATAGAACGAGACAACATGACCGGCAATGGGCAGTTAACACTGTTGCCGATAGTACAGATTGCTATGTGGCATGCTGCTATGAGCTTTTGTATGAGTCCTAACCCTCACATGGGTGTAGTACCAGACGAATTAAGCCATGTATTCATTAGGCAACATTTGTTGATAAATACTGTTTATAAACAATGTTTCATAATGTTTCATCATCTCTGTAACCAGTTTATAAACAGTCCATAAACATAGGTGATGAAAGATTGTTTATGATGTATGTTGCCGTGCTCCCTGCTATGAGTGGAGAGCAAGTGTGGACGGCCAAGTTTCAGAAACCTGTGTTTATGGTAAACTTGTTTCACACTAGTCATAAACAGTTTATCAACAAATGTTGCCCAATGAATACATGGCTTTATGTACTAATAAATAAATAAAGAAACAAATTACAATTATGGATGTATCCAGGGTGTTAGGTATATGGGTATATGAGCCGACACTAGCCCATGTTAACATGGTCATATAATACCCATTTACCTAACACCCTGTATATTGCTATGTGGCATGCTGCTATGAGCTTTTGTATGAGTCTAAACCCTCACAGTGGTGTAGTATCAGACAAATTAAACGTCACATGCTTCGCAACTGTTTTTTTTTAATAAACTTCGCGAAACGTTTATTTAACCATAGATTATTTTAATTTTTTTCTAGATTACTTTATAATTTTGATAGGATAACTATAAGTCACAAATCTGACGTGTATTTTAGGATAAAACTTGACAGTTTATGTTGACTAACAAAATATGGTAATTTAAGTTAGTTATGGCTATGGTAAGTTAATTTATGTGACTTTTAATAGAATGATAATAATGTTAATGAAAAAACCACAGCAAAATGCAGTTCTTGATAAAAAACGGGAAAAGATTAATATGAACACAAAAAATCGATTATGTTATAAACTTTTAAAATGAGCAGGTGTTAAAGCAACTACATATAAAGTGATTCTACAACACAATCTACGACATACTTTTGTTCACGTAAATGGCGCCCTGGCCGCGCATATTAGCTGCGTGAATATAAAACACATACATAAATAAATAACACATACACATAAATATAATACAAGTCGTACATAGGTATACTTTAAAAGTCACAAGACAGATCACTTATAAATAATGTTAACTACCAATATGTAACCTTGTTTATGCCACTAATCAAAACTTATAATTCTTACGATTCGGTAAAAAGTGAGTTTACCTTATGTATCAATTTGTTTGACAATAAGAATAAATAAATAAATACACTAGCTTCTTGAAGTAAGAATACAACGTTGATAAACTTACCGAAGTTATCAATAGTCTCGTATTTCTCCAGATCAGTCGAGAACAGAACATCTGGCGTGCGAATTGGGTAGGAGTGGTCATCCTCCCAAAGGTCTGTACGAGGCTTGCGTCGCTCTCCATTTTGTACCACCAAGCTGATGATCGCCGATGTATTAGCCGAGAAGTGGTCGTTGACTGGCAGCGTCTCGTCTATGCCGTCGATCTCGGATCTGTAGTCGATAAGTTATGGTTGTAGATGGAGACATATAAAAACTATCAATGAGCCCGGGCTATCGTTTTAGCGCTCACCAGTTAGCGCCACTGTAGAGTAAGGTCCTGTCACTTGCTAGTAGCGAAGACAGTGGCACCAACTTGTGAGCGCTAAAGTGGTAGGACTATCGCATTTGCACTCATCAAGATGGCGCCACTGTAGAGTAAGGTCATGTCAATCGCCAGGGGTGCCAACTGTTAAGTATAAAAACGATAGTCCTCATTGACAGTCCATTGTATACGAAGACGCTCGTGTTACCAACCACTACAAGAGACACTGACCGAATACTATCGCGCGTGGTACACTCAGCTGACCACCTAGGAACATGGTGGTCGCACTAGAACCACTACAAGTGACACAAGTGTCAGTGTCGCGCGTTACCAGCAACTGACCATCTCCTAGCAGCGTGGTGGTCTACCTAGCAACCACCACAGGCGACACTGACCGTTGGAACTTGATGGCGTGCTGCGTGGGCTCCAGGAAGCCAGTATGGAAGTGTAGCTCGAGCATGGCCACGGCGTGAGCTCGGCCTAGTTGCCACGCGTGGTACACTCAGCTGACCACCTAGGACCCTGGTGGTCACCCTAGCAACCACCACAAGTGACACTGACCGTTGGAACTTGATGGCGTGCTGCGTGGGCTCCAGGAAGCCAGTATGGAAGTGTAGCTCGAGCATGGCCACGGCGTGAGCTCGGCCTAGTTGCCACGCGTGGTACACTCAGCTGACCACCTAGGAACATGGTGGTCGGTTAACAACCACCACGCGCGACACTGACCGTTGGAACTTGATGGCGTGCTGCGTGGGCTCCAGGAAGCCAGTATGGAAGTGTAGCTCGAGCATGGCCACGGCGTGAGCTCGGCCTAGCTGTTGTCGCGCGTGGTACACGCAAATCGCCACGTCACCTACCACCGTCGTGTCTAGTGGCAGAGTCACCTGTAAACAGTGATTAACACTAGTAACAAATCATCAAAATTATCAGAGGGCTCAGAGTGAGTTTACATCAAAAGTCCTCACTAGTGAGCGGGTTAAAAAATGAATGAAAATTTTAGTTCTTGAAAGGTGTCCGCTAAGGGCGCTGTACAATACAGGGTGGAAACGATAAGTGATCTCACTCGATTATTTCTAAACTACACAATATATCGAAAATCTGGTTACTGATCCTGAAAGTGCTTTACGAGCTCTTTCAAACGGTATCAGTAATAGGTTACAGAATTAACTGGATCTATCCGAAAATTCAATGTTTTCAGCCTCCATACTAAATGTATGCCAGCCACACAATATGAAAGGTGTATTTTTTAAAATTAAATAATAAACACTTAAAATGAACTCGTAAATTGCATTCTTATTTAAAATTATTCAAAAACATTGGTTCTAGGCTTTATAGCCTGACCAGGAACATAAAAACCCTGGCATAGAGGCGCGTCAATTGCATTTGATAGTGCAACACTGAGTACAGTCGTACCTGTGTTAAATTAATAGGCTAACTTTATGTATCAGGATTCAGGATTACGGGCTAATTTGATATTTTCATAAATTAACGAAAAAATATTATTATAGGTAACCTGGTTTAAATAAATTAAATGAAACCATCAATCGAGCTAGTAGGATTTATTTTATTATTCATCAATAATCAAATTCAGAACTTGAATATTCAACTGCAATGTCTGCTCATGAACGCTTCAAACTCGGTACTTCTTTCCCAATTCCATAAAATTCAACACTTAGAAAGTGACAAAAATTTTTAAAATAGGTAGTTGAAACAAACCACAGCTAATTTTCATAGTGGACTGTACTATGCGATAAACATGTCAGTCAATTTGACAACCTTTGTCGGAAACATTATTCAATGAAAATATTGTCCTATACCTGCTATAATATTATCAAGACATGAGTGCCATGACTGTGGCAGTACTAAATGTATGGAAGTTGGAAACATTGAATTTTCGAATAGATCCAGTTTATTTTGTAACTTATTGTTGGTACCGTTGGATAGAGCTCGTGAAGCACTTTCAGGATCAGTAACTAGTTTTTGGATAGCTTGTATAGTTTTTAATATTTAGTGGTTTTACTAAATGTATGGAAGCTGGAAATATTGAATTTTCGGATAGATCTAGTTTATTTTGTAACCTATTATTGGTACCGTTGAATAGAGCTCGTGAAGCACTTTCAGGATCAGTAACCAGTTTTTCGATATCTTGCATAGTTTAGAAATAATCGAGTGAGATCACTTATCGTTTCCACCCTGTATACATTCAATATCTTTTTTTATACGCTCACTAGTGACGACGTTTGATGTAAACTCGGGTCATTTAGATACCAGAGGCTACACCTACACTCCCTATAACTCAGTCTTTCCCAAAGTGGGCGATAACGCCCCCTTGTGGGCGCTGCAGGCTTAAAGGGGGGCGGTAAGAGACCCAGAAAAAAAATCGGGACGTTGTGTAGAGGCTTGGGAGGCGTAATTTACTAGGAGGACTCTTAGACACCGACTGAGCACTCGACACTCGACTACAAATGGGGGCGCTAAAAAGAATTTATTCTCAAAGTGGGCAGTAGACAAAATAAGTTTGGGAACCACTGCAGTATAACTGGTTGGGTAGGCCGTCACTAACCAGACGAGTTCGAGGTTTGGGAAGGCCCGTCACTGGCCAGATGCGTTGAGATTTTCTTAAATTAAAACTGATATCGCTTTTAACTACTCCTACATACCTTTCCTTCAGCCATTGTGTATGTGTGCAGCCTTTCGTAGTCTTGCATGGTGGACAGTAAAAGCCTATCTTCGTTGTAGATTTCTACGTACGGTCTGCATCCGTCTCTGAAAATATTATAATTAAATTAGTATTAATTTAGTTTACATATGAGCTTGGACGAATAAACCACTGGACACGAAACCTACAAGATTTCTAAGGAAACACGATCAACCACTTTTTGCGGGGGGAGAGGTTTGACAATTGTCAAATAATGACATTTAGTGCTGGGAAAAGATCGTAAATTTTTATCGATAGTTATGTAAATGAATGAATGAATGAACCTAACGAGATAAATGAATTATGGATTGATTTAATATTGAAAGTTTCTTTAATTGAAAGACTATAATTAATTATTGTATCGTGTTTATTATAATGCCATTGGTAAATCATAGGTACAAATAATATTACAAATTATTCATATAGGTAGGTAACTAGGTGAAATATTTTTTGGCTGTGTTATCATTATCAAATTCGTAAAGCAATAAACAAGTAATATTCTGTTACGATCGACTGCTAACTAGCTTTTGGTCTCAACAAATGTTATAATCTGTCTCACGTCACGGACAAAAGTTTCATCAATAGCCTATTTCTATACATTTCATGAAACACAATTTGATAACATTATGACAATGTATTGCTTTGTAGCGCTTGCAGTACGGATGCACTATCTGAGAATATTTAATTCTTATCTAATGTTGTTGATATTCTTATGTTTAGGTCATTCGAGAAGACCTCCTAGTACTTATTTCAGTTTTGAAGACGTCGGTATATCCTAACTTCATTGATTCCAGAGCAATTTCGCGTTTCCGCTGTAAGCTGGATATTATCTTTGGTCGAAGATGTGTACACAGGGTACCTATCCTGTTGATGAGGGGTATTTCTTTTAGGGTTTTGTGCAGAATCGCGGAATATCCTGTCTCCTTGTTTTGCTTTCATAGATCGTTTCCTTTAAGTCTTAGAGTGGGTGCTTGTGCTTCCTCCTGAATAATGAGGTCTAAATGTCTGAGATTCAGAAAGAAGTCAAGTGATGCCGATAGAGTGGTTCTCATACAACCCATGGCCGCTATGTTTGCTAGGCACTATGCATGTTGTCGATATGACTTGCCCAGTTCAATTTATTGTCAAGGGAGATGCTCAGATATTTCACCTGTGTTGGTTTTGTTTTGAAAAGTTCAGTGGCCTAATTCACGTATCTTGACAGTCAAGATCTCTCTGATGTTCAGAAGTCGTCCCATTGAAAAACAGTTGATGACAGGATGGACCAAATCAAGTTCCAACCACCCCGGTATTTCACTAAACGTGAGGGGATGACACAGATCTAAAAGGTTCCACCTCGGTATTGCATACCGAAAATAAAACCTGTTAATGAAATAAAAAATAATAATTGTAGTCATTTGGCGTATTTTTGTGATGACATTATTAATATTTAGATGCAATGAAAAGTTTAAATTGTATGTTCCATCTGTGTGGATCTCATCATCTTTTGTTTCATGTGACTAAAATAAAGCCAAAAAATCAATCAACATCAAAAATATTTTATTCAAATTTGACCAGTATTTTGATGTACAACATATTTCAAAAAAGGTGTAATTATTACTTACATTTACTGGTGTGCTTGTTTTGTATGTTCCATCTATGTCTATCTCATAATCTTTTGTTTCATGTGACTAAAATTATCAAAACAAAAAAATCTATCAAAATCTAAAATTAATTTGAATAATTTCAGTTTCAGTTTGTTTGGTATATCGATAAACTTATCGACATTTTTCAAGCCCTTTACGTCATAAAAATGAGATGTGAATGAATGAATGAAACCTATAATCCAACCAAATTAAATATGCTACATGTTTTAAGCATTTACATGTACAATGAGTACTTTTTAAAATGACGTAATCATATTTTGTTTACATATCAAATTTTATTTATTTTACGAAAAAATAGCTACTATAATAGATTTAAAATGTACTTACGCGTGATAAGAAACATTTCTTGTGTGACAGGAATAATTTTTGCAATAAAGTACGGCGCATTTACCCATTTTTCGTGATATTTTTACTCTTCGAGAGCTGGCGTCATACTGACAAAGTGACAACCTGACAACATTTACCATGGCTAATTTAGCCATGGTAAGTGCTAGCGGGGTAAAGACGAAAACGTCACTCGTTACGCGTCCAGTGGTTTATTCGTCCAAGCATATGAGTGATACGTTTTTATTTGCTCGCACTTACCTCGCCTTTGTGAATAATGGCACTGGGTGGATTGTTAGAGATACCAGCGTCACAGGCCGGAAATGTGGGAGCTTCGGTTCTTGCCTGAAAAAAAAAGCATTAAATTAATTTAATTGAAAAAAAAAAAATGTCATTAGTCTTTATCGTGAGGGTTCAAGACTATTTCGAAAGATTATAACACAGAAATACAGTAAAGTAGCTAATATCGAAAGTTGCAACCTTTTAGCACCCATAATAGATACGTCTTCCCACATGTAATGTGTTATCAATCGCCCCAGCGTTTGAGATGCCAAAAAAAAACTCCGGATACTAAAAAACATTTTTTTTCACAAAGCACTACTTTATTTTCATTTGGTTGCCACCCAAGACAAGCGCCCCGTTTCGGGAAACACAAGAGAATTTAAAAGCGTTCGCTGGCTTTTAACTTTTACGTATAATTTCCCTTGGTTCTTGCAACTCAGGCTACTGATGGGTCGTTTGCTGGCTTTTTACGTGTAGTTTGCCTTGGTTCTTGCAACTCAGGCTACTGATGGGTCATTTAATACACATGAATTTCATGTTTCTATTTAGTGTCATCTTACCTGATAATGTTGGAGAGGTAATAAAGATATCTAAGCTGGCTCGGCGCGATATTGATTGGTGCTCGCTTCACGGCGAATATTTGCAGCGCGTCCTCAGGCACCGTCACTAGTTTGGAATATAGGAGCAGTCCGCAGAGCAGTATGCAGGACATGGACTTGCCGTCCTAGAAATAAGAATATTATTTAGTAACTAATTATCTTCAGTACAAGCGACTCCGCGACATGTCGCGAAGACAAGCTAATAAAGCCGCGTTTTCACTAGGAGACATTTGTCCCGCGACTCTGTCGACGTCGCTTGCGACATCTACGGGTCGCGAAACTTGTCGCTTGTCGATGCTCTGCGAGGGTCCCTCGACGGCCTTTGAGGAGTGAGTCGCTTTGTATCGCTCCTCGGGCGACATACTGTTCACTACTGGCTAGTGTGAACAAGTCATATGTCGAGAGACAAAGTTGCAGAGACACTACGTGAATGTCGGGAGATAAGTTGTCCGAACACTTCTTTTATTTTTCACCGAAATGGAACCTTTCAAAAAGGGCTTTGTTTAGCCTGAAAACTTCGTATATTATGCTCCTAGTATAAATTAATTTTAAAAATATTTTTTTTTGAAAATGCTATATCCGAACATCAGGTCTCTCAAACCGTCTTTCCATCCAAGTAGACCAATTCTGTTATTTGCTTCAGGTAAATTAGAAAGGGTCGTTATTCTGTAGTGGATACTAAATGAGTTTATAATGTTGTCATACCTGGCAGGTAATATCCACGGCGCTTTTGTCGTCCTTCCCCAAATACTGGTACATATGCTGCAGCAGCGCATAGAACTGGGCCAATAGAGGCGCGCGGTGTGCAGGAGTGGGCCACAGAGCACGGCACGCGTCCGTCACGAGCACTTGACGTGGGAAGCGCAGACACAAACGGGTAATTTAAAAACGTTATCATACCTGGCAGGTAATAACCACGGCGCTTTTGTCGTCCTTCCCCAAATACTGGTACATATGCTGCAGCAGCACATAGAACTGGGCCAATAAAGGCACGCGATGCGCAGGAGTCGGCCACAGCGCGCGGCACGCGTCTATCACGAGCACGTGACGTGGAATAGTACAGCAGACACAGAAGGGTAATTTCAAAATGTTATCTCACCTGGCAAGTAATAACCACGGCGCTTTTGTCGTCCTTCCCCAAATACTGGTACATATGCTGCAGCAACGCATAGAACTAGGCCAGAAGCGGCGCGCGATGCGCAGGAGTGGGCCACAGCGCACAGCACGCGTCCGTTACGAGTACGTGACGTGGAAAATGGAGTCTCAAAAGGGTAATTTCAAAATGTTATCATACCTGGCAGGTAATAACCACGGCGCTTTTGTCGTCCTTCCCCAAATACTGGTACATATGCTGCAGCAGCGCATAGAACTGGGCCAGAAGCGGCGCGCGATGCGCAGGAGTGGGCCACAGCGCACGACACGCGTCCGTCACGAGCACGTGACGTGGGAAATGGAGACGCGCGCCGCGACACGCGTTGTAAACACAGTACTTGCCGCCTGGGTGACGGCTTTCTAGGTATGCCTGGGAAGGGGTTAAATAATTATGTTGGTCTTCTCTCACTTATAATTCAAACTTTATTGCCTTGTCTTAAGGTTTTAAAACTATTAATAATTTATACTTGTGTATGCCCGAGAGAGACTTGAAGAAGCCCTAATAATAATGACATTAAATGTTCATAATTATGAGGGATTTGTTATTAAGTTTCCCTATTATTTGACTCAACAAACAATATTAATTTTACAAAACTCAAGGTCATTCTGTTTCTTTCATTCATAAGTACGGCAGAATATAAACGGGCAGATCTACGAATCACATGCACGTACACATTTGTTGTGACAAGATTAAAAGACAATACATTATTATGAAAATAATCTTATCTCAGTGAGAAAACTGATTCACATACCTTTACATCATCGATGTGATTAGTCTTGTAAGCGCTCTCTAAGCCTTCAGATGGGTACGGCATTATAATAATTCGACTAGTAATGTATGTTATGTCCAAGTCTGTCCTAGCTATTGACCTGTGAAAAAGTTAATAAGTTCAGACTAAGCACCAATTTTAACAAAAAAAATCATATAAGCCCGCCGATCACTAACTTTTAGTTGGCCGATAGTTGGGCCCGTTTCTAATTTGTATAAACTTATAAAGAATTAGCTGTTACCAAATCGGTGTAAGGTGCGCACTTTCATACATATCCAAACAGATTAACAGCCCGACCCAGCTATCGGCCGACAAAAAGTCAGTGGTCTGCGGCTAGTCTTATAGTCCAAAAAATACGTACTGTTGAACAGTCTGCATAACCTTCGAGGAGGTGTCTTTCAAGTTTTTCAGGAAGCTACCAGCGCCCCCTTTGATGGACGAGAATAGCCCCCCTGAGCTCCCTTGGACAGGAGGGGGCGGGTTGTACTGCGGAACGGGAGGCGGGCGCGCGGGGGGCGGAGGCCGAGTCGGCTCGGGAGGCCGAGAGTTCGGAATCTCCTGGCTTGTGGAGACAGGATCTTTGCTGGCTGGAAAAGGAAAAAAAAATTTTTTTGTCATTGGGCTTACGGAAATATGCCTAGCTGTCGGTCTCTTTCAATCTAACTGGTCAAAGTTTTAGTTTAATTAAAAACCTAATTTTATTGTGTACCTAGTCCTTATCGTTTTTGTAACTAGTAGGCATATGTTTCCTTTTGCAAAGAAAGAAAGAAAGAAAAAATATTTATTTGGTACTAAAATAATGATACACATTGACATTAAAAAGTGAAATAATACAATTGTTGTACCAAATTGGTCTCTGCTTAGTATGAGGCCATAACGTACTCGGGAGCACGTTACGGCCACTGGTATTCTGCATCAGTTAACAAAAGTTGTTTCCGGTACAGAAATGAGTGTTTACAATAAATTGGTTGACTTTATCAATATGTAAAAACCTACGCAGTTAAAATTATTTGCGATTTCTTATTTTGTGTATGAAATATTGATAACATTAATTTTAACCAATCTGAAAAATAGGCGTGAAACTACATGTTTCTTCAATTCTGATTCATTAAAGTTAATAATTAAAACAATGTTATGTTTTGGCTCTAGGCCATAATATGCACTAGATAAGTATTAAAGTGCTGTGATAGGATTAATATAATTTTAGTTGTCGAATGTAAGGAGATTTCAGTTAGAACAAAAACTACATCGATCTTAATTTACACATTGTTTATTTCTAATTAAAATATAATTTACATCATTACTTACGAGGCTAATAGTAACAAAAATATTGCTCATCTATAAAACATAATTAGACCTGGAGCCAAAGTTAGTTTTCGAGAATTTTTGATCATAAATTTTGGGTAAAATATTAATAGTAAAGATTAGATTATATTAGCATTATTCATTTTATATTGAACTCACTTTCAATATACTATCGTTTAAATCGGCCAGGATAAAGATCGAGTTTGTGGTTAAGTGATTTAATTTAAATTTTAACTAATAATGCGCGGATTATATAAATGCATAGAAGTACAGTTCAATATAAATTGAACTATGCTCAATTTTCTACCTATCAAATTCACATAATTATGTAAATTGCCCCTTTATTACAAAGGTCATCCAAACACTACAGTGAAAAAACATGATTTCAATAAGGCTCCTTCTCAACAATATAATGTAATAAAATAATTTTAATTGATTTTCTAAACAAATGAAAAATACAACAATATCAAAAGATAAAAACAATAAAATAAATAACATATTATATCACAACACTTTCGCTTTCTTTGGGGCCATATTTTACGTTTAAACGGAACAATAATTTGGCCTAGAATAAATAGTCTTTAGTTTTTCAAATTAAACATATTATTAACAAAATAGATCTCAGTTTTAAAAAAAGAACTCAATCAAAAAAATAATACTCGAAAAAAACCTTTCTTTTTATTATCATTCATATCATTAACTGCAAGATGTTAATACAACAAATACAATACATATTTAAATCTTAAAAGCACCGAAATTATCCAAATTATAAAAGAAATTGCGCAGAATTGTGGCTCCTAAAGTATTAATAATATTAAATGTTTCTATTCAATTACTTTTACTGTACCTACGTATGAATAAAGTCTGGAAATACTAGTTTACTATTTTCAATTTTTAAGGTTCAAGAATTCAGATCACAGAAATTATTGCATAATTTATTCTGCAGCAAGAATAACAAAACGAATATTATAATATAAAAAAAATTGAGAATAAATTCAATTTATTAAATCTTACTTCAGGCCATTACAATGAAACGGTTCGAAACCCTTTTGATTATTTTTATTGATTCTTGTTAAACCAATCACAGGCCTAAAACTATGCTCATTTGAGCCTATGATTCAGGCTAATAAGAAATATCTACGGAATTAAACGATTGTGTCAATAAAGACAACATCTTGTATAATTTTCTGCCAAAGTTCTTACAAGAAATAATTAATGATAGTATGTATGGTAACTAATTAATACTTAAATGGATCACATCTTCACATCTATTTGTACCTTACTATAAAATTAGAAAAGTTTTAATTAAATTGGATTAATATTTTTCGTCATAAGTTTTATTCATAAGTATGAAATGCTTAAGGATATAAAGATAATTTACTCTTGGCATATTTCTTTATTTATTTAGGCGCTGTATTTATAATAATAAATCACGTAAGTATGTTGAATTGCACAATCTACAAAACCTATTTTATAGAAGGGGAATCAGCTTTTTTCTTTATAAAAATGGGTAGATATCTGAGAAGCCTGTTCACTTGCATTATTATTTGTAATACTCTTAAGTCAGAATAGTCAGCTGAATATCAATAAGATAATAATATAACAAGGGCGAAGTCGTAGGCAGGCAATAGTAAAATGCAATCAAAAATATAGTAACTATGGTTACATCGTGAATTATGTTGTTCCTACAGCCAAAACTGGATAGTATCAGCATTGTTTGCTTCCTTTGTTCAAATCAAATCAAATTTCATTATTTGCGTTGTTGTTTCATTCAAAATGATGTAAAATTTCATACAAGTATCCTACTACTTGCCATTTATTACCATGGTATTAGAGACGAAAATGGCCAGCTTGGTGAGGTAGACATCCTCTCTCAAGCCTTACAGCAACACGACAACGCAAATCTACTATCTTCAGCGCAGAACTTGTAGGCCCGGTTTCTGAATTGAGGTTTTCATCTAATACTCGAGGATGAATTTTAATATGAAAAGAAGATGACGCTCAAGCCAAAAATCTATTCAGAAACCGGGCCTAATTCGATATTTCCTACACTTTTTTTTGATAAGAGGGCGTTTACTCTCGTAACCGGGGCATCGTTCTGAGGTTTAAGGCTAGGATTTACCGCCTCGATGCCGTGCATTCGTTACCTCAGCCCCCGCACACCTCGCACTGACACTCGCGCTGACACTCGCGCGACGCGATGACGCCACAGTGTAAAAACAAGCCGTAAGTTGGATTAAACCGTAACCTTCAAATAGTGAATAAATAAATAATAAAATTAAATATCCTTCGACATAATATTTTAACACTGCGCCTCTAGTCTCAAACTAAGCAAAGCTTGTACTATAGGATATGAACATATTACTTAAATAACATAACATAAATAAATACATTCATATTATGGTTAGAAAACACCCAACCCGAAACAAACATTATTATAATGTTCATGCACACAAATGTTTGTCAATCAATAATGTCAAATAAAGATGATAATATTAAGTCAAACAAATACTTTTTACCGACAAAAATAGTAAGCAAATGATCACAAAAATGTAAACTTCATTTTAATATGAAATACTAATGTTCTTTTACGTATTGCTATTATATATGTATAAATGATCTCATATTAATCACATTTACCAAATCATAATTATTTCATAATAACCGGTAATTATTCATAATTTTTATCACATTTACCGTAACATATAAATCAGGAGGACAAGTCATAATAAATATTGTTCTTTATAATTTGACGCTTTCTTTGGAATAGTTAGGTGGCATTTAAAAGAAGGCGAATTAGTATATTAGAACTTTAGAAGCCTCTTAATATTCCCGTGGCTTAGTTTTAAAATCAAAGGTTGGATACCGTGGAAAAATAATAATAATAAACTTTATTTCTGTATAAAAACAGCCTAAAATATTATTATAAATTATCTGCGGCTTGACTCATAATTTCCCATAAATAAATTAATTTTAACTCATTGGTTTTATCTGATATTTGGAAAATGTACTATGTATCATGCATGATTGAAAATTCTTAGCTTTCTCCAGTAATACTGATATTATTATACTGTGACTCGCCACCCGCCAGACAGAGGCGATTTTGTCAAAAATATTGACAAATCGCGAACTGTCACAGGAATAAAACTGACACGCGTCCGTCCTCCGTAAGCGCCACCGCGCGACTGATTGAGATTGTTCAAGCCGTCATGGCCGATTTTTTCACATTTTTTCATCATAGTAACTAAATAAGACGCAATAACAAAATTTTGAAAAGTTGTCGACCTAGAAAATACAAAGTCCTATCTATTAGTATATATTTTAAGTGTAAAATGTTAAAAATGAATATATGAGAGTAAAACAAAAAAGCCGTCGACGTACTTCTTTGGAATTTTTTTTTATCGGACAAACTATGCAATATCGTGTTTTGGAAAAGTTGTCGCCCTAGTTAAAGACATTAACTTACTCCTACAATTTTTTGTTTGCTAAAATATCTTTTCATTTAGAAACTATCTGCAAACAAAATCGGTCAAATATCGACAATTTGGGAAATCATGGCCTTAATGCAACACCATCGAAGCATTGATAAGGCTTATCAATTTTAAGTGATATGAATGTCCACGCATTAGCTAAGCTGTTATTGTTGAACAACGCAGACGTATCGCTAGACTTGACAAAATCCAGAAAAAAATATACTTGATATTTGATCACCAGATTTTGAAACTTATACCCATGCCATAAGGTGCAATAGGAATCAAAACTTTCAAGTTAACTTGTCCATTGAGTGGTTAAAATTGCAGTAAATAATAAAATGTTAAATACTGAAGTTACGCGAAGCTAACAGCTCCATTATTAATTGTATGTTAATTAATACTGTAAAATATGAATGAATTACTTTAAGAATATTAAAAATTGAAAATACTTGTGTTGAACGGAATGTTTTTTTACGACTTATTTTGTTTTGTATCTAGTCTTTTGCATAAATTACTATGCTTCATACAGGGTGTAAAGAACAGGTTTGTGAAAAAAATGTTTCCATTCCACGTGATGATTATTTAAAAAAATATAAATGCATATTAAGGTGGTCATTTTATACGATAAGGTCCCTATTGTCTCGAGAAGTTCATATTTTTTTTACTATTGTTTTTAACCCTTTACAGGGTTTTTACAAATATATGTATTGTCATCATAATTTGAACCTTACTTGATTTATCATACAATTTTCATCATGTTATGCAGGTTTAATAACTAAGGATGTATTTTTATTATTTTTTATAGATTGTAAAATTATAAATATCCAGTGTAGATTTTATCGTCCTGTCTCTTACAACCAGTATACAGAACGTGTACTACTTTATTATTACAGGACATACTAATTACTCTATGACATCATAATTTTTGGCAATTCATATTATATCAACTGAGTGTACCTACCGTTGTAATGCATGTTTTTGTAATGTCTGTCAATTGTTATCTATCCAAAACATACATTAACAATTTTATTTATTTTCGTGTTATCAGTGATGAAATGCTTCATGTAATTCCTGTGTTTATTCACTAACTACTTATTCAATACTTTCCTTAGTACTACGTGTATAGAGAATTGAAATATATTTATTAATTATTGTCGTCATCAGTTATGTATCGAAATGGGAAATACTAGATCGTCGAGTATACAATGACAGGGTGATCATTTGCAACTCTAGTAGACCGATACTCGAGGGGTATTGTCTAAGATTGTCAATTGAATATACAATTTTATTTACCTACACATCGTTGAGCACATTCTGTGATGTTAGTAGATAAATATTAAACCTTACAATTCAAATAAATATTGACATGAGTTGCCAATAAAGCGTAAAAGTAAAAATAACAGTAAATAATCAACTAACAGGCAATAACAAACTAATACAGTGCAAGATTGTAACATTAATAAATAAAATCGATACTCATCATTGCGAGCATGTCCAATAGTAATCAAGCGTCAGGTAACGGAGTCCGTTGCGAGCTTGCGAGAGGCGAGGCATGCTACTGCGCCGGGTCATTTAAACGAGAAAACTATTGGGCACCCGAAAAAGTTGAAAACACCTAAAATGAAAAGAAAACGTGATATGTATAGCGATCAACAGTCGTGAGATGGGAGGAAGCCGCACGCCTTTTGTTTTTATTAAAGTGAAAACTGTTTACTGTATTTTATGATTATCTAACTAATCAAGCAAATTAAGAAAAAAAATATAAAAATCATGAACGTGTAACAGTGCCAAACCACAAATGACATTAAATTGAAACAAATTAAGGACCATTGCGAACAATTGAAACGAACAAATTGAATCTTATCTCTAAAGGCACAAGGTTCGAATAAAGGCGTGAGGCTTCAATCAGCTACGCACACAAACATGCAGTGAGTTATGATAATACGAACTAAACAAAGAAGCATTGATTCTAACTGAAATCATAAGGTCACATGCATACAAAACATACTTCGGATCGGCCTAGCTATGTTAAAACTATAATCTCATTATATCTAGCCTTGGATGCCAACATACGCAGTAGGTATTGGTATTGGTCATGCTTTATTGGCCAATGTTTGGCCGCAAACTATTAGTAATAAACCCTCTAATGCTGATTGTTTACTGCATTACTTATTATATCTAAGATATACTCAAACAGATTAGATTTCATAAATATCTTATTTAAGGGAACCATTTACTAGAAATACCTCATTTATCTTTCTACTTTACAGTAATTTCCTAGGTATTTACTTGATAAGAATAGCATTATAGTATCAGTATGTTATTATAAATAATATCCCACCACACCTTCGATGTTAAAATGTATAAAATAATAATTATAAATTTAAATTAATAAAAAAGCCAATCAGAATTGTTAGGAACAATTTTTCATAAATGTAAAATGCAATTCATATTTTTAAATAATAATGAATGAATGTAAGTGAGGATACAACGTTAATAATGTGGTATGGCTTATTCTTATGGTATTTTATAAACCAATTATGATATGAGACGAACGAAACTACCATTAGGAAGCTCATGTATGAGTAAATAAATAAATATTTACGCATGTTTTTTTCTAATTTCCTTCCTTAAGAACCGTATTGATGAATAATAGAAAATCTTGGGGCGGAACTAATAGCGAAATCATAATTCTATGGATGATATTTTAATTTGAATTGCAGTCACCTCTTATTAAAAATTAAATGAGTTGATTCGTTTGTCTCATAAATTCTATAGATGACCCACGCTGAACTGTCCCGCCGAACTCAATGACAGGGGGGCGCTACCATCGTTCAACTATATGGTTTCCAACATGGCAAAAATCTGAACCAGCGATCCGGTATTGACGGTGGCGCCCCACTGTCAATGTCATCGACAGGACAGTCCAGTATTTTGGAACTATATGTTAGTTACCCATTCAACCGACAGACAAGTGTCACCACACGCGTTTTACATGCGAGCATCTTCGATTACGGTTCGTCGCAAGCAAAGATGTATCAAATAACAAATAAACAAGCACACCCAAACGCATATGCAACACGAGGATTAGTTATCAAAACCACAAGCATTAACACATCGGTTAAAAGATAACAAGTGTGTTTTTACCTAATTTTCAGCCTCAAACAGCCTCCGAGTTCGCCTCACAAATGAACAGACTTCTCTCGTGATTGAAATAAAAACAAACTACGAATGCGAAGAATATACTCATTTATTTCTCTAATGTAAGCTCCGACATAGTCACATGACTAATATTATGCACAACAGAAAAATATTAAGACAATATAATTAAACATTTAACAAAATCATTTTACTTCATGAATGTCCTATGCAGAAGTTTTAAATTGAGACTAATTCAATTTCAACAAGATTTTTATCTAATTTCTTTCAACACAACTTGTTTTTTAACAATGGACTTTAAAGATCTGTTGTGTAATATACATACTACTCTATTACTTGTACCTCATTTCACATATTATATTCTTATATTGTCTAAATGATTTAATCAATCGATTATTTGAAGTGATTGATTTGATCAACATTAACAAGAGTGTTCATTACACTGGTAAAATTACGCCTACAATGTGATACGTTAGACTAGTGATATACACATTAATTATATTAATAGTAAATGAATCAAATATAAAATTTGTAATTTTATTAACAAATGTGCAGATACCAAGCCCCATGATGTTAGTGCGCGCAATGTTCTTCAATAAATACTATGACCCAGTTAGTTCAGTTAACAGCATTTTATGTAATACGATAATATATAGGCTAGTAAATACGTATAAAGAATATTTAGTGGAATAATCCCTATATTTATCATTTCTGAAGCTACTCATAACATTAAAAACTTATTTTTAAATACATAGTGTATTCATTAGGTGTAAAGCCTAGAATATCATAGAAAATGGGGTTTTAGACTTGGTGTCAATAAATACAACCCCATAAATACATACAGGAATGTTTAGATAAGTTAGTAAATCCTAACATAGACCATAGAAGTAATAATCTAGCTAGCGACAGGTACCCTAACTTCTATAAAAGCTACATATAATTAGAAGTGTGCACTTTGAAAGAGCACACAATTTTTGGTAATATAAATGTCATTTAAATTCCTTTAGAGGGTAGATTAAGAGGGTATTTAAAAATTGTCAGTTATTTTCCTAAGTATGTTTCCTTAGAGACTGCTTCATTAGTTCTTTACCCTATCATTAAATTCTTATTTTGTGTTCAGACTTAAATATCAAATTAAAGCTTTCATGTTTACGGTTCATAATAATTCCAGGTTGGTATATTGCACTGGTTGTGACTGGCCGAATATGACTGCGAGTTTGTATTATTCATAAAAAAACTCGATACTTAAAAATACAGTACTTGATAATAACTACGGTCATGATAACGCAATCAACTTTGAAGCAATATAAAAATCAGTTCCGAATAATATTCGAACACTGAATAATTAAAAAATATAATATGAAAAAGTCAAATAAATGCTATACTACCTTACATCATTCCAAGAATATTTCTTTCATCATTGCCTTACCTTTGGTGTTGCTCAATTTTTGGTGACAATCAACATTGGAATGTAACGAAATCTCACATTGTAAAATAACATCTCTAAGGAACTCAATCCAAAATAAATATTGAGGAAACAAAAAAAAATTTGAGTGTAAAAAGTCAAAAAATACTTGACCAGTTTTAGCTCGAGATTGAAATGCAACAGAACATAACGATGGACCGACAGGGTGTATGGACAACTGGGATGCGCGTTCGCAAATTAATTCCAACGAATAAATTTATCACATAGGTTGACTGTACCGCGGCGCGATAATTCATTTCAGGATATGGTAGTGTAATATTTACTTGACTTCTTATTACCTGGCGAGCTAGTGGCCACAGATTGTTCAACTTTTTTACGCTCAAATTTGAGTGGTTGCTTGAGATTGACGTTGTTGGACTCCGCTATGGCCGCCAACCGCTCCAGCACATTGTTTATTGTCAAGCGTTCCTCCGGGTTCACAGTCAGACATCCACCTGTGGAAATTAATAAGCATTAATGAAATGGTTTGTTTACTCACACCAGTAAGTTAACTCAAATATAATACACAAACTGCTAAATAAGTTAATTGCTATTATACAAATAAAACATTTAACAAATTAATTAATGTTCAAGGACAACAGAATACTCACTTATGATTTCATGAAAGCATTTATAGCGTTGATCGTTGGGGTTTAGATTATAATTGCCATTAAGTATGGCTAGTTTAGCAGAGTCCTCGAATGGATGCTGCATAAAACAAAGAGTGTATAGGATGCATCCTAAGGCCCATACATCAACGGAATGGTCTATTTTTCGGTTATCCCAAGTATCCAGCATCTCGGGAGCTCTATACATAGGCGTTGTGAATTGAGCCAGCTAGAACAAACAAACATTATAAATTGTAATTAAATTGATCACAAAAATAAATAATAAACCTGTATAAATAAGTGTAGGTATCATACTTACATTTTCTTCTAACATGTTTCTTTGATTTGCGCTCCAAGAGGGGTTGGGGGCATACACATCAGTAGTGGCAGAACCAAAATCACATAGCTTTATTGTACCTAAAACATTTAAAAAATGTGTATAATGTGATAGACAAATTGAATAGGGTCAGAAAGGAAATATACGATTGAATTGATACTAAAAAAGATGAATTGGCTATATTCAAATAAAGGCTGTATAAGAGAAACCAGTGTTCCAAAGACATAAGATTCTTGAAAGAAAATTTGGCAAACTTCCAAAGTTTCAAGAATCTAGTAACATACCTTCATTAGATATTAGGAAATTCTCTAGTTTGAGATCACGGTGAGCTATCGGGGGGACTTGTGCATGCATATGCTGAACTGATCTGCATGTCTGGTAGAACACCCTCAGGATCGTTGGCAGGGGAAACGCTTGGCCCCTATTCTGTAGGGCCTCCATCAAGCTACCCCCGCTACAGAGGTCAGTCAGTAGCAAATACTCCCCCATGCCATGAGAAGTCTTTGATTTATCAATAAAAGAGGCAGCTATATACTTAATTACATTAGGGTGACCAGACAGTTTTTTCAAAATGCTAATTTCTTGAATTATATTTTTGTTTGCCGTCTCATCAGCTGCCATTAGCCTCTTTAGAGCGTATTCTGTGCCAGTAGACACATCTTGTGCAACAAACACAAATGCGAAGCCACCTGCAAATATGGTTTGTTTAGTTAATTTTTTGGAATTAGATAACTTTGTTATCAGTGATCAACAAAAGTAACTGACTGTTACAAATTGTTTGAAATTATGAAGATACCCTTTACTACAAAATATTTTCATCTAAAGAATATCATAACTGTGTAAAAAATGGTATACCTAATGTTTTACATACCAATAAAGTATGCCTAGAATGTCATATTTAAACTAACATGTTTATTAATTTTTGAAGTAATTTGATTAACTTATTAAAATTAGAAATTAGAAAAGTGACCCTTTCAAGATACACAGGCATGTAAAACTTATCTTACTAAAAAAGTAGTAACCAATTATTATTCAGGCTGTTGTGAGCTGTGAGGATTGTTAATGTGGCATCATTATATAAAATCTTTATCCCAACTTTGATACATTGCACAGATTTTACTAAATACTTTTATATTCGAGGAAACAGTTTTATGATGTTAAAATTCTAATAATTGGTCTTAGTGGTAAAATAAGGAAGTACGTATCTTTGTTTTAGCTGCGAAATTTTGCTAGTGGTGATGGCTTATCATATCAAGACACAATTCAAGTAATAAGAGGTCCGTAAATTGATCCGTTTAGGTTCAAATGTAGGCCTAGTTAGTATAACGAAGTGTGTAAATGTAGGCCTACCTACCCTTGACGTATCACGCATACACGCACCATCCGCCCCCAACATTCAATGGCTTTTGAACAGGGAGCTAGATGACCCATACGCTCTGCCTAAGATTAAGTCGCAAAATATTGTTTATTGATTCGCATAATTATCGAATAATTGTCACTTACCCTCTGCAATCACCTTTTTTACTCTCAATTTCATGTTTCCAATCTCAACAAATTGACCCACAAAGTCATTATCATTGCTACCGTTGGCACCGCCAGAACTAAAGTAACCCATGGCTGATTTGAAGACACTCATCTTGAAGCGTTATTTTAAGAAACTATGGAGTAAAAGAAGAATAAATAGTTAAATTTTAATCAGCACCCTCGATCTGGGTCCATTTTACAATGGCAGAAAATATGAGGAAAATGTCAGTCAGGTTGGCACAAGGTTTTTTTTAATACACAGCATTGGCATCGAATTAATTGGGTTTAACCTTGAGCTCACTTTTTTAGGTAGGGTATACATTATGATGAATATCGAATCGTTAATCGATTTTATTCAATTCAATTAATCTGTAACACTTACTGACCAGTGTTAACACAACACTATTTAAAAAAAACAGACTGTCATTTTGCGACATATGTTTTGTACGTTCATTCATTCATTCATTCGTTCAGTTTCGCATTGGCAAGGCTAGCAAATCCAGTGTTGCCAGAAGGTTACTTTTGTAACCTTTTAGGTTACTTTTGAACTGCTGTGGTTACTTTTAGGTTACACTAATGAAAAGGTTACTTTTAGGTGATTTTTCAGAAATTGTAGAATTAACTTTACAGGTTATTCAGTAAAAAATATTAATAGTGACAATTTAAAAATTATGTCATAAAGTGCATTGAAACTTGAATTTGATTTATTATTTGTTAAAAAAAAATGAGTTTTAGCGAATGTTTTTCGATAATAATAAAACGCAAATCCATGAAATGTTTTTATACGACTGGTCACTTTTCGAATTTAGATGATCAATTGTNATTTAGATGATCAATTGTATTAATTTTCCATCCATGAACAACCTTACCCAATCATCGCTCCGCCCCCCCCCCCCCCGTATGAAGGTTACTTTTTATTCAAAAAGGTTACATTTTTTTATATTTCTGGTAATTTCTGACTAGACCCTACTGGCAACACTGAGCAAATCAAGTTTGCGATTGTTCTCATTTTTATTTCTTGTTTTTCTTGTATTGTGGGGCTACCCTAGAAATTTTCATCAAATCTGCTTCCGAAACGTTTGGCTTCGGTATCTATGATTTCGTTTATCGAAGATTAACCATGGGCTTTGAGATTAAAAGGTTTCAAGGTGACGTTGACGAAGAACTTATTTGCCCTATTTGTTCAGGGGTACTCGAGGATCCTTTACAGGTTTGTTATTTTATTATTCTTTACGAGTTTGTGAAGTGTTATGATTATAGCTGTAACTTTTGTTGTTTGCACAGGCGCCTGCTTGTGAGCATGCGTTCTGTCGTGCCTGTATAACCGAGTGGATAAGTCGCCAGCCCACTTGCCCTGTAGACCGGCAGGCCGTGACGGCGAGTCAGCTTCGGCCAGTTCCAAGAATCCTCCGCAACCTGCTCTCCAGGTATATTTCATAACCTCCAACACTGCCTATAGTTATTGCTTATTAATATGCAGTCTTGCATTAGTAGGTCAAACAGACGGAATTGTATCATTTCTTACATAATAATAAATATTCATGCAGCTTTAATGATGTGCCAATGCTTGACATTGAATAGGTAAGTTAATGAACTCAAGTTTTTTGTAAACAATGAGAAATGATAACACAGACCTATTATGATTTCAAAACTTTAATCATTCTATATTTATAAACATCACCATGTACAAAAAAGCCACATTGATGCACTGAATGGAAGTTAGGAACTTTGATATTGAAGTTTATTCTGTAATAAATTTTCAGCAATTTTTTTGTGACTTAATTGTTCAAATATTAATACAGTTCATGTAATCCAATCCCACTGGATTCTAGTTGGTAAAATTCCAGTCTTATTTTTTTGACTTGTGCAATAAGCTAGTTTTGAGCAACCCGCTGCCCTCAGACATTACATCAGACACCTAAATTGCCATCGTGCATATTAATTGTGTTTTGTTTTCAGATTGTGCACTAGTTGTGATAATGCTCCTCACGGCTGCAATGTTATATTGAAGCTGGATTCGCTACCATCTCATTTAGTGGAATGTATGTATGGTTCTTTCATGAACTCTTTTCTTCTTAATACCAATTAACATACTGTTTGAAAAAAAAAAACCATTTAAAAATTTGTTCTCACAAACTTATTAATGAAATAAAGATTGATTCATTGCCATTTTTTGTGAATCATTACGAGACTAGTTCTAACTTGGACTTGTTTGCACAAGTGCCTAGCGTTGGCATGAATTTAAACTGGTTCAGTTTTTGTGTCACAAGCAAACATACATATACAATACATAACAAAAATTTGTATCCATTTCCATTTTTCCAATAAGACCATGCCCTTTTTTTTAATTTAACGTACAAAATCTTTTTTAAATAAAGTTTAGATTAATTTGGTACGCATGCATGACCAGTGTGATTATACGCAGGCGAACACAACCCCAAGAGGCCGATGCCGTGCGAAGCGGGCTGCGGCCTGGTGATACCTAAAGACGAGCTGGAGAACCACAACTGTGTGAGAGAGTTACGCGCGCTCATCGCCACGCAGCAGGGCAAGTTGACGGACTACCAGCAAGAACTGGCCGAGCAGAGGCTGATCATCAATGAACATAAGCGCGAGTTGGCTCTGCTCAAGGTTAGTTGTTGGGATACCATGTTACGTTATTAGAAAATTTCGAACTTGATGCTATGCCCAGTTTTGATAAAATATCAAGGAAATGAACTACTCGGAGGATAATCCTATCTAATAATAATTATTCTCACTAACTATTCACTAACACTTATTTTTATGGAATATTTTTATAAGGAAATCTTGCATGATTCTGTCAACAAAAAGTACTTTCTTGGTGGTTCACCTCTTAATTGATATGAATGTGTTTAAATGACCAAAAACTAATACAATTATTGTTATTTACATAAGGACAGTCAATTTGATGGAGTAACCATTAACTTCAATTGTTTCCTGGTGATGCTAATCATTTGTGCATATCATTGTGCAACAACAAAAACATTTCAAGGAAATAATGTACCACATAAGGAATGTTTAGGATTTCTAACGTTTTCATATTATCTAACTAATAACAAGCATAATTTAACTACCAATTTTATGAGTTCCGATCTGCGGTGCGTGACCTAACTACTTCGTCTTAGGAATTTTTCTTCATAGATTGATTTTGAGATACAAATATCTAGTCTCCAATACAAATGAATGAAAAAACATTTAAAAAACTTTTTGCCTTTAGCACAAGAGATATTGGGACATGATACTTATTAATTACAAACTATTAACTACATATAAATAGTTAAAAGGCTATGTGGCTCAGGTTTTATGTTAAGGAAAGATCTTTACAACATAGATTTTTCGCCGTCGATTGTTATTTTCGGATCATAGTCATATTTCATGTCGATGATTTTAGACGTGTGACGTGAAATTTATGGTAAAAATCGATAAAAAATGACGCGATAACTGTTTAGGGCGCTTTTAATTTAGACGTTTTGTGCCGGACGTTTGCCGCGCGCTTGCCGTGCGTTTGCAAGACCGCACACAGTAAATTGTATGACAACTGCGTCGCAATAAAATTGACAATTATTACCAATAGTTAGTGTGAAATTCAAAGCGCCCTTAGCGCGGCTCGAATCCTAGGTCTACTAAAGCCTGGTCCGTGAGCACGTAGAATTTTGTCCAATGACCCCAAGCTACCCATCCTTATCGCTCGCGCGTAATTATGTTGCTGTCGCGCTCACACACTCCCTGCGGGCGCCCGTCGCACAGTCGCGTCAGGAATATAATTACACGCGAGCGATAAGGATGGGTAGCTTGGGGTCATTGGACAAAATTCTACGTGCTCACGGACCAGGCTTTAGTCATTGTTTAACATTCCTTTCGCAGGAGTTCATGCGAGCAATGCGCGTGTCAAATCCCACCATGCGAGCGTTGGCGGAGCAAATGGAGCGCGAAGAAGTGGTACGCTGGGCCGGCTCGTTAGCACGCGCGCGCGTCACCCGCTGGGGCGGCATGATCTCAACACCCGATGACGTCCTACAGGTGGTAGATAGCTTTCCGTGTGTATCTGGGTACAGGTGGTATATTATCCTTCTGCATGTATTTGCAATCAGCCCTAACCATAAAGTTCATATACTTAGCGGAATAGAGCAACAAAGAACTGAGCAAGCGAGATGTCACTAGCAGCAACACTGTGCGATAAATAGAGATGCGTGATGCCGTTGCCGTCACGTCAAACGGCAACTATTTGACAGTTCGAAGGCACTGAGATATTTTCTATTTTACGTAAGTGAAATCGTGAATGTTTAAGAGAAATAGTGCTTCAGAAATGTGGTGACTGGTTCAGTAATTGATTTACTGTACAAAACAGTGAAATAATCCTGACACTTACACACAAACTATCTAGTGTCATCTAAAATCGGTTTCGTTTGACAGCTCGTGGTTGTTGCTCTATTCTGAAGGTATATTACCTATATGGCCCTAACAGAGATGCCACGCGCGCGTTGACAGTGCGTTGCGTTGGCGCTGCGATAACGGAGCGGTGCAACTGGACATGTCAAACGGTCTGTTGAAACGACATTTGATAGGGAGACGAATTTGGGACGGGAGGGATGCTACATTGCGATGACAGCGAGACACCGGAGCGCAGCGCAGATTGTTTTCAGTAGCGATGGTGACAGCTGATATCGCACCGCTCGAGTGGCACTCAATGCGTTAAAATCATTTCGCTGGACGACGCAGTGCTCATGAACTCTAAACGAATCGCTTTCGCTGGCGCGCATATTGTCACCTGGGGCGACATGATTGCAACGCCAGGTGGCAAATTGACTTATCAATTTATTAGAGATAATTTATTTTTTATTTGCGTTGCATTATTTCATCATTAATGACGTATAATTAAGATTTTAAATTATACTAGTTTCTGAATGTCACAGAAATACCGACTCATTTGGCTAACTAAATCAATTTCGTTATAAATTATAGTGTATAATGTTACGTATTCTTATGAGTAAATAAACATTAATTCTGTCAAGTTTATAACACCCATCCATCCAGGAATTTTCAAATTTATAATATTAGTAGGAAGGATAATTTTTGATTCGCGTTACATGATCATCATCAATAAATATAGTCGGTGAAATTCCGGAATACTCGGAAACATCCTCCATGTTTCCGAGTATTCCGGAATTTCACCAACTATATTTATTGATATTTGAGGAAATGTATTTAGTTAAAGTTACATATACTTATCTGTTTCATTGATAGATTGCCGATACTCCAATACGAATCCAATTACATTCCCTGCTAAATATAAATGCGAAAGTATGTAACTGTCTTGTCTGTCTGTTACGCTTTCACGCATAAACAACTGAACCGATTTTATGAAATTTGGTATAGAGATAGTTTGAGTCCCAAGAAGGACATAGGATAGTGTTTATCCCGGTTTTTGAAACAGGGACGCGCTCGAGAAAGTTCATCTGTGACAAAAAAAAGCTAAGGCGCGGGCAGTGAAGTGGCAATGGGTAGGGCACATAGTGCGCAGAACTGACAGCCAATGGGGCAGCAAGGTTCTCGAGTAGTGATGGGCCAACTCGGGAAAAACAAAACTCGATTTAACCCGAGTTAAAATCCACGTAACTCGGGTTGAACTCGAGTTACGTAACTCGAATTAACTGGATGGACAAGTGAGTTTTTTACTTATTTTTACAAAATATCATTTATAATGTATTGGGAGAATCATACTAACTAAAGTAAGAAAGATTATTGTTTGAAATATAATAATTTATTCATGGATTTTTGGCTTGAATTTTAATTTTTAAAAATATTTATATTTATTATCACTTGTCATTTTTCAAAAACAGAACATAAAACACGAAAATCTACAACAATAACCGGCAGTTTAAAGTTAACTTCAAATGAACATAGTCCATCACTCAAATGATCGGCAATCTTCGGTCCATGTCGGTTCCATTCGGTTTACGATACGAACTCGAGTCAGAGAGAGTTCAACTCGAGTGGGTTCGAGTTACGCCCAACTCGAGTTAACTCGAGTTACTTACTCGAGTTGACCATCACTATTCTCGAGTACCACTTACCAGGGCAGCGTAGCACGATGAGGGAGGCCTATGGTGAGCAATGGCTAGCTATTTAAAACTAGTTATTGAAATACTTACTACTTTATTTGGTATTTTCAGATGATGATCAAGCGAAGTTTATCGGAGTCGGGCTGCCCACCGCACATCATCGACGACCTGATGGAAAACTGCCACGAGAGACGGTGGCCTCCTGGACTGTCCTCGCTCGAGACCAGACAAAATAACAGAAGGTATTTTTTATTTTATTTTCAATAGTCTATTTATTGGACAGGGAAGTTGATTAACATATTTTATGGGTGTTTTAAGATAAATCAAGGTAAAATATAGCATTATATTTTGTAATAAATACAGTTTTGCAACTAAATAAATAGATATACAAAGGTCAGTTGTTCATTTGATAATACATTTTATTTACAAGTTACGTTGATAGTGACATCATTATTGCTTGTGACATTATGTCGATTCTTCAATTACTATAACTATTATAGTTCGTAATTAAGTCTGATAATTAGATTGACAGGTTCAAGGTTAATTAGAATGTAATTATTAATTTTTTTGCGCTAAAAGTTGCATCTCAAACTCTAGAATGTAATTTCGTATCTATCGGAAGTTTTGTATCTATTATATCTGTAAACTTTACTCCATTTATAAAAAATATATTTTTCAGACTGTACGAGAAATATGTGTGCAAAAGAGTTCCCGGTAAGCAAGCAGTTTTGGTCCTTCAGTGCGACAACACACATGTCGACGATCACATGATGGTTGAGCCTGGCCTTGTGATGATATTCGCACACGGGATTGAATAGCACATGGAGATAACGGACATTCAATGTTCCGAAGAAATTTAAAAACGTTGACACGGAAAATCCAGGAAAAAGGAGTCTTACAAAGCGCCAATTTTAGATCGTGCCACTTCATTTGAGTTCTAAGCACAGATTACGAAATGTAGTTGAAACACAATTACACCAAAACTTGTACAGTGTGTTTTTTTACTTTACAAAATACTGATCTGTGGTTCAGTATTTATAATGTGGTGCCTCTGGCAAAATAAATTGGCGGTATAGTTTCCTTTTAAGAGCAAGTGTGACAAATTTTGGACTGAACAAGTGTCAAGGACAGTTGAAGTTTCAAAAGTGGACAAAAAGTCAATAGTGCTACGTCCAAAACATTTCGGATTACAAATCAAGTGTCTAAGGTAGTGTTTCGGAAATTTTGGCTTCAGTGTGTGTCCCTACACTAGTAATAGTGGTATTTTTACTGTCATCTTAAAATTGACAGTAAACTGATAGTGGTAAAATGTAAAATATTCATTGTATTAGATAAAATTTAGATATTTTAGCTCTCTAAATCCTAGATGCGCTTTATCCGGCCTGTTTGATAAGTAAATATCCAAAATGTGAGACTAGAAGAGCGACAGAGATAGATAATAATGTATTTGATAATACGGAAATGGTCATCTATACGTCACGTGTCACGTGATGCGTTGGCGTACCAAACTAATTGCGATTATGATGGCTAGATTTTTTTTCCTAGAAAACACCTATTCCATATAATTTTCCATAATAATGAACTTTGTGGTCTTAATTTGCCAAACACTCATCAATATTTTTGTAAGTTACTCAATATTTTTTGTGGTGTGTGAACTAGAAGCTAATAAAATGTGGCTAATATTATAATAACTTCTGAAAGTTAGACCAATGATATTGTACAATTTACAATTACTGTTTGATCCGAGTGTTGGAGTATTTTAAGGTGTAATATTGTATTATTAGTTTTAATTAAGAAATTGGTTTGAAACATTCCTAAAAACGTAAAATTATATCGTTAGTAGCTAGTTCTAAATGCCAGTAATGACTTTTTCATGTAATTATACATCCGTGATTGAGTGCTGTGTTACATTAATAGTGTGTATTTTTTATACCTACATGGATAATAGTTTTGATCCCAATTTCGTTTGATATTTCTTTATTGTTGGATGTTTTTTGTTGTTTCTGTATTGGCAAAATTTAATATATTTTAGCTCAATCTCAAAATAAAGAAATTAGTAAGAATCAGTTTATACATTAATGTGTCTTTTTTTTGTGTACTTATTAAGCAACCCTGAGTAAATAAGATTTTTATTTTGCACCCATAGTTTTAGAGAGCAGATGGCAGATTGTATATCGCTTTAGAGTGATTGAATACTAGCTTCCTTCAGTGGATACCAATATGCAAAGAAGTTGCGTACGATTGAGAAGAGGAGGGAAAGAGTTAAAATCTCGTGATGACATTGGTGCATATCCGCCTGGTTCGGGGCCATGACCGGTGTTGGGCACCAGTATAAGTGGCGTGGCGGCGATCGACGTCTGATTCTTCTTTGGTCTTAGTGCATCGCTTTTTGCAAAGAAATAAGCGTGAATTTAATTGGGCGGTACAATGTTTTCTGCATTGAAAATGTTTTTTTGAAATCCAACGTATTTTTGTATGACCAACTTAGGTGTGCTGTATAAATCTTTATTTCATGTCCACAAAAAAAATACTGTCATTATGACAGATGCTGGTTGTCAAAATCTGTGGTCAAAATACACAGCTGTCATCAATTTTGGTGTGTCATTGTGTTTTGTGGATAAATGCTACAATAAAAATTTAATTACAATGTCTGAAATGGACGTATCGGATAGCGGGAACGATTGTTCTAATAATTTGCGTAAGTATAAATTCTTATTACTGCCATAAGTCCTTTCAATCAGCCTGAAACTTGATTTTATGGGACAGATGTTAACCTCATATTTGCCACCGGTTTAATTGTTTACTTTATGTGTTTACGGTGATTATTTTAGTGCTGTTGGATCGAGTATTCCTCCGCCTCGGCAATGCGGACTCCGACGATCAGCTGGAGAGTTGTCTTAACAGATTTCTGCCTCCAGTTATTTTGAAGCTATCTTCACCTCATGAACAGGTTTGCTTTGTCATTTTACACTATACAACGATTTATACGCAAGTCAGACTTAGAAGAAATATCAATTACTCATTCATTTATATTTTGTAAGACATACATTTTGATTTAAAAGCATTTAATTAGTTCTGATTTTGTTTACTCACATTTTTATTAATTTAGGTCCGCACTAAAGTGATGGAGCTTCTTGTGCACGTGAACAAGCGAGTGAAGTGCCGCGCCGACGTCCAGCTGCCGGTGCAGACCCTGCTGCAGCTGTATCGAGACCCGACCGCCAACAGCTTCATTATTGTGAGTACAATATTTTTTTATTTACCACTAGCAGCCTACCCCGGCTTGCACTTTGCAACGGAATTTCCCAGCTTTTCTCTTCTATAATATGCATGTTTTGTACCTATAAACCTTTCTCTTGAGTCACTCTATCTATTTAAAAAAGCGCTTCAAAATCCATTGCGTAGTTCTAAAGATCTAAGCATACATAGGGACAGACAGCAGAAAGCGACTTTGTTTTATACTATCTAGTATTGATATGAGAAAATGGGAGTTTTTTGTCAAGTGTTGAGTTGTTTACATGATATAAATATTGTAAGAAACAAGATTACAATATTATATGAACTGTATCTAAAGTAGATAGATAGATAAAAAGTATTTATTTATTTATTGAAAGTAATGTGTTATTGTTATAATTTTTTAACCATCCAAGCACCTTATTTATTAACTTTTTATTTATATTAATCTATTGTCTATACCTACTCAAAGTAGATAATAATAATATCATTATCTCAAAGTAGATACAATAGCTATAACGTTAGTTGTGACTTGTTTTAAATGACTAAAGTAAAAATTTGCTTTCTGTTCATAGAATTTCTCCATCATCTACATAACAATGGGTTTCCCACGTCTGCCCCGTGACCAGCAGTTGCTTCTGGCCCCTTCTTTGTTGGATGCCATAGAGAACAAGCCTCAAGGACATCAAGATGGGTAAAGAGTTGAAAATCAATGAATATTGTGCTTTAAACTCTTTGTTTATGAGCAATTTTTACTTGATTTATGATAGATAGAATACAAAGTTACTAAAGGTTTTGCAAGCTGAATTGTGATTCTTAAAATAGAAATTAGGAGTATTTCTGCACGATTTGTAGATGCCTATGTTTTTGTTCTGTTCTAAATAATGCCTAATTTTGAATAAGCAACTTGAAAAAATTGAACTGCCTAATGCCTAATTTTTTACTTATGTTTCTTGTTACAGCATTCTGATGCTAGTCATGCCGCTGTTGGGAGATATAAAAGAAGCAGACTTGAATTTTAAAGAGAAGCCAAAACTGTCAAACTTGATTCTCAAGTTTGCTACTGATGTCCTATTGCTGCCTTACAGGTATGAGATAAAAAAAACTTTAGCCAGGCATTTAAATGATAATAAAAGTACTGACTGTATTATTAGTATGTGTTTGACGAATTTTTAGGGCATTGCCAAATCCAGGAGAGAGTGATTTCCAGGTGCCACCAGGAATGAGCATGAAGACATACAAAAGGATTGTGGATAAGAATCAACTGAACCCTAACCAATTGGAAGAGGTTTGTATTGTGTTTAACTTCTTTATGGATCAAGGAACAGCTTTAAAAAAATCCCTTTATGTCATTGAGTTAAAAATCAGTAGGATTTTACATCGCCAATCCCAGATGCAATTGATTTCAATTATGTCATTGTTATAATACAGCCTAATACTATTCCAATACTATTACTATTCCATCCCACTTATCACCAGGTGCGATTGTGGTCAAATACCTGCTTTGTTTTGTTATGCATAAAAAGTATCTAGCTTACTTTGTTGTATTCCTTATCTTTGTTTCAACCAAATGACGTCCACTGCTGAGCAAAGATCTCTCCCAAATAATTTGTACCAAAAAAGTGAAATCACCGTTTTATTAAATAGTGTTTCTTTTATACTGTGTATTACACGTTTTCTCAGATGAAGCTGTCGATCGTGAACTTCATAAGCAAGGACATATTCAACCACAGCGACGTGTTGGTGGCGCTCATAGTCGCTGCTGCGGATTCGCGATTCAGCGTCGCTAATCACGCCAACAGCCCACTGATAAGGGTCAACAGGTAGTGATGATTTTTATTCTTTTACAACATTTACTCCTTAGGGACCATACCCATTGACCGGCGCGCGTCGGAGCGCGTCAGAACGCACTTGGCCGTAAAGAAAATAGTATTTTATTAACAGTTCTTAGAGTCTTAATTGCTTACAACTGATTAACTGACATTATGATGACAGAATTTATTTGCGGTTGCAGCTAGTCGTATTTCGCGCTTGATCTTCTCAATAAAAATGCAATTTATTTTTCAGTTCCGTGGATTGGTCGCAGCCAGCTGTAGTGGCGCCTCTCTACTCGTTATACTTGGGAACTTGGGGAGGTCTCAAAGTGCCCCCAGATGACCGCAAGGTAAAAATAATAATACAAATAGTTCGTGACACCCAAAGTATCCAAAAAGTTCGTAACACGTATTTGTTACAATGAGGGTTTTCGCGATTGAAAAATCCGCCAGATGGCAATACGTAGACGGGAGGTCCAAATGCTGCATGATTGGTGGATTTTGACATATCTGTCAATGTCATGTCAAAAATAACCAATCATGCAGCATTTGGACCTCCCGTCTACGTATTGCCATCTAGCGGATTTTTCAATCGCTAAAACCCTCATTGGAATAAGGTTGTGTTGTCAACTTTTTGGCCATTTTAGGTGTCACGAACATTTGACGCTGACTGTGCTAACTAACTGAAAATAACTTGATGTTAATTTGTTTAATGGTACTAAAAGAATATTACAGTCCTATCAACTTAAGCTGAGAATTGCATTTGTGTGAGTGATCGCCAAAAGTACCGTTAGTAAAACACATACAAATAAAATTAATGTTTTATTAAAAGGAAGTCTATAAAACACTTGCTACCAATTGGACCGATGTAACGATACTTGACACATCATTTTAAATAAATAAATAAATAAAAACAGGTCCTCGCTCAGCATATGCCAAGGCACGATGTACCTCGACGCTGATATTCTGCGAGCACCGTTTATAGAGAGGGCGTCCAGCCAGCCTTACAAAATACAACAAAAAGACAAACTTTATATAATTACAAAATAAAAACAGACTAAAAACTTTTCGTTCACACCTTTAAAACACGTATTCAATTTGCATAAAATTTCTTTCACTTGGCTGCTTAATGGATTTCGTACAGGAAATTCACTAATATTTGGAACACAATTACATAAAATTACACGTATCTGCTACCAGTACCGGGGGTGAAATGAAGTATGTGAGCGGCAAGGAAGCGGTGCGTGGCGGACGCGCCGCGCTTCAGGCCGCTTGCTATAAATAAACCGGTTTAAACCATGCGCGGGACGCGCCGCGCTTCAAGCCGATTGCCACTCTACACTATCGGTGTGCACTCACACAAATGCAATTCTCAGCTTAAGTTGAGAGGACTGTAAACTAGTGTTCATGTTTTTATTTTATTTTTAATTTTCGGTCACGGTTTTAGGTGCCAGCATGCACTAGACTGCGCCTGAAACTTATACAGTACCTGAATAAGGCCACAGGGCCAGCCATCATGTTTCCACACTGCGTTCAGGTATGATTTCATTCAATTAACTTTGTATCAAATCCTTTTTACAAGCTTTTTATTACTTTCACATGTCTGGTGTCTGTCGTCAAATCTTGCAACTTAAAATTGACCCACTTCCCGGTTTCCTATTGAGCTGAAATTTTGCATACATGTGTAAGTCCGATGACAATGCAATATTATGGTACCATTGAGCTGGTCTGATGATGGAGTCGGGAGGTGGCCATAGGAACTCCTAAACAAAACGGCGGAAACTCATCGAGTTTGGGTTCGTTGGATTTGTCTTTTCGAGCACTTTAGTGTTAGATAACGTCCAGGGTCCTGAGATTAAGATATAACTAAAAAGTGTAAAATAAAATTATAATAAAAATAAACTTTTTTAAAAACAAGCTTTTATTCTGAATTTCGAAAGCTTGTAGCGCAAACAGAGAAAAAGAGGAATAAATTCCATGCGCGATACAAACTTTCGAAATTCAGAATAAAAGCTTGTTTTTAAAAAAGTTTATTTTTAAAACTTTATTTGGTAGCTGAATTGTTGCCACCATACTTTGAACTTTATTGAGATAAAATAAGGTTTAATGAGGATCATTTCGATTTTTAGCTGTGAATGCAGATTTATAGGGCTAAGAAATCCTTAATACACAGTGCAAAAATTTTTGTTCTACGACAAAAATTGACGAAGTTATGGCCAAATTACTAAAAAAGTTCACTGACCGCCCGGCGCGGGGACGATGACGTCATTATATCCGATCCGAACGCTGCCGGCGTACTGCGTGGATAGAAAATATTTTTTTCTAGCCAAAAGTGCGAGTCAATAATAACACTTGAAGATACTTAGGCTCAAAACTTTTCAGCCGCCCCTCGTATATGTATTATTATGTTCAATACAAACAATCATAAAGTTACACTAACCCCAACCGCGTCTCCGCTTTCCATCGAATCCTATGAAAATGTGGTCTTTGGACATAGCGATACTTATTTTTCACAAATTTTATTTTTAAAAATTACTGATCGATGGGTTACTTTATTTTAATGAATAAATGTTATTAAAAGTTTTTTTCTAAAACTGATAGTTTAGCTGCAAAAAAATATTTTCCATCCCAATAGTACGCCGGCTGCGCTCGATTCGGATATAATGACGTCACGCGGCCCAGCGTACGTTGACTTTTAGCGGCAAAAACGGCCTATGTTTATTACTTAATATCTTTGTTAGTAATGGTCCGATTTGGATAATTCAAAAAGATATATCTTTCTTATGTCTTAAAGATTAACGTAGATACTGGTTTTATTGCATTTTCTACAACAGTACTGATCCTCATTGTATCTACTGCAGGTCGTATTCTCGTCATTATTCGATCCGAACACGAACTCGAGGCTTCGGAACTTGGCGTTGATGTATTTATTGAACGTCATTAACGGGTAAGTTGACTTTGAAGTCTTTTCCATTGATATAAGGTTCTTTATTCTTTAACCAGGTTTAATACCAGGTGTTTTTTATTTCTTTTAGTGGTAATGTGACACAGTTGAGCAAAGTGGCAACAGTATTCCTCCAAGGGCTGTTGAAGATCATCAGATCAGAAGAACATGTTGAGCAACAGCCTAAAGCTTACATGTGTCTTGGTATGTATTGTCTACTATAATACTTGCTCCATCCATTAAAAAGTCCTCAGTTTCTAAAATAAACGAAAGCAGATAAAGCAAAAACCTTGTGGTATCTTATATGATTGTAATAAGTGCACGGGCCGGAAGACGTAGCGTGGGCAGGCCTCCCACTAGGTGGACCGACGATCTGGTGAAGGTCGCGGGAAGAGCCTGGATGCGGGCAGCGGAGGATCGGTCGTTATGGAAATCGTTGGGGGAGGCCTTTGTCCAGCAGTGGACGTCATTTGGCTGAAACGAACGAACAAGTGCTATTATGCCACAAAAATCTTTAGTCTAATACAGGGTTTCCCAATTATTTTTTGCCAAGGAACCCTAATTGATTATACTTTTCCTAGCGGAACCCCCGTACTACTCCGCCCGCACGCCCTGCCCCTCCCTTGTGCGTAAACAAGTCGGTGCGAGCGAACAACGTCGGTCACGAAACGTGGGATAATATTTTTTACGGAACCCTTGCGGCCTTTCCACGGAACCCCAGGGTTCCGCGGACCACCATTCGGGAACTGCTGGTCCAATATGCCTTGCTTGTGTAAAACTCAAGATTATGTTTTGACACCCTAAGTCTAGTTTCTAGAATAAACATTTTGACGACACAGTAGATCAAGCTAAACATTGGGCATCTTATGAAGTTGTATTAAGTGCTATTTTTTCAACAAAATTTGTATAGTCTGATGTGCTGCTTGTATTTTCGGATGTGCATTGAGTAATTTGCAACATAACGTTAATAATTTATAACAAAGAGAGAAAGAGGTAATGAAACGTGCTTACACTAAGTTTGATGCTAATAAAGTTATGTTTTAAGTTCATTTTAGATATCTTTTTCCACCCATTACAGGCAGGCTTGCAATGAAATGTCCGGAGAGCATAAACAATCAATTCGCTCTGCTAGAGGAGTTGGTAAAGAAGATTCCAGAAGCCACCCCTGAGATGAGAACAGCTCTCAGAGACGCTTTACTTGAGATGGCCGTTGCGTATAAGATTGGAACCGAAGGTATGTTTGACTCAAGTCTGAAATATAAATCTACCTTTAAACGGAAATAAACAGAACAGAATAGAATTACTTTATTCAGCATGTAACATTTAGCAATGGGAATATTGTGCCTACATATATACTATTGTTTGAACCATACAAACAAAAGTTTAATTTAATAAGAATAAGAATAAGAATAAGAATAAGAAAGTCTTTATTCAGCATAATTATAAATTAAGGTATACAAGGCAAGAGTAATTACATAAAAAAAAAAATTATTAATCTTGATATACTTGCAATAGGTATAAACGCAATATAGTTCATACAGTTTTTTATAGGATTTATTTAGTTTTTCAAATCATTTATTTAGATACGAGTAGTTAAACGAGTAAGAGTACATAGCACTACATAGATAGACAAGTAAGAGTACATAACACTACATTGCAAATTCTTTTTAACATTGTAGAGAAGTCAGCAGCAGTTGAACCTACCCCAGAGCAAGGTCCCAGCACTTCGCAAGGCGAAAAAATGGATGTCGAAGAGAAAACTAGTCCCTTCGATGAGCCACAAGCGTTGGCTTTGTTCGCGCTACTCGATCAGTAAGTTTGTTTTATAAATTACGTTTTTAATTATTTATCTAAGAGAAAGAAAATCTCATTTATAAAGTTACGTTTCAAAGTAAACGATCGAAAGTTTGATTGAGTGCTTGTAGGCAATGATACATGTATGCCTGTAAAACGGAATAGTAGCTACTATCAGTTAGTAATGCAGAATTAAAATGACTAATTAACGTGTAAAGTACGGCCAACTAGCAGCGACACAAAAGGTCGATATATTCTGTCTCTTCCCATCTTGTGCATTTGTCGTAATGTCTCGTTCTCCCGCTAAAATATGGCAGTCAGACGGGTTCACCCATGACATTGGGTTTGTTTACATTTGGTATCGCTTCTCTCTGGCCGTACTTTATATTGCAGGTATACACTTTTAAATATTATACTACATGCATGTGGATGTTCTGCTAATCATTTATTCCTTTTATTCCTTTTTTCCAGCTATATGCACAGTGAAGAGTCCATGGTGCGTTACATAGCGACGAGGTATTCGGCAGCTGTGTTCCCGCCAGATTATGTGCCGTCCCGATACCTCCTACTTTTGGCCAGTGGAGATAAGTGAGTTACAATTTATAAAACTCACTCTTTTATAAGTCAACTAACATTTTATTATTTTTGATTTCATAGCCGATGAAAACAATAAAATATATTTTTAGTCACATAGAAATGCGTATTTCAACTTCTCAATGTTTCATTTTACATTCAAAGTGTCTTTCAAACTTTTTAACCCTAGAGTAGTCGCGCCTTTCCGTGAAACGCGAGTGCTCGCGTATGAGCATTTTGCCGCCCAAACTAAAATTCCGGTTGTGTGTCAAATAATAGTTTAAAAATATGAAAATCAGTCAAAAATAATAGAATAAAACATACACTATTAGAAAATAACGTTTATTAAATATTTGTGGTTAGAATTTTAAGAAAAAAAATTATTTTGGAAATGTTAGGAAATACTTAATGAAATCTTAGAAACACTATTGTTTTTACCAACATACATCAAGAAAAAATAACTTATTAGCACACTTAAAGGTTTTCCTCATCTATGACATGTGCTTCAGCAAAACAGTCCTGTCACGTGTACATTTAAGGTGCATTGCACAGTAAATTTGCACAGCTATTGCACCCTTGACACATCATCTTCAGATTCTGCCGCTGATTGTTCTATATCAATATTGTAATGACTATGTTTACTTTCTCTATAACTTTCTTTTACATTTTTTACTAATTTTAGTGCACCAGCTTCTTCGAAATCCGACCCTCTTCCTTGTTTTTTCATTTTATGTATTTTACGTGAATTTTACCGAAAACGACATGAAATATATTAGCACTTATAGTAATTATCAATGTTATGACGTAATTAATGTCAAAACAACATTATACGCAATGAAAACAAATAATATTTCAACTAAACTAAAAACCAGACACACAAATTTTACTTACGTCAGTAGTCGCGCAGTGAGCAATTTGCCGCAAAACGTGACATACGTTCAACAATCATTCTCTATCGCGGTCACCTGCGCACTAAATTTCTTCTAATTTCTAATATATGGAGGTGAAGTATGGGGAGGCAGCTACTGAAACGCTTGACTTTGACAAACGCATCGTGTAGAAAATAGCTCGATTTTTTTGCCGAGGGCGGCAAAATGCTCATAGCGCGAGCACTCTAGGGTTAATGACCTTATCTTTTTAGACAAGATGAAATCTCAACGGAAGCCCTAAAATGTTTATATGGCACGTCACGCCCCAACGAAATAGAAGAGGTTGTGAACAACGTGTCTAAGAAAGAGACAGCAGTCGTCAATATCGACGAAGAGGCCGGTAAGAAAGACAAGGACAAAACACAGGAGGTTGCAGAGTTCAAAGCGCCGAAGTTCAAGGATGTGGTGAACTATGTTTGGGACCAAATGCAGAAGAGAAAGAAGGGTTCGAATGCTAAGCATCGGTTCGTGATTGCTAACCAAGTACTGCAGTTTCACCCGCTGACTTATCAAGAGGTGAGTTGTAGTAAATTCCTCTCAACACAGTTTATTTTACAAACTGTAACAAATATTTGTATAGATGAATGAAAGCACATTAAGCTAAAATTTGTCATCGAAGGCAGTTTAATAGGTGTCATATTGAAACATAAACGTATAATGATTATGCTATTGTAAACCTTTTTTGAGACCTGCGCGCAATGCAAAATGACTAAAATCTACCAGGCGAAGCCGTGGGCAAAAGTTAAGTTTTAAAGGATTTGCCATCCTTGTATGCGGTGTGTTAGGTAATACATGATGCGGGCTGCATTTACTTTGACCTGGCCGCAGACTGCATCCAGTGTGACAAATCCTTAAATTAGTTTTTTTTCCACATCTTGCGAGCCCTTATTAACGCTTTCCAAGTATCTCCATAAATGCAACATTTCTTTATATTTTTTTAGATCCTCAGGTACTTACGCATGTGCCTCAACCGGGATGCGAACCTGAACGACTGCTCGAACCACCCCAACGCCACCTCGCCGCTTCTGGCCAAGTATTTCTACGAGAACCTACTGGAAACGGAGGTGTTGGAACGATACTTGACAATGATCACTTCGATGCTCAATGCTAGTCCGGGTAATTGTAGGCTGTTGTATTATTTTTCAATTTGGTTTTGAAGGTGTCAGACTGGCCGACTCGTGTCGTGATCGTGACATATGGGTTCGATTCCTGTTGCCGCTTGACTTTTGTGGTGAACCCACTCGTCACAAGCATTTATTTTGCTTACCACGAGGGGTTAATGGGACTATTAATTTATATTATATTTGTTGCACAACACTAAAATAGTTTTTTTTTTCTGGTAACGCACTTGTATTCGTGGGAAGCCGAGCCGAGAGATCTACATTGTGTCTACCCAAAAATAGAAGTACACTACATATTTTAGTGCTACCATGCAACATTATTAGTGTTGCCGAACTATCGATAGTAAAACTATCGATAGTTTTCATTCGAAAAAGCCTTCTCCATCGATAGGCCTATCGATAGTATCGATACTGTCGATACTATCGATACTATCGATAGCTCAAAACGAGGCAATACTATTGAATATGTGCAATACTATCGATACTATCGATAGTATTGTTGCTCGTGAAGAATAAACTATCGATAGTATCGATACTATCGATAGTATTGTCGCTTTTGAATAAAAAGCTATCGATACTATCGATAGTATCGATACTATCGATTGTTCTAGACTATCGATAGTCTGTAAATTTGCAATAGTATTGGGTATGTTTAAATTCATTTTTACAATATTTAAAATGTTTCGCTTGTATTACCAACTAAACAAATAACTAACAATAATAATCTCACTTGTATTTAAAACTACCTGCATTAGTTAAGTACGGCAAATAAAATGTATTGCCAATTTTGGAAACATATAATTAAATGTTATGGTTAACTATATGAAATAATTCAAGTATTCCAATAACCCTTTTGTTGTGGCTATTGACTATTATACCCAAATATTGTAAACGATACTATTGTAAATTGCCAAACTATCGATAGTCTAGAACAATCGATAGTATCGATAGTATCGATAGTATTGATAGTTTTTTATTTAAAAGCGACAATACTATCGATAGTATCGATACCATCGATAGTTTATTCTTCACGAGCAACAATACTATCGATAGTATCGATAGTATTGCACATATTCAATAGTATTGCCTCGTTTTGAGCTATCGATAGTATCGATAGTATCGACAGTATCGATACTATCGATAGGCCAATCGATAGTCTTGCGATAGTTTGACTATCGATAGACTATCGATAGACTATCGATAGTCGACTATCGATCGGCAACACTAAACATTATTTTATTATTCAACAAAAAAAAAAGTTGCATATCAACACTATTTACAAAGTGCTAATATTGTTCAAAATTTTTATAACTGAATTTTACTCATGAAATTGTACTGAATATTATTTTTTTCCTAGACGTGATGCCGCTAACATGTTTCCTTGACATCGTCGGCTGCGTGCCCGAAAAGATCGCTTCAAAATACACCAGTCTCCTCCCATTCCTTAAAAACCTATTCACCACGAGTACAAAGGAAGACATCAGAGAAACATCAGCAGTCATATATGCCATCATCACAGTGAACACAAGCGAGAAAGCTGCTATAGAGAAAGAGATAAAAGAGTTCGTTGAACAGGGCAAGAATAATAAGAATCTTGAGACGCAGTGCGGGTATCTGTGTGCGTTTGCGCATATGTGTGAGAGGTGTATCGTTTTGGCGAAAAGGGGCAAGTTTGGGGGGAAAGGATTCAACGCTGTTAACTGGGAGCCGTTCAAAGAAGGAGTGGTTGTGTTAGGTAAGTGTATTTATAAATAATACATTGTGGTGTTCCAACTAAAGCGGAGTGTACACAAAACGAGAGTAGGTTTTGCTAATGCATTTCTATAGCTGGCCACATAATGCCTATTTTACAATACCACCATTTTTATACGCCTCTTTGGCCCAAAGCCAGCGACATTTAAAAAAAATCTTTATTGGCAACAAAAACACTTACATGCACAAACATTGTTGCGTCAGCAACTGCATTAGTCAAGGACTGTGTCGCAGATGCTATTATTACAGCTATGAAATAGCCGCGTAGTGTTTTATGCATCAACATGTGCCTCATATAATGTCGCCTTTTCAGCTAACTTACTCATCAGTCCACAAACACTGCTGGTCACCACGTCTTGTTCTGCGGTCTCCTTACTAGCCCGTTGCTCAGGGCTACCGCTCCCGAATACGACAGAAAAACAATCCGCTTCCTTACTCACCGAAAACCCTTTCAACATCAACAAGAGCGACACAAATGTAGACTCTACCGATGAGGTGACAAAGTTCACAGTCGCTGAACGCCTGTTCAAGATTGTGGGCAATGCGAAACTACCCTCAAAAGTCAAGGAGAGGTCGCTGTATACGTTAGGTTTATTGTGCTGTGGAGAGAGGCTGGCGTTTGCTAAGCAGATCGTGATGGGATTCCTGCAGATGGCTAAAGATGTGAGTATATTATTATTTAGTTTCAAAAGTGATTGCAACAGATATTACAGACATTAATGTACGAAATTAATCCATGATTTGTTTATTTCAGAGTAAAGAATTCGAAATTCATTTGCAAATTGGTGAGTCGTTGGTTCTTTGCATTGAAGGCGTTAACTCGAATGAAAACCGAGATCTGTGGACGGAATTACCAAAAGAGGTAACATAAAATATTTGTCTCAAGTTTTTTTATCAGAGCTTTTCTTTCTCTCTATCTCTTTTTGTCACGATGGAATGTGTCACGGATGATACTTTATGTGGTGGTCTCAAAGGTGCTGCTAACTTAAGTTAGAAAGAGAAGTGAGAATTATCCCATTACATTTCACGGTTTCAAAATAAAGTTATTGATATTTTTTTTAGGGTAAAGCCAAAATAAGAGACGCAGTAGCTCTAAAAGAAAACGACGAATTACTGGAGTGGCTGCTGCAAGAACTGTTCAAGCTCGGCAGACATCCTCATCCGCATTCAAGACAGGTAAAAAAATATCACCAGAATGAGGTAAACTGTATAAAGATTGCCAGCTCTAATTTGTTTACTTCTATTACAATTTTGCAGAACTCTATGTACGGTTTTTATAGTAGACATTTTTTAATGTATTTTTGAAATACATAAGTTGGTTTTTATATCTTTTAGGCGACAAGCATATGGCTGCTGGCATTACTCAAGAACTGCCCTGAACGCGAACCGATCAAGAGTAAATTGCAAAATCTCCAAGATGTGTTCATGGATTACCTTTCGGAAAATAGCGGTAAGTTTATTTTACGTCCTAAATGTTCAATAAAAGGCATTTTCTTGTGCTAAACATTCGTTAGATAATGTATTTAGCCATTTTTATTTTGTAAAGCACAGCAATCGCTCCAAATCTTTTCTTATTACTTCTGTCCTTCATATGATCCGTCTTTAATCCTTTTAAGAAAACGGATAAAGCGTGATTTGGCGTTGGTATATTCAGACCAATTAACCAATACCATGGTGATTTGGCCCTTAATGAGAACAACCAATTTGTTGTCCAATACTGTAATGCTACTGAAAATATACATGCAGTGGGTTTCAAACGAAACAAACACAACTATCGTTCTACAAAAAACTATTTTCATTTTTGTTACAGAAATCGTCCAAGACGTAGCAAGCAAAGGCCTCAGTCTGGTGTACCAGAATTCGGACGAAAGCCAGAAGCAAGCTCTGGTGGGGCAAATAATCGAACAGCTGACTAGCGGCAAGCGGTCCGTCGCGCAGGTCACTGAAGATACCAAGATATTTGAAGAGGGACAGCTGGGGAAGGCTCCTACTGGGTAAGTGTATGAGTAAAATCTAAAATAGTAACAAACTTTATTTTTCAACGTAGTACAGATGACAGCACTACAATTTTGTAGTAAAACAGCTCTTATTACGAATACATTAGATGCTACATGTGTAGTTTAATGTGCTGTCCCGCTGCATAGAGGGACAAATTTTGACGTAGATATGAGTAGCATAACGTTTCCGTGCTCATTGAGTTCTCTAGAGTGAGTTACGAATTGTTTTGGAATGTCAAAAATAGAAACATTCAAATTCAAATTCTTTATTTGCTTATAAATAGGGTAAATACATCAGTGGTGGATGGTATTTTATAAAAGTGCAGTCCTATTTAGCCAATGTCAGTTAGCATGCAAATTATAGATTAGGTAAATGTCGATTGGTATTACATGTTGTTTGAATCTTACGTTGGAAAAACAATGTTTATTGATTTAAAAAAAAAAGTGTTGTCGTTTAAACCAAAGAGAGGTTTAATCACAGAAAATCTATAAATAAATACTATTCTGTTTGGGGATGCGATGAAAGTTTACACGTATGCTAAAAGTAAGATAGAAGAATAGATAAAATGGTATTGTATTGTTTCAGAGGAAACCTGTCCACGTACAAGGAATTATGTTCTCTGGCATCTGACTTGAATCAGCCAGATCTGTTGTACAAGTTCATGCATCTTGCTCACCACAATTCTGTGTGGAATTCCAAAAAGGGTAAGTAATTTACCACCTCATCTTTTAACATCTTTGATGATCACATTCATTACCCTCAACCAGTCATTGGCAAGGAATATAGTGACCACATTATTCTGAACTTTGTGTTGTTAAGGTCCAAAAACAACTAACTAACGGTCTACTTTTCAATTTATATTCTAGGTGCAGCCTTCGGTTTCCACTCCATAGCCCTACAAGCGGGGGCGCAACTATCAGAACATCTACCTAAGATAGTCCCAAGGCTGTATAGGTACAGATTTGATCCGACGCCTCGTATTCAGAATTCTATGGCCAGTATATGGCACGCTATTGTGCCTAACACGCAGGCTACCGTGAGTATGTTTTTTGTTTTTGTGATATTTAGCTAGTATGTACTGTTGTTGATAAAGACTGCTTATGTATCAAAATACATATCAGATACTACCGCTCCCTTTGAAGTTGGAGTTCCAATTTTATGGGACAATTTAAAATTACATGAAGGTGGGTATTATTCGTTTATCGTTATATTATCGTAAATTGCGTATACGCATACGCCATTGAATTGTCTACGGATATATGATATAGACATTTTTTATAGGTGCACAAGTATCATAAAGAAATTCTGGATGATTTGGTTGCAAACCTGACGTCCAACCAATGGCGTGTTAGAATGTCTTGCTGCAATGCTCTCGCCGATTTATTACGGTAATTATCAAACTACTTATTACGATTTTATTTATGTATTATTTACTGTATTGGTTTTATTTAATTTGTGCAGTGGTGCCCAGAGTCTACATGATTCCTTGAGCCAGTTGCCCACGATATGGGCTCAGCTATTCCGTGTCATGGATGATGTTCATGAAGGCACGAGGCAAGCTGCTACTACTACTGCAAACGTGCTATCCAAGGTAAGAGGTTATTTTTTATTTCATTACTATGAGTGTTTATTCATATGAGCATACAAGGAAGTCTTAGTTGTAATGACATTCAATTTCTATCCTCACTTTTGTAGCTATGCATCCGAGCGTCAGATACGAACCAAGGAAAAGATGGTAAAGAGATCGTGTCTGTTATCCTGCCAGTATTATTGGAGAACGGTATTACTAATCTTGTAAAAGAAGTAAGAAGTGTTAGGTGAGTAAAGCATCCTCACATTTGATTAGCAACTTCCATGCCTTCAAGCGGAGTTTTGGGCTGACACTGTGTAGGTTTGTTGTCGATACGACAAGAAGAAGAATAATGTTGAATTGTAGAATAGTTTAAAATGTTCTCTAATATTTTTTTCAGCTTACAAACAGTATCAAAGTTAGTGTCGGCAGCTGGTGCGAGCCTCAAACCTTTCCTTCCAAAGTTGATCCCAGCATTGGTGGGTGCGGCTGGAGATCTAGAATCTGCTAAGTTATCGTACTTAAGTACGGCACTGGCGACTGATAGCGGAACCAGAGAACTGCTGGATGATATGAGGGCTAATGCTGCCAAACACCATTACACTACTGACACAGTTGTAAAGGTATGTTTTAAGATTTTACTGAAGCTTTTGATAATGTTGTTCAACAGTAATGTATTTATATTTTGCTATTTCCTACTAAGTTTTGTAACAAATTCATTTGAATCTAGTATTAACCGAACTTAACAACTAATAACTTAAGTTTAAGGGCTATACATATTTGCAAACTGAGATACATTTCTAATGGTGTACCTCAGGGGACGTTACTTTGCCTCTATCTTTTGTCGCATTGATGTTGATAAATGGCACTTATTTTACAGTGCATGCCCTACATCGACATAGAAGTAATGAAAGAGATGTTGCCCAGCGTTCTCGAACTTACCAAATCCCCACAACTGGGCACCAAAGTAGCGTGTTGTCATTTCATCGTGCTATCGGGTCACTATCTACGGGCCGAGTTGGAGCCGGTGGCTGGGAAGATCATGTCCAACTTGCTGAATGGAACCTTTGATAGGAATTCAACTGTGAGGAAAAACTACTCGGAGGCTTTGGGGCAGGTCTCGGCATACGCTAAGGTCAGTAAAAGCTAGAGTAGTATAGGAATTTAACTAGTCATATTGTCGGTTATTATCGATTAATCAATCCAATATCTGTATTAGGTGTGAATAATTGTGATTTGAAATAATGATAAGTGTCGAAGCTATAATTTAATTATATTCATATCTTTATCTTACCTTTCAATTCAAGAAAAAAAGTAGCTGCTACTGATTTTTGGAAGAAATCTTTCACCATAACATTATTGATGCAAAATATCACTTTTTTACTACCACTACATAAGATGGTTGATGTGCCGTCGTCTGTGCAGTAAACTGATCTTTATTATTTCAACCGTCCCTCAGCCACAATCAATAGAAAAGCTGATGAAGAAGCTAGTTAGCCTATACGAGACGCGGGAGGATGACATGTCGCGGTCAGCCGTGGCGCTCGTGCTCAAGTCTGTGGCCAAAGCCAAGATAGAGCACATCAAAGACAACGAGAACGTTCTTGCGCCGATGGTGTTCTTGGCTATGCATGGGCCTAAAGATGACGGTAAGAGAATAACATTAAAATTTCTAACGCTAAAACAGGCGATGATTATAAAAATATTATTTTATTTGAAAAGTGATTGCTGTAGTTCCAAAACGATGTAAAGTTTAAAGTTTGAAAGTCTTGAATGTATGTTTAAATTTTTTGTGTCCAAAAATTGGGATTATTAAGTGAATATTTTAAATATAACTCAGAATGCTAAGTAATACGAGATGAACTATATTTTCATAAAGATGTGTTGTTCACAATGTCATGTCGCGTCACTGCCTGGTAGTGTACTCGACATGTATGACCGACGACGAATTGAGACCGTACTACAAGTCTTAATACAAACTCCCATTCAAAGCAATCCAGGTTAGCAGCGCGTGGGGATTATCTGTTCAAATTAGCGATTTATTATGTCCCAATAGGGTTGTTGTAACCTCAGTTAATAACCAAACGATAAACAAGGAATCTAAAACGATACTTATTTTACCAGAGTCATCAACAGTAGAGATGTTCGAGGAGATCTGGACTGATATCAGTCCCGCGCGCGAGTCGGGCATCCGGCAGCACCTGCCTGCCATCCGCGCTGAAATCGAGCAAGCCCTTAATTCCAGCAGCTGGACTAAGAAGATACAGGTGATGTGCTTTATATACGCCAACTTGCAGTAATTTGAAAATTTACCCTTTATTACTTGAGTTAAGAGAGCTGCTTGTTTTTCCTGCCAGTTATGAAATCCACGATAAGATATTATAGATTTAAATTTTTTTTCGATTATTCTGCGTGGTACGGGCAAACATCGGCAAAATTGATCCGCCTACTTTCACATCACAGAACTTGGCAGAAAGCTCCCGGAGTCGTAACAGGACTAATCCTAGCTCTTGTCTCCATCACTCTAGTCTTGTTGATCAACATTTTGGCAGCCAAGGAAAGTTTCTTTGAGAGTAGCTTTTTATCAGAAGAATAATCCTAATATCCTACTAATATTATAAATGCGAAAGTTTGCAACAAGTACTGAATGAATTTTGAAATTTTAAAGTATTATTGTTTATAGCCCAGAATAACATTATAGGCTACCATTTATGACGATATGTGCCAACAAAATTTCACGCGGGTAAAGCCGCGGGCAAAAGTTAGCATAAATAAATATGACTGTTGATTTAAATCCCTAGGCGGCGAACTCCATAAAGACGGTGTGCAAGGAACTATCTACTGGATTAGGAGATCAGCGAGAGCAGCTGATCCGAGCACTGCTGGCCGCCGTCCACGGCAAGACCTTTGACGGGAAGCAACACGTCATCGAAGCTCTGGCTGAGCTCTGCGCGTGAGTTGATGTTTATGTTTGTATTTAGCAACACAAAATCTTATTTGTTATTTAATTTACTATAAAAGTCCAAATATTATGAGGGTGGATGGATGTTGACCAGTCTGGTACAGTTGACATTTGACAGCAGATACATTTATTACAACTGGAAGGAATAGGTCTCCACCACCACGTTGCCATGCCAGGTTAGCGTGGCAGTTGGGAAAAAAATGTTTCAACTAACACGTTAGAGCCGACTACATTGCCTAACAAGGTGGTGGATGGGACAAATTATCATCTACTACGTTGAGCTGATTACATAGTTAGTTTAACTTTTTCACGGGACTACTAAACTGTTGGAGTTGGATCGTAAGAAGGAAAAGACCACGAAGATGACCACGGATTTATTTTAGAACATACAGCACACAGAGACTACATGAGATCGAGTGATTGATCCAGAAGTCTGGAAGCCTTACATTGACAGCAGAGTGCCAAATTCAAATATGCTTGCGTTTAACCAAAAAGTTTCTAACTTTCCAACATAAAGTTCAGATTTTTGTAATCTTTTGTGGATGTTTATACGAATTACAAAGACATGAATTCCTTTTATTTTCATTATTTCACAGAGTAAAAGAAGGCGAATCCCCAGTATCTCCAACGCTTGCAAGCGATGTGGTGAGCGCGCTTCTTGTCGAAAGCCGCAAGCAAGACATGGGCTACAAGAAGCACGCCATCACCGCGCTGGGGCAAGCGCTCGCCGCCACCAGCTGCGACCGGTTCAACCAGGTCTACGAGATCGTGAAGGTCATACTGTCTAAGGTGGGTACTAAAGTAGATGGCACGGCACTATCGCCTTAAGGTTGGTTCTTGTGGAGAGCCGCAAGCAAGACATGGGCTACAAGAAGCACGCCATCACCGCGCTGGGGCAAGCGCTCGCCGCCACCAGCTGCGACCGGTTCAACCAGGTCTACGAGATCGTGAAGGTCATACTGTCTAAGGTGGGTACTTTTATTGTACTAAAGTTCTGAGAGGGTGCGGCACAATCGGCTTAAGTTTGGGAGGCATTTGAGGCGTGGCGCTACGCGTCACTATGCAACGACACGCTCGCTGCAACGTCGTCCTAATGTGACACGCACCATACAAAACGTATGAAAGAGCAATTTGCTGCTTTGTCCCGCTGCGCGCAGCGCCAAATGTGGCCCGGCCTTTACACGTTGCTATCTGATTAAGTTTTTTTTTGTTGAAAAGTTGGACTCATTGATAAAAATAACAGAAAATTGAAAATATTATAATATCGGAATTATTTTCATGACTGCTACAATGTTGCTTCGGGACTTGATTTGAGACTTGTCATAATGTCATCTAAATTACATATTATTGTTATTATGCAGGATGAATCGTCAGTGGGCAAAGAGTCGGACGAAGAAGACAACGAGGGCGCGCGCCAGAGGAGGGAACAACTGACTGCGCTCAAGGAGGCCGCCTACGAACTGCTGGGCAAGGCGTGGCCTAAGGACCCGGACACGCAAGGTATTTGTCATGAGAATTGAGTATAGTCTGGTCTGCGAGCACGTAGAATTTTGTCCAATGACCCCAGGCTACCCGAGCGATAAGGATGTCGCTCGCGCGTAATTATATTGCTGTCGCGCTCGCACACTCACTGCGGGCGCCCGTCGCACAGTCGATAAGGGATGGGAAGCTTGGGGTCATTGGACAAAATTCTACGTGCTCACAGACCGGGCTTTAGAATCACTAATTCCAAGATACATATTTGAAAAATTTCGAGTTCTTAAAACCAGTTTTTTTATGTATAACAGGGCAGGTATATGACCATAATCGCTCCTGGTTATTGGGATGCAGTGTAGGATGGTACATATTTGCCGGGATTATAGTGTTCGGGAAAGACTGCAGCAGGCAGCGAATTCCAGTCCCTAGCTGTTCGCATTATAAAAGAGTTATCAGTTTGTTTTGTTCTCGTTCGAAGCAATATTTGTCAGTCAATTGATACTCAGCTTTCCGAAATCTAGGTAGAAGTTGAGCTATTTTTATTCAGAATCCTCGCAGCACTTTTTTTTTTGTTTTCAGAAAAATACCAAGACGTCTTCTTCGAGCACTGCGCCAAGTCTTATTCCACCAGTTCTCGATCGACGCAACTGGCTATACTAGCGTCCATCGCTCGTGTATTAGAGCGCCTGGCGGTATTAGGCAGCGCGGGCGAGCCCATGGATACCGACAACGCGGCCGCAACCGCGCGCGACGCCGCCGTCGCCCACGCCACGCAGCAAGTAGCCGCTGTCATAGACTACACGCTCAGTGAGTACCCTGTGACGTAGCTAACTCAACAACTGGCCATACTAGCGTCTATAGCGAAAGTGGAGCGTCTTCGATATAAGGTAGCGCGGGCGAGCCCATAGACACCGACAACGCGGCCGCCGGCATAGATTACACATCGAGTACTGTGTGACGTGGCTAGCTCAATAACTGCAACAACTGGTCATACTAGCGTCTATAGCGCGTGTATGGAGCATCTAGCTCTATTAACCAGCGCGGGCGAGCCCATGGACATTCATTGAGGACCCTGTCATGCATCTAGCTCAACAACTGGCCATACTAGCGTCTATAGCGCCGCACTAGCGTATATAGCGCCATACTAGCGTCTATAGCGCGAGTGTTAGAGCGTCTGGCTGTACTAGGCAGTGCGGGCGAGCCCATGGATACCGACAACGCGGCCGCCACCACGCACGACGCCGCCGTCGCCCACGCCACGCAGCAAGTGTCCGCTGTCATAGACTACACGCTCAGTAATTACCCTGTGACGTAGCTAGCTCGACAGATCATTCTAGCGTCTATAGCGCGAGTGTTGGAGCGTCTATAGCGCGAGTGTTAGAGCGCATGGCGGTATTAGGCAGCGCGGGCGAGCCCATGGATACCGACAACGCGGCCGCCACCGCGCGCGACGCCGCCGTCGCCCATGCTACGCAGCAAGTCTCCGCTGTCATCGACTACACGCTCAGTAAGTACCCTGTGACGTAGCTAGCTCGACGGATCATTCTAGCGTCTATAGCGCGAGTGTTGGAGCGTCTATAGCGCGAGTATTAGTGCGTCTAGCTCTATTAACCACCGCGGACGAGCCCATGGACACTCAGTGAGGACTCTGTCATGCATCTAGCTCAACAACTGGCTATACTAGCGTCTATAGCGCCGAAATAGCGTCTATAGCGCTATACTAGCGCCACACTAGCGTCAATAGCGCCGCACTAGCGTCTATAGCGAGAGTACTAGAGCGTCTGGCTGTACTGGGCAGCGCGGGCGAGCCCATGGATACCGACAACGCCGCCGCCAGCGCACGCGACGCCGCCGTCGCCCACGCCACGCAGCAAGTGTCCGCTGTCATAGACTACACGCTCAGTGAGTAGTCTAGCTATCTTTGAATAGTAAAGCAGGGAAAAGACTCATTGTATTGCCTCTGTCATGTTTGGGACGTCAAAAAACGTAACGTCACGCAGCGAGTGGCCACCGGTGACGTAGGTACCCGGCTCTTAATCAGTCCCAACTGGCTATGCTCGCGGCTATCGCGTGTAAAAAGTCACGTCACACTGCAAGTGCCCGCTGTCATAGATGTCATATATGTTTAGTGCTGACGTAGGTACTATGAAGAGTCCTTGCCAACTTACCGATGTGTAACCTATACGTCACTAATACTTACCAATTTATTTTTCTTCAACAGAAAACAGCAACCAAGTGAGGCACAGGCGAGACGCGTTAAATATAATGGAAATTCTCATCAAAAAGTTAAAAGGTAAACCCTTAATTGAATATTTGTTTAGTTCTTGTATATTTTTTAGGTGTCAATAAAAATCTAATTTTCCTTTTTTAATTACAGAAATGAACAAAGCAGATGAACTAAATAAACTGAGAAGTATCTACCAAACCTATGCTCAAGACTTATCAAAGGATTCGTCACACGAAATCAGAACCAAAGTAGATAACATTAAGGTTCACTTTAAATAAATAGCACAATGAAATGTTAAGTTATTGACAGTGTTGTGGAATAAAATGATCTTAAATAAAAAAATATTTGCTATTTATTTTGAAATATCGTGTGAAATGAGCTGTAATAATTAATCAATCTTTTCTTTTCAAGTCTATTTAAACGTTTTTGAAGAACCGTAAGTTTTTTTATTTAAAAAAAAACAGTTGTTTAATTTATTGACTATCTGATATAAAGATTATATTATCACAATTAAGGAAGGGTAATAAAATAAAATAAACGTACATATGTAACTATCACATTTGTGTTTAATGCGGTTGCATCAAATAAATCTATGGAATGAAAACAATATTGCAACAAGTACATCGATCGAGATTAGAAATGAAAAGCGACCGCGATATAAAAGAAAGGATTCAGAGAAATACTCATGGTTAATTTATTTATCGTTACTGTATAATATTTAATTGTATAAGAGTTTAGTAATAAAATAAAATTACATCTTATTTACAAGTAATCTCGCTCGACACTGACAAAGCTAAATGATTATAAATACATAATTCTAACATAAATTCTTCACGACAGTATTAACTAATTAACTAAATAAATTATAATTTGCTAATTCTGTACAATGATTCCTATGCTAGTTACCTTCAGTTTTCTTGACACCGATAAAGTTAAGCGATTGTGATTAGTCAGAGTTGTAAACGCAAACTTGCACGTTAAAAAGATGATCAAAATGTCCTTGACTCTTCAGGGTAAGGTTTTCAGCTGCCACTCCCATTCATGGCGTGATATATCTTTTAATAACAGTTTCTGTCTGCCTTTTCTCATAAAATGCCCATAATAACTATCATATTACGCATTTAAACATTCATCAACCAATCACATTAGATGAATTTATTTTGAAATAAAGCCAATTTTTTCAGTGTAGAAACCAAAGGCACGAATTAGTGCTACTTAAATATAATACATTTAAAGTCACATCTATGCATAAAAATTGCAACTAGTTTTTACTTGTAGAATACTTAAAACGATAATAAATTAGCATATTCATCGGGACGAATTGCGTTAGTTTAGACCAAGTTGGTGTTAATCGAGTTATAAAATAGGATAGAAACCCATTACACAAAATATATAACTTATTTACATACTGTGTATTATATTAAGGCTATAAGTTAAATAGTAAATTTAATAACATGAAAAGCAAAACTTTGTACATAATACACATCACATACTCGTAGAGCGATTGTTAGAAGCAAAATAATTCGCATCTGTGTGCAGTAAACCAAACCAGCGAAATTAAGACGTAATTTCATATGAATTTCCAGTAAAATTTAAGAGCGGTTTCGCAATACGTCCGATCCGAATCCTTCAAAATGTGGTTCAAGGAAAGGCTCAAGAAATCCATTGAGTAAACAACTATAATTACAAATAGTTATACTTCTTCAGACGTTTTTTTTATGTGACAGGAGGCAAACGGACGTAACGTAGTACCAAACCACTGCATGTCGATTTTAACGTATGAAATTTACTTTTTCTTTCTGCAATAGGCTTTTTGTTTTCTAATTGACAAAATAAGTCAAAAAATTTTGGGTACAATATTATATTATCATTAAACGAAACGAAACACGTTATAAGACGTAAATCTAGTCGTATTTTATTGAAAGTCCATTTATATTATACGCTAATTATAACAATCAATCAATTACTAGCCTTTATCCGCGCCTCTGTTAATTACTCTTGAGTTTTATACGTTATGTGTTCATTTAAAGATATATCTTTGAAGACAATAAGTTACGTTAAGGCGTATTCGTCCTATAAAATTACAAAACTGGTTATCTAGGATCTACATTATAGATGGCTTTGTTATAAATAAGCTAATTAAGCCAGAATTTGTAAATTACCGGCGAAACTATGTATACAACTGACCCGTCAAATTAAGGTAGGTGTATCTACAATATACCGATGGCATATCTACAAAGTAGATCGATGTAACCTTATATCTACTCCCGATCTTGTAAATATGCAAAGATAATATAACAAATTATATTATATTTATATTCGAGCAAGTCGATGAGTGGTGCTCGACTAAATACAGCCCATCTTCAGACCGTGTACAATTAAATGTGACGTCACATCCCAGCAAGATTTTGTCGTTATCTTTCGAACATCTACAAGTGTAACCCTTTCTGAGTAGTGATGTCCTACCCAATCTAAAGTGAGCGAGCAGTACAGAACGGGTGCTCCAATAATATTTAGTCTATCTTTAGACCATGAATTAAAAAAACAGTACAATTTTTGACATCATCTTTCGAACATTTACAATAGTGTCCTACCCAATGAGGGCTATCGTTTTTATACTTAACAGTTGGCACCCCTGGCGATTGACAGGACATTACTCTACAGTGGCGCCATCTTGATGAGTGCAAATACGATAGTCCTCCTACTACTTTCGCGCTCACCAGTTGGTGCCACTGTCTTCGCTACTAGCAAGTGACAGGACCTTACTCTACAGTGGCGCTAACTGGTGAGCGCTAAAACGATAGCCCTCATTCAAAGCAAGGTACAGAACGGGAGTATAACTTGACACTTACACATCATCGAACAGTCCTCTTGGCGGTATCGTCATCTTGTCCCTCGGGTCGTCGAACTCCGACCGGCTGGATTGCGTGCTTTTCCCGAATCTTTTGTCTATCTCATCCTCCAATGTCAGATCGGATCTGTTGTAAGGAACCTCAGCCCGTTGGTAGCCGGAGGCTTCCTGCACTCGGTCGGGGCTCGGGCTGACGTAATAGTCTGTGTCGACGTCATTTAGGAGCCCGGTGTGGGCTGCAACGTGACAGACATGCACAATAACTGATAGCATACGTGCGAAAGTTTAGTCACAGTGTTAGTTGGTGGGTGTGAAGAAGGGTTAGGTGAAAAGTGCTGTGTGATTTTGATGGATAAAGAAATGAAATAAAATACTGAATAAACATTTTTTCTTTCTTTCAAATTAAAAAATGGCGTATTGAGAAATAACAAAAGAACTCTTTTTGTATTTGATTTTAACCATGTATGTATACCCTTACGCACTTCATTCAAATATTCGTTATTCATATTGGCATGGGCATCTTTCTACTAAATAGACTTAACCCTTTAACTGGTATAGAGAAAAATACTTTTAATTGATTTTAAACCTTGTCATCATCTCAATAAAGTTCAAAATATGGTGGCAACAATTCAGCCACTAACGGTAAAGTGATTAATACTCCGGAAATCTTTTCTTAGACTTCTTACAGCCAAAAGGAGAAAATATTGGTAGCAACTATCAGTTGCAATACTTTTCAAAGTTCATTTACTGTTGGGTTCCAACACTAAAATTCATTCATTCTTTCATTCGTTCGGTCTTGTGACGTATGTATTTGAGCGCCATCGCGCCCAGTAGCGTTTCGTACTCCGGCCATTACACTTGTGATTGTGTGTATTATTTTAAACTGTGCAGACCTGGCAATAAACTTAATTAGTGAAACACGGCCTTTGTATAGAGAACAATAGTGTCTAGACAAACCTAAAAAGGATTTAGGACGCTATTTGGATCAAATATGTAATTGCTCAATAATGAATAATAAATAAATAAATAATCAACAACATCTACAAACATTTTATCTCCGCTGCCCTACATTTACTTTATTGTGCAAAAATATTAATGAATAGGGACAAATCACCATGGCCAGTCCAACTTCACGATTACTGGCCGAAGATGAATGTATAGTCAAGAAACACAAACTTCCATCACCGATTTAGCATTCACTTTCAAATATAAGTAATATGCAGTCGTGTTACCTCCACTATCGTCGCGGGCGGCGCGGTAGTTGGAGAATCTGTTGTTGTAGTCGCGACGACGCGTCAGCGATTCCTCGGCCCGTTGGCGCTTGCGCTTTTCTGTAAAAATTTATTTGAATGTTGCAGCAATAAATAAATAATGGGATACCTAATTGAGTGAATAAAGTGTACCTAATATTTTATTTAGGTAATCTCCGAGTTAGATACCTGGTTGAGATTTGGTTTTAGTCGGCTCCATGACTTCTATTTCACAATATCAAACACTTAAATAACTCGCGCTGTGTTTGTGTATTTTTCTTAAACATATTTCTGTCCTTTTCCTTTTAAAGTTTGTTCTTTCTAGTGTCTGTGCTGCACTTTTACTTTTTGAGCACCCTCCATGTTGGCCATGAACTCTCCTATGAAACGCTCCATGTGGCTCATGATCTCTCTTGATTCACCCTCCATGTGTCCCATGATCTCTTCCAAGGCCCATGAACTCTTCCAAAACACTATACATGTGTTCCATGATCTATTCTAAGACACTCTTCATGTGCGCCATGTTGCTTGACAGTCTTCTATTTTAAAGCGCTATTTAATCTCAGCTTTTCGCAATCAAGTCCCAAACACTAAAAACAAAGCACCACCATCTCCACCCACCTCGCTTGACGATCTCGCGGCCCTCGTCCACCAGGTCGGTGGTGAGGTCGTCGTCGCCCACGAACTGCTGGAAGCCGCACGCCGTCAGCAGGCGGCTGCCCAGCGACAGGTGCGTGGCCAGGCACAGCAGCACCACCAGCATCGGGAAGTAGATGTTGAAGCCGCCCGCGATGATGCTCAGCACTCCATGTGGCCCATGATCTTTCCCAAATGACTCCATGTGATCCATAATATCTTCTAAATGACTCCATGTGGCCCATAATCTCTTTTAAAAGACTCCATGTGGCCCATAATCTCTCTTAAAAGACTCCATGTGGCCTACGATCTCTCTTAAAAGACCCCATGTGGCCCACAATTTCTCCTAAAAGCCTTTCCATGTGGCCCACGATCTCTCTTAAAAGACTCCCCATGTGGCCCACAATCTCTCTTAAGACTCCCCATGTGGCCCACAATCTCTCTTAAAAGACTCCCCATGTGGCCCACAATCTCTCCTAAAAGACTCGAATGTGGCCCGTGATCTCTCCTAAAAGACCCTCCATGTAGCTTATGATCTCCCCAAAAGACCATTATTTCCACCACTGTTGCTTGACAGTGTTCTATTTTGAAACGCTGCCGAACTTTTCGCAATAAGTCACAAACACACTCTTATCTCTGAAAAACAAAGCCCCATCAGCTCCACCCACCTCGCTTGACGATCTCGCGGCCCTCGTCCACCAGGTCGGTGGTGAGGTCGTCGTCGCCCACGAACTGCTGGAAGCCGCACGCCGTCAGCAGGCGGCTGCCCAGCGACAGGTGCGTGGCCAGGCACAGCAGCACCACCAGCATCGGGAAGTAGATGTTGAAGCCGCCCGCGATGATGCCCACGACTCCATGTGGCCCATGATCTTTCCCAAATGACTCCAAGTGGCCTATAATCTCTCCTAAATACTCCATGTGGCTCATGATCTCTCTTAAAGCACGCTCCATGTGGCCTAAGATCTCTCTCAAGACACTCCATGTGGCCAATGGATATCTCTTAAGACACTCTTGATGTGGCCTGATCTCTTTCAAAACATCTTTCATGTGGAACCTGATCTCTTAAGACACCCTCCATGTAGGCCATGATTTCTCCTAAAAGACCCTCCATGTGACCCATAATCTCTCCTAAGACACTCCAGGCGGTTCAGGATCTCTCTCTAAACACCCTCCATTCGAGACCATAAGCACGTCTAAAAGACTGGTCCAGGATCTCTTTCAAAAGACCCTCCATGTGGCCATTGATCTCTCTCAAAGACTATCCTTTCCAGCAACCTTCCTTGACAGTGTCTATTAGACACTTTCTAACCCAGCCCAACTTCGCAATCATGTCACAAACACACTCTGAAAAACAAAACACCATCAGCTCCACCCACCTCGCTTGACGATCTCGCGGCCCTCGTCCACCAGGTCGGTGGTGAGGTCGTCGTCGCCCACGAACTGCTGGAAGCCGCACGCCGTCAGCAGGCGGCTGCCCAGCGACAGGTGCGTGGCCAGGCACAGCAGCACCACCAGCATCGGGAAGTAGATGTTGAAGCCGCCCGCGATGATGCCGAGTACTTCCATGTGGCCCATAATCTTTCCCAAATGACTCCATATGGCCTATAATCTCTCCTAAATACTCGCATGTGGCTCATGATCTCTCTTAAAGCACCCTCCATATGGCCTAAGATCTCGCTCAAGACACTCCATGTGGCCAATGGATATCTCCTAAGACACTCTTCATGTAGCCCTATCTCTGTCAAGACACCCTTCATGTCGAACCTGATCTCTTAAGACACCCTCCATGTAGGTCACGAACTCTCCTAAAAGATCCTCCATGCGACCCATAATCCCTCCTAAGACACACCAGGCGGTTCAGGATCTCTCTCTAAACACCCTCCATTCGGGTCCATGAGCTCGCCTAAAAGACTATGTGGTCCAGGATCTCTCTCAAAAGACCCTTCGTATGGCCCTTGATCCCTCCAAAACACTATCATTTCCAAGAACATCGCTTGACAGTCTTCGATTTTGAAACGCTGCACAACTTTTCGTAATCAAGTCACAAACACACTGAAGAACAAAGCACCATCTCCACCCACCTCGCTTGACGATCTCGCGGCCCTCGTCCACCAGGTCGGTGGTGAGGTCGTCGTCGCCCACGAACTGCTGGAAGCCGCACGCCGTCAGCAGGCGGCTGCCCAGCGACAGGTGCGTGGCCAGGCACAGCAGCACCACCAGCATCGGGAAGTAGATGTTGAAGCCGCCCGCGATGATGCCCAGGACTCCATGTGGCCCATAATCTTTCCCAAATGACTCCATGTGGCCTATAATCTCTCCTAAAATACTCCATGTGGCTCATGATCACTCTTAAGACACCATGTGGCTAATGATCTCTCCTAAGACACCCCCCATGTGGCTAATGATCTCTCCTACGACACCCCCATGTGGCCTAGTTCACTCAAGACACTCCATGTGGCCAATGGATATCTCCTTTAAGACACTCTTCATGTGGCCCGATCTCTCTCAAGACACCCTTCATGTGGAACCTGATCTCTTAAGACACCCTCCATGTAGGTCATGATCTCTCCTAATAGATCCTCCATGTGACCCATAATCTCTCCTAAGACACTCCAGGCGGTTCAGGATCTCCCTCTAAACACCCTCCATTCAAGACCATAAGCACGTCTAAAAGACTGGTCCAGGATCTCTTTCAAAAGACCCTCCATGTAGCTTATGATCTCTCCCAAAAGACCATTATTTCCTCCCACGTTGCTTGACAGTCATCTATTTTGAAACGCTGCCGAAATTTTCGTAATCAAGTCCCAAACACTCTAAAAAACAAAGCACCATCATCACCCACCTCGCTTGACGATCTCGCGGCCCTCGTCCACCAGGTCGGTGGTGAGGTCGTCGTCGCCCACGAACTGCTGGAAGCCGCACGCCGTCAGCAGGCGGCTGCCCAGCGACAGGTGCGTGGCCAGGCACAGCAGCACCACCAGCATCGGGAAGTAGATGTTGAAGCCGCCGGCAATGATGCCCAGGACTCCATATGTCTCATCATCTCTTCCAAATGACTCCATGTGGCTCATAATCGCTCTTAAGACACCATGTGGCTAATGATCTCTCCTAAGACACCCTCGACGTGGCTAATGATCTATCCTAAGACACCCCCCATGTGGCCAATGATCTCTCTTAAGATACTCTCGATGTAGCCAATGATCTCTCCTAAGACACCCTCCATATGGCCCAAGATCTCTTCTAAGGGACCCCACCATGTGACCCATAATCTGTCTTAAAATAATCTTCATGTGGCACATAATCTCTCTTAACATAGTATCCATAATCTCTCCTTAAAAGATCCTCCATTTGGCCCGCGTTCTTTCCTAAAAGACTCTTCATGTAGCCCATGATCTTTCTCAAATGTCCGTCGATGTAGCTTATGATTCCACCCAAAAGACTATCATTTCCACCAACCTCGCTTGACAGTGTTCTATTTTGAAGCGCTATGTAATCCCAGCTTTTCGCAATAAAGTCACAAACACACTGAAAAACAAAGCACCATCAGCCGCACCCACCTCGCTTGACGATCTCGCGGCCCTCGTCCACCAGGTCGGTGGTGAGGTCGTCGTCGCCCACGAACTGCTGGAAGCCGCACGCCGTCAGCAGGCGGCTGCCCAGCGACAGGTGCGTGGCCAGGCACAGCAGCACCACCAGCATCGGGAAGTAGATGTTGAAGCCGCCGGCGATGATGCCCAGTACCTCCATGTGGCCCATAATCTTTCCCAAATGACTCCATATGGCCTATAATCTCTCCTAAATACTCGCATGTGGCTCGTGATCTCTCTTGAAGCACCCTCCATGTGGCCTAAGATCTCTCTCAAGACACTCCATATGGCCAATGGATATCTCCTCAGACACTCTTCATGTGGCCCTATCTCTCTCAAGACACCCATCATGTGGAACCTGATCTCTTAAGACACCCTCCATGTAGGCCATGATTTCTCCCTAAAAAATCCTCCATGTAACCCATAATCTGCCTTCAGACACTCCAGGCGGTTCAGGATCTCTCTCTAAACAGCCTCCATTTGGGACCATGAGCTCGCCTAAAAGACTGTGGTCCAGGATCTCTCAAAAGACCCTCCATGTAGCTTATGATCTCCCCCAAAAGACCATTATTTCCTCCCACGTTGCTTGACAGTCATCTATTTTGAAACGCTGCACAACTTTTCGTAATCAAATCTCAAACACTCTAAAAAACAAAGCACCATCTCCACCCACCTCGCTTGACGATCTCGCGGCCCTCGTCCACCAGGTCGGTGGTGAGGTCGTCGTCGCCCACGAACTGCTGGAAGCCGCACGCCGTCAGCAGGCGGCTGCCCAGCGACAGGTGCGTGGCCAGGCACAGCAGCACCACCAGCATCGGGAAGTAGATGTTGAAGCCGCCGGCGATGATGCCCAGTACCTCCATGTGGCCCATAATCTTTCCCAAATGACTCCATATGGCCTATAATCTCTCCTAAATACTCGCATGTGGCTCGTGATCTCTCTTGAAGCACCCTCCATGTGGCCTAAGATCTCTCTCAAGACACTCCATATGGCCAATGGATATCTCCTCAGACACTCTTCATGTGGCCCTATCTCTCTCAAGACACCCATCATGTGGAACCTGATCTCTTAAGACACCCTCCATGTAGGCCATGATTTCTCCCTAAAAAATCCTCCATGTAACCCATAATCTGCCTTCAGACACTCCAGGCGGTTCAGGATCTCTCTCTAAACAGCCTCCATTTGGGACCATGAGCTCGCCTAAAAGACTGTGGTCCAGGATCTCTCAAAAGACCCTCCATGTAGCTTATGATCTCCCCCAAAAGACCATTATTTCCTCCCACGTTGCTTGACAGTCATCTATTTTGAAACGCTGCACAACTTTTCGTAATCAAATCTCAAACACTCTAAAAAACAAAGCACCATCTCCACCCACCTCGCTTGACGATCTCGCGGCCCTCGTCCACCAGGTCGGTGGTGAGGTCGTCGTCGCCCACGAACTGCTGGAAGCCGCACGCCGTCAGCAGGCGGCTGCCCAGCGACAGGTGCGTGGCCAGGCACAGCAGCACCACCAGCATCGGGAAGTAGATGTTGAAGCCGCCGGCGATGATGCCCAGTACCTCCATGTGGCCCATAATCTTTCCCAAATGACTCCATATGGCCTATAATCTCTCCTAAATACTCGCATGTGGCTCGTGATCTCTCTTGAAGCACCCTCCATGTGGCCTAAGATCTCTCTCAAGACACTCCATATGGCCAATGGATATCTCCTCAGACACTCTTCATGTGGCCCTATCTCTCTCAAGACACCCATCATGTGGAACCTGATCTCTTAAGACACCCTCCATGTAGGCCATGATTTCTCCCTAAAAAATCCTCCATGTAACCCATAATCTGCCTTCAGACACTCCAGGCGGTTCAGGATCTCTCTCTAAACAGCCTCCATTTGGGACCATGAGCTCGCCTAAAAGACTGTGGTCCAGGATCTCTCAAAAGACCCTCCATGTAGCTTATGATCTCCCCCAAAAGACCATTATTTCCTCCCACGTTGCTTGACAGTCATCTATTTTGAAACGCTGCACAACTTTTCGTAATCAAATCTCAAACACTCTAAAAAACAAAGCACCATCTCCACCCACCTCGCTTGACGATCTCGCGGCCCTCGTCCACCAGGTCGGTGGTGAGGTCGTCGTCGCCCACGAACTGCTGGAAGCCGCACGCCGTCAGCAGGCGGCTGCCCAGCGACAGGTGCGTGGCCAGGCACAGCAGCACCACCAGCATCGGGAAGTAGATGTTGAAGCCGCCGGCGATGATGCCCAGTACCTCCATGTGGCCCATAATCTTTCCCAAATGACTCCATATGGCCTATAATCTCTCCTAAATACTCGCATGTGGCTCGTGATCTCTCTTGAAGCACCCTCCATGTGGCCTAAGATCTCTCTCAAGACACTCCATATGGCCAATGGATATCTCCTCAGACACTCTTCATGTGGCCCTATCTCTCTCAAGACACCCATCATGTGGAACCTGATCTCTTAAGACACCCTCCATGGCTATGATCTCTCCTAAAAAATCCTCCATCACATGTGACCAATAATCTCTCCTAAGACACTCCAGGCGGTTCAGGATCTCTCTCTAAACACCCTCCATTCGGGACCATGAGCTCGCCTAAGAGACTATGTGGTTCAGGATCTCTCTCAAAAGACCCTCCATGTGGCTCCTGATCTCTCTCAAAGACTATCCTTTCCAGCAGCCTTCCTTGACAGTGTCTATTAGACACTTTCTAACCCTGCCCAACTTCGCAATCATGTCACAAAAACACTCTGAAAAACAAAGCACCATCTCCACCCACCTCGCTTGACGATCTCGCGGCCCTCGTCCACCAGGTCGGTGGTGAGGTCGTCGTCGCCCACGAACTGCTGGAAGCCGCACGCCGTCAGCAGGCGGCTGCCCAGCGACAGGTGCGTGGCCAGGCACAGCAGCACCACCAGCATCGGGAAGTAGATGTTGAAGCCGCCCGCGATGATGCCCAGGACTCCATGTGGCCCATGATCTTTCCCAAATGACTCCATGTGGTCTATAATCCCTCCTAAAATACTCCAAGTGGATCATGATCTCTCTCAAGACACTCCCATATAGTAAGTACATGATCTTTCCCAAAGCAATCTTCATGTGGCTCATAATCGCACTTAAGACACCATGTGGCTAATGATCTCTCCTAAGACACCCCCCATGTGGCTCATGATCTCTCTTAAAGCACCCTCCATGTGGCTTAAGATCTCGCTCAAGACACTCCATGTGGCCAATGGATATCTCCTAAGACACTCTTGATGTGGCCTGATCTCTTTCAAAACATCTTTCAAGTGGAACCTGATCTCTAAGACACCCCCATGTAGGCCATGATCTCTCCTAATAGATCCTCCATGCGACTCATAATCCCTCCTAAGACACTCCAGGCGGTTCAGGATCTCTCTCTAAACACCCTCCATTCGGGACCATAAGCACGTCTAAAAGACTGGTCCAGGATCTCTTTCAAAAGACCCTCCATGTAGCTTATGATCTCTCCCAAAAGACCATTATTTCCTCCCACGTTGCTTGACAGTCATCTATTTTGAAACGCTGCCGAACTTTTCGTAATCAAGTCAAAAAAACACTCTGAAAAACAAAACACCATCAGCTCCACCCACCTCGCTTGACGATCTCGCGGCCCTCGTCCACCAGGTCGGTGGTGAGGTCGTCGTCGCCCACGAACTGCTGGAAGCCGCACGCCGTCAGCAGGCGGCTGCCCAGCGACAGGTGCGTGGCCAGGCACAGCAGCACCACCAGCATCGGGAAGTAGATGTTGAAGCCGCCCGCGATGATGCCCACGACTCCATGTGGCCCATAATATCTCCCAAGACACCTGGAGGGTGCTCCATGTGGTTCATGATCTTTCCAAGACAGTCTTCATGTAGCCCATGATATCTCTTAAAGCACCCTTCATGTCACCCATAATCTCTCCTAAAAGACTCCATGTGATGGCTCCATATGTGATCCAAGATCTCTTCTAAAGGACTCTCCATGTGGCCTATAATCCCTCTTAAAACAATCTCCATGTGGCACATAATGTCTCTTAAGACACCCTCCATGTGACCAATGATTTCTCCTAAAAGATCCTCCATGTGACCCATAATCTCTCCTAAGACACTCCAGGCGGTTCAGGATCTCTCTAAACGCCCTCTATTCGGGACCATGAGCTCGCCTAAAAGACCCTCCATGTGGCCCCTGATCTCTCTCAAAGACTATCCTTACCAGCAGCCTTCCTTGACAGTGTCTATTAGAAACTTTTTAACGCTGCCAAACTTTTCGTAATCAAGTCACAAAAACACTCTGAAAAACAAAGCACCACCATCTCCACCCACCTCGCTTGACGATCTCGCGGCCCTCGTCCACCAGGTCGGTGGTGAGGTCGTCGTCGCCCACGAACTGCTGGAAGCCGCACGCCGTCAGCAGGCGGCTGCCCAGCGACAGGTGCGTGGCCAGGCACAGCAGCACCACCAGCATCGGGAAGTAGATGTTGAAGCCGCCCGCGATGATGCCCAGGACTCCATGTGGCCCATGATCTTTCTCAAATGACTCCATGTGGCTCATGATCTCTCAAGACACCCCCATGTAGGCCATGATCTCTCCTAATAGATCCTCCATGCGACTCATAATCCCTCCTACCGACACTCCAGGCGGTTTAGGATCTCTCTATAAACGGCTTATGATCTCTCTTAAATCACCCTCCATGTGGCCTAAGATCACTCAAGACACTCCATGTGGCCAATGGATATCTCCTATAAGACACTTCATGTGGCCCGATCTCTCTCAAGACACTCTTCATGTGGAACCTGATCTCTTAAGACACCCTCCATGTAGGCCATGATCTCTCCTAAAAAATCCTCCATCACATGTGACCAATAATCTCTCCTAAGACACTCCAGGCGGTTCAGGATCTCTCTCTAAACACCCTCCATTCGAGACCATAAGCACGTCTAAAAGACTGGTCCAGGATCTCTTTCAAAAGACCCTCCATGTGGCTCCTGATCTCTCTCAAAGACTATCCTTTCCAGCAGCCTTCCTTGACAGTGTCTATTAGACACTTTCTAACCCTGCCCAACTTCGCAATCATGTCACAACAACACTCTGAAAAACAAAGCACCATCAGCCGCACCCACCTCGCTTGACGATCTCGCGGCCCTCGTCCACCAGGTCGGTGGTGAGGTCGTCGTCGCCCACGAACTGCTGGAAGCCGCACGCCGTCAGCAGGCGGCTGCCCAGCGACAGGTGCGTGGCCAGGCACAGCAGCACCACCAGCATCGGGAAGTAGATGTTGAAGCCGCCCGCGATGATGCCCAGTACCTCCATGTGGCCCATAATATCTCCCAAGACACCTGGAGGGTGCTCCATGTGGTTCATGATCTTTCCAAGACAGTCTTCATGTAGCCCATGATATCTCTTAAAGCACCCTCCACGTGACCCATAATCTCTCCTGAAAGACTCCATGTGATGGCTCCATATGAGATCCAAGATCTCTTCTAAGGGACTCTCCATGTGGCCTATAATCTCTCTTAAAACAATCTCCATGTGGCACATAATGTCTCTTAAGACACCCTCCATTTAAGTCATGATTTCTCCTAATAGATCCTCCATGTGACCCATAATCTCTCCTAAGACACTCCAGGCGGTTCAGGATCTCTCTCTAAACACCCTCCATTCGGGTCCATGAGCTCGCCTAAAAGACTATGTGGTCCAGGATCTCTCTCAAAAGACCCTTCGTATGGCCCTTGATCCCTCCAAAACACTATCATTTCCAAGAACATCGCTTGACAGTCTTCGATTTTGAAACGCTGCAAAACTTTTCGTAATCAAGTCACTAACACACTTAACTCTGAAAAACAAAGCACCATCTCCACCCACCTCGCTTGACGATCTCGCGGCCCTCGTCCACCAGGTCGGTGGTGAGGTCGTCGTCGCCCACGAACTGCTGGAAGCCGCACGCCGTCAGCAGGCGGCTGCCCAGCGACAGGTGCGTGGCCAGGCACAGCAGCACCACCAGCATCGGGAAGTAGATGTTGAAGCCGCCCGCGATGATGCCCAGGACTCCATGTGGCCCATAATCTTTCCCAAATGACTCCATGTGGCCCATAATCATTCCCAAATAACTCCATGTGGCCCATGATCTCTCTTAAAGCACCCTCTATGTGGTCCAAGATCTCTCTCAAGACTCCATGTGGCCAATGGATATCTCCTATAAGACACTCTTCATGTGGCCCGATCTCTCTCAAGACACTCTTCATGTGGAACCTGATCTCTTAAGACACCCTCCATGTAGGCCATGATCTCTCCTAATAGATCCTCCATGCGACTCATAATCCCTCCTAAGACACTCCAGGCGGTTTAGGATCTCTCTATAAACGGCTTATGATCTCTCTTAAATCACCCTCCATGTGGCCTAAGATCTCGCTCAAGACACTCCATGTGGCCAATGGATATCTCTTAAGACACTCTTCATGTAGCCCTATCTCTCTCAAGACACCCTTCATGTCGAACCTGATCTCTTAAGACACCCTCCATGTAGGCCATGATTTCTCCCTAAAAAATCCTCCATGTAACCCATAATCTGCCTTCAGACACTCCAGGCGGTTCAGGATCTCTCTCTAAACAGCCTCCATTTGGGACCATGAGCTCGCCTAAAAGACTGTGGTCCAGGATCTCTCAAAAGACCCTCCATGTAGCTTATGATCTCCCCCAAAAGACCATTATTTCCTCCCACGTTGCTTGACAGTCATCTATTTTGAAACGCTGCACAACTTTTCGTAATCAAATCTCAAACACTCTAAAAAACAAAGCACCATCTCCACCCACCTCGCTTGACGATCTCGCGGCCCTCGTCCACCAGGTCGGTGGTGAGGTCGTCGTCGCCCACGAACTGCTGGAAGCCGCACGCCGTCAGCAGGCGGCTGCCCAGCGACAGGTGCGTGGCCAGGCACAGCAGCACCACCAGCATCGGGAAGTAGATGTTGAAGCCGCCCGCGATGATGCCCATCTCCACCCACCTCGCTTGACGATCTCGCGGCCCTCGTCCACCAGGTCGGTGGTGAGGTCGTCGTCGCCCACGAACTGCTGGAAGCCGCACGCCGTCAGCAGGCGGCTGCCCAGCGACAGGTGCGTGGCCAGGCACAGCAGCACCACCAGCATCGGGAAGTAGATGTTGAAGCCGCCCGCGATGATGCCCAGGACTCCATGTGGCCCATAATCTTTCCCAAATGACTCCATGTGGCCCATAATCATTCCCAAATAACTCCATGTGGCCCATGATCTCTCTTAAAGCACCCTCTATGTGGTCCAAGATCTCTCTCAAGACTCCATGTGGCCAATGGATATCTCCTATAAGACACTCTTCATGTGGCCCGATCTCTCTCAAGACACTCTTCATGTGGAACCTGATCTCTTAAGACACCCTCCATGTAGGCCATGATCTCTCCTAATAGATCCTCCATGCGACTCATAATCCCTCCTAAGACACTCCAGGCGGTTTAGGATCTCTCTATAAACGGCTTATGATCTCTCTTAAATCACCCTCCATGTGGCCTAAGATCTCGCTCAAGACACTCCATGTGGCCAATGGATATCTCTTAAGACACTCTTCATGTAGCCCTATCTCTCTCAAGACACCCTTCATGTCGAACCTGATCTCTTAAGACACCCTCCATGTAGGCCATGATTTCTCCCTAAAAAATCCTCCATGTAACCCATAATCTGCCTTCAGACACTCCAGGCGGTTCAGGATCTCTCTCTAAACAGCCTCCATTTGGGACCATGAGCTCGCCTAAAAGACTGTGGTCCAGGATCTCTCAAAAGACCCTCCATGTAGCTTATGATCTCCCCCAAAAGACCATTATTTCCTCCCACGTTGCTTGACAGTCATCTATTTTGAAACGCTGCACAACTTTTCGTAATCAAATCTCAAACACTCTAAAAAACAAAGCACCATCTCCACCCACCTCGCTTGACGATCTCGCGGCCCTCGTCCACCAGGTCGGTGGTGAGGTCGTCGTCGCCCACGAACTGCTGGAAGCCGCACGCCGTCAGCAGGCGGCTGCCCAGCGACAGGTGCGTGGCCAGGCACAGCAGCACCACCAGCATCGGGAAGTAGATGTTGAAGCCGCCCGCGATGATGCCGAGTACTTCCATGTGGCCCATGATCTATGTGACATAGGAAAGAAAAAACATGATTAATAAAATTAAAATATTTACTATAGTCTGGTCTGCGAGCACGTAGAATTTTGTCCAATGACCCCTAGCTACCCATCCTTATCGCTCGCGCGTAATAATTATGTTGCTGTCGCGCTCGCACACTCACTGCGGGCGCCCGTCGCACAGTCGCGACAGCAATATAATTACGCGCGAGCGATAAAGATGGTTAGCTTGGGGTCATGGACAAAATTCTACGTGCTCAGAGACCGGGCTTTAGATGTAGGCCCTTTTCAGGGCAATTGCGATTCACAGCACACATTTAGCATCGGCGATCGGCGGTTTAGCCGCTTTTTAGCAGCTGAATACAGCGACCACACCGCACACTTGAAAATA